TTCATCGCCCGTCAGCAGGACCTTGATGCGGAATCCTATCATCTATAATTCGCAGTTCGGGCAAGAGCAACATTAATTTTGCTGATACTTCTATTGAGGTTAATTTTTATAACTTCATTTATACTCCCCCAAGTTCTAGTACGTTCATGTTCATTTATTAAAGTGTTTTTTTCTTCTTTTTCGTCTCGCACTACTACTTAACTCTCTTTAACAGCCCCTGTTTTTATTGTTTTATATCTGGGAACGGAGTAGCTACAGGCAGGTGCTGGGTCTTTATCATTTATGGATGTTTGTCTTTTGTGGTCGAAGAAGTGGTCGTCTATTGATGTCCATGCTTCGTCCTCTTCGCTCGGGCTTGCTTTTTTCTGTTTGGAGTTAGGATTATGGTGTAATCAACTGCATCACCTCTCTCAGGTATTTTGTTCCTTTTCCTTAGTCCTCTGTGGTCCTTCCAGTTGCCGGTCCCTTAAGGTAACCGTTTTGAGAGCATTATTGCCCCGCCACAGTGGTTATTGTAATATTGCTCTGTTGCGACTACATGCTCTTTTTCTTCTCCGATATCACTTTTGATCAAATCCAGATCCTCCGATGTCCGATACTAGACTTTTTTTTTTTGAACCTTTTTGCCCCGGGTTTGGTTCCCCCTTTGTATGCGTTTTTCATGTCAAATTGAAATGGCGAATGTTTGATGTTTCACACGGCTCTCGCCCGCTTTATCTTTGGAGCAGGGTCTTATCCCTTACGATTTAATTTATGATGCGGTATATATATGGGACATGTTATGACCGGAAGCACTTTTCACATGGTGGGTGCTATCAATTACATAGTTATGATGTGATGTAAGGACGAGTGACTCTTTATGACCACCCGCGAGGTTTCACGTGCACTTAGGAGTCACGGTTAACATATAAATCATTCTTCTTTACCTTGTACCGGGTGGGGACCCTCCCGGCGGTGGTGTGATTATTAGATTCATGATATATCACTCGGTATTTATTAACGAGAGTATGCACCTCGCCAATATTGCTCCCTGGTATCTATAAAGCTGGAAGTTATACCCTTGTCAATGGGTTTATATGGGTTAGATTGAACGATTGTATGAGAGATTGCATATAGTTAGCTTGCGTGGTCGTACATGTAGTTACATGTATCTCACTAGACGCCGGCCACCATTCACGAGCACATACAAGTAGCTTAAGAGCGGCCATCGGCCGGAGGGTTATTCTAACCTTTCATAAAATACTCAGCCAGTTTTATGTTGATGCTCTTCGCTAGCTGTTGATATATATCTACATGTATCTATATAATATATCATGATAGCGGCCTAAAGTCGGGAGTGACAGACAGTACCCCAGGATGAAACAGAAGCCGGCGACAAAAAAAAGAATTGATATTGCCCCGATTGGGATTCGAACCCAAGATTTCCTCACAGCTCTAAACCTACGTGCCGAGTTTTTGGTGTGTTAACCACTACACTACCGGGCATGTCTGTTTCTGTGGTAGAGTTAAATTTGAGCCTATCTCCTCGAGCCCCCTTGGGTAAGGCATTGTGTATACGCAAAGGTACAGCCTGCCGCAGTATTCTACATCCCTTCTTGTGGTTATTGCAGCTTCTAGCGCACGGCCCATGGTATAATGAGCTAGCGTGCTATTGAAGATGGAGTTATTGGAAAGTAAGTCACGCCGGCCGGGTGTCATTAGTCCGCATCGACCAGCCACAGAACATTATCTTACTGCTACCAGGCTTCCCAAACCTCATGATCATGCTATACCAAATCGACTTTATTCACCATCTTATCAGATCTCATCGGTCAGCTAGTCAAACTATGAAGATCTGGTAATTATATCTCCAGCTGTCGTCTGATGATTTCCCAGTAAGTTCCTATAACTCGGACCGTGTTCATAATCTTTGAGTACTCGTCTGAGCTAGATGTCTATATATGCTCAGATCATCAGACGTAATGGAGACAACGTTAACAAACCATAGAAGAGGGTTACGTATCGGCTCCCCGAGTGTGGAAAGGCCCGCTACACTTTACCTCACGCGGCCTTTTAGTTTTCCTAGTTATGCCTAGGCCTAGGGGTTTAGAATCCCTCTATCCGCGGGTAGGACTGGCCCCTCGGTATCGAATTCTATAAGGTCTTGACCCGGCTCTCGAGTGAACAGGGCGTGATCCTAAAAATTGAGTGGATACTCTACTCGTTTCTTCGAATCCGTAAGTTTTGGACTCAGTGTCGGTATTGGGCGTTCCTCTAAACTGTCGAGGCTTAACGAGAGAGAGAGAGAGTGGAGTAAGAGGTGGAGAGGAGAGTGTAGGTGGTTAAGTGTGAGGTTATCGGGGTACTGTGTACCTGTACTGGTATCAACAGAAACTCAGGTGGTCGAATGCTTTTCACCCATTTCTTTTGGGGTTTAAAGGGTTTAGATGACTACATGTAGTTCAGTACCGGAAAGGCAAGCACAGAATCATTGATAGTATGATCGTGCCATAGAGCTTGAACGTCCAAAGGTCCGTACTTGAACACCCACAAGTACCACTCCTGAGAAACAGACATAGATCTATCAACCTACACCCCCATCACCACTTTCCCGCCGCGAAATCCGCTTCTATACAGCTCTATATAATCAACTGTACAAGCATGGCCGCATCTGTTGAATTAAACCGAGCTTACGAATCCACTCAGGATTAGGAGCTGCAGCAATATTACTAGTGCACTGGGTATATAGATCGATCCTGGCAACATTGACTATAAGCTTGAATTATATACATATAGTTGTACAAGGAAGCTTGAGATCTCTACATGAGTATTAATTGTAGCATGTAGCTAATGGAGTTCCTTGCACTGCGCGCAATATAGAGTTGTTCGCTTTGACCGGCCCGTGCGGATAGCCTCGGCTCGGGAAACACCATCAGGAAGGAAAGAACCCGATACTGGATATATATTGTTCGGACAGAAGGCCTTTGTTATTACGTTTTTATACGACTAAGGTATTCACACTCAGATGTGTTCTTTGAATTAATTAACGGACCTCAACCTAAGTATGTAATTTACAGTACCATGGCCACCTACTCTGATCTAGGTACTCAACGCATAGCTCAACATTCGGTGGTCGCTGGCGGGGAAACGATCCGGAATGAATGAGCTGATCATGGCCGGTTTTGTCGAGTACTTGTAGTTGGAAAGTCTTTTGTTTCAAGTTCGTGTATACCTTGCACACGCTGGTCGGTTGGTCTTGTTTCTTATTTCGTCAATGATCATCAGTCTTGTTGGGGCCTGCTTACAGCCCACTCCTATATAATACGCTCATTTTGAATCTTTTTCTTTGTATGTACTCTAGGAATATATAGAGCCCAGATATAGTAGTTCCCCCCCCCCGGGGGGCGGCATCTGTCAGTTGGTCTTGTGACTGGAAATTTTCTGCTAGTATATATATATGATGGCTACTATATCTAGGTAGGGTATAAGGACGTCGATCAAGGAAATCCGCGCACGTATACGTATGCTTTTTACTTCCTTTAGATATTGCTGCTTCCTTTCTTCCATTCCCCGAGATTAAGTGATTTGTCAAAGCGATAGAACAGTCTTAGAAGCTATCCATATAGTGTACCAAAGTGCAGTATATTTAGTAAACTAATATTGATGAATCTTTAAGGAACATTGGGTCAAGAGCCAGCTAGTACTAACTAGATACCATAGGGCGCGAAGAGGGCCCGGCTATGTAGTACTCGTGTGATCTGATCTGTCTGTAGTTAGAGATGAAACATCGACAGTACAGAATCGCGCTTGCGAGATATGTGGGTAGTGGTTAGACTGAAAGAACCGCAGGCGTCAAGAGTAAAGGGGCTGATTCCAGTAAGGAGTTGTCACCGAGTACTCTAGAGTAGAGTCCAAGCTAGTGCTACCTGGCCTAGCGCACTGACTGTCAACGGCTGGCAGGCTGCAGCAACGTGGGTTGTTGCCAAGTTAAGCTTGTTTTCGGGAGGGAACGTCCCGAAATCGGACTAGCATGGTTTGGGAAGCTACTAATTTGCAATATTTCTAGTACGGGACCTTGCTGGTAGCTTGAATGGCAAGCTGTGCAAAGAAGGAAAGCATTTCCCCCCCTGTTTACTGCTACGTCTGGTACTGATGAGGCTCGATATCTAGACTCATGAAATACGAATAGAAAGTAGTAGTTGGCTAACTGAATAAGCCTGTGAATATATGGAATGTTCTAATTTGAGTTCTGGTTTTCTGTGTTATCCACACAGAATCGATAGAGATGAACAGGTTCCATTGATTGTCTGCACATTGACTGGGTTTGACGTGATCGAGTCCTGGGTGAACATTCCCTCCAGGAAAACCAGTTAGCTTCACGGAGTTGGGAGCGACTTTTCGGCTTTTCCCGAAGCGAGTGATTCTTCATGACCTCCCTTCACGCTACGCGCGCTGTCGGGTCTAAATGCGAAACTCTAGTCTCCTCCCCAATCACCCCACCGGAGAAAAAAATAAAACGAAAAACAATTCCCACCAGTTCTCGAAGGTACAAGGCACGGGAAATTGAGAGGCCAAGGACAGCAGCAGGGATACCTGTCAAAATACGTACCCCATGCGTCTTAATTAACCGAAAACATTGTTCCTGGCTCTCTGCCTTTACATTAGCCAACCCATGGCGCCGGCAACACTTCCTTACCGCTTTGAGAATATTTTGCCGGGTACGTACCAAATAAACAACACTGATATCGGGGTTTGTAGATACGCTAGCACCTACAGCTAGAGGAACCGTGGATATCATGATGTTCTCGATATTGCGACTGTGGGGCACCATGCTTCTGAGAAAGATGCATAAGTAACGGCGCAAATCCGCTTCTTCTTTTTTTTTTTACTCCTCATCCTTCTCGTTCTCTGCTAGTCAGTAGTCAGTCACTTCCTCCTTCTCACTCTTTTTTACACTCTTTCTATACTTCACTTCCAAAAGAGACAGTCTGGGACAGTCCAATCATTTGCCTATATTCACGATGCTTTCTAAAATCTTCATCTTTGCCCTCCTCCCTGCGGCCTCGCTCGCACAGGTTGTTGGCTCAGCGACCGGTTTCGCAAAGGGCGTGACTGGAGGTGGAACTGCTACCCCCGTCTACCCAACCACCATTGCGGAGCTCAAGAGCTACTTGACCGACTCCTCCGCTCGTGTTATCATGCTGAACAAGGAGTTCAACTTTATTGGCTCCGAGGGAAGTACCACTGAGAGTGGATGCCGTCCATCCAGCAACACCTGCCCCAACGACGGTGGCCAGGACGCGATCAATGGCGCAAACTGGTGCACCAGCGGTGGATACCCCACTGTCTCGGTCACCTACGATGTCGCTGGTACTGGCTACATTGATGTTAAGAGCAACAAGTAAGCCCCACCCCCAATATTCCAATACCCCAATAATTCCATAAGCAAATAACTAACACACATCCCACAGGTCCATTGTCGGAGTTGGCAGCGCTGGTGTCATCCGTGGAAAGGGTCTCAGGGTCGCCAACGGCGAGACCAACGTCATCATCCAGAACGTGCACATCACCGAGCTCAACCCCGAGTACATCTGGGGAGGGGATGCCATCACCCTCGCCGGTACCGATCTCATCTGGATCGACCACTGCAAGTTCTCGCTCATCGGTCGCCAGATGATCGTCACGGGATACGACCAAGCTGGGCGCCTCACCATCTCCAACAACGAGTTCGACGGCCAGACCAGCTGGTCCGCGACCTGCAACGGAAACCACTACTGGACGATGCTCTTCTATGGTGCCAGTGACTTGGTTACCTTTGCGGGCAACTATGTCCACGATTGCTCAGGCCGTGCACCAAAGGTTGGTGGCTCATCGGAGTCGAACATCCTCTTCCATGCTGTCAACAACTACTTCTACAACATGCTTGGTCACTCGTTCGATATCGGGACTGGTGCGAATGTCCTGATTGAGGGTAACGTCTATGATGGTGTCACCACCCCGATTACCACCGCGAGTGCCACTGCCGGGGGACAGATCTTCAACGTTCCTTCCTCATCGTACACCTCTAGCTGCACTGCGACCCTTGGACGTGCTTGTGTGGTTAACAGCGTCTCGAACAGTGGATCCTTCGCATCTTACACCAACACAAAGGCGCTGACCAACTTCTCAGGGAAGAATGTGCAGGCTGCTACTGCTGCATCGGGTGTGGCCTCAAGCGTCAAGTCGAACGCGGGTATTGGAAAGATCGGAAACTAATTTATTTCTTGTACTTTTTTTGTTTAATACATAGTTTATATGGAGGGAGTGGTGTGAGGGGGGGTGGGGAGTTAGAGGGGGGAGCATGTACGATATTTAAATACCAATCGAGTTTGGTCCTAGATCCTTTTATTTGGCGCCTCGGTCTTCTTTCTTGATAAGTGATTTAATGGCCATTGATAATTCGAAACCTGCTAACAAACTGATGTGATCGTGGTCGAGTAATGTTTATGCTGAAGTGCACAGGTAGGTTTCTTCTGTACTGCGAAAATAATAGATTGACTATGTAGTTGTTAAGAGGGGTAGTTACTCATGCCCTATATATAGTTAGCTATTGTGTTCTTGTCCTCTTCTTAGAGTCCCGTTGTCTAGTCGATTACATGTCCTTAACTGACCCTTATATGTATATTTCTACTAGTACGGCCTGGTCATTCACACCCTTTCGAAACATTCCCATCACCACTTCTCTCTCAAGACAATTATCCATAAGCAAATCACAAACCACACGCCCCTCAAGACACTCCACGCCGTTCCACAGTCTCCAACACCAACGCCGCAAACCGCAAATACCACATCACCAACTATCACTCGCCACCAACGTCCAACCTCATGGCTGGTACTATCCCCCGATATAAAAGCCTTGGCTATATAATATAGTCATATACGATTCCACCAAGCTCCCACTCCACCCTCACGATAACCAATATCTATAATAGACAGTTATCCAACTCCTCGAGATCGGTCAACCCGTCCGAAATTTTCACCCACACCTCCAACCCCCTTATTATAGTAGGAGATTTCAACATTCACTCCCCCGCAGCAGACCCCATGAGAAACTTCTCTGATGGGGAACTCCGCCTCTCAGGACCATACACCCACTCTGCCACAACCAACAACTTCTCACTCTTGAACTACCCAGGCACCTAAACCCGCCACTCCCCAGACCCCCGAAAAAGACACGGAGTGATCGACCTCGCCTTCGCTAATGCAAGAGCCCTCCCCCTATTCAGCAGATGGCAACCCCTCCCCGAGGCCACCGGCTCCGACCACAGGGCCATCGCCATTACCTTCGCCCTTCCCAACACCGACTTCACCCTCATCATTGGCCCCAACTGGAAACTCACAGACTGGACAAGCCTCCAACCCACACTCCAGAACCTCACAATCCCCAGCCCCGACCCCCCAGCAAACCTCGATGATTGGTTTGAACAAGCACTACAAGGACTCACAGATACCCTGAAGGCCCACACCCCCTCCAAAACAGTCACCAAATGGTCGAAACCGTGGTGGAACCCCAACATAACCGAACTCCGCACAATTTATCACTCCGTCCACCGCGACTTCAGGAGAGGCCTCAGCCCCCCCTTCGAAGTTAAAGCGGCAAAGAATGCCTACTTCAACGCAATCAAAAATGCGAAGCGCACTCATTGGAACTCTTTCGTGTCTAACGCAGCCACCAGCGATGTCTGGAAGCTCAAAAAGATGGCGACAAGATCAGAGGACAGAGTCCCATCCCTCCCTAACTCACCCACCCCCACACTACTGAACCAGAACCTCGTCAAAGCGTTTTTCCCACCCAGACCCGATACAGGCTCTCCCCCCCCCCTCAACTTCGCCCACGTCCCAGACATCACCCCCGAGGAAGTAAGAACCACCCTCCTCCCCACTTCCAACCTTTCAGCCCCAGGCCCAGACACCATCCCCTATTCAGTTTGGAAAGGGGTCCATAAGGCCAATCCAAAAATCATCCCCGCACTCCTTAACCCGCTCCTAAAAAGCGGCTATCACCCCCTCTCCCTTAAAAGAGCAAACAGAGTTATTCTGGCAAAACCGAACAAAGCCGATTACACCCTCCCCACCTCCTACAGAATAATTGTCCTCCTCCAAATCTTCTCCAAAATACTCGAGAAGATCGTTACCCCTCGCCTTGCATCTATCGCCAAGGCAGTAGGCCTCATCCACCCCCACCAATGCGGATCGGTAGCTGGCCTCTCCACAGCCGATGCAGTCACCACCCTCCTCCACGAGACCAAAGCCATGCAACACGCTAAGCTAAAAGTCTCCACCCTCTTCCTCGACATCAAGGGAGGCTTCGATAACGTCGTCAAACATACCCTTGCCTCCACCCTCGCGGCCAAAGCCACCCCCCCGTACATCATTAACTGGGTCCTCTCATTCCTCTCAGACAGGCACATCACCCTCCTCTACAAAGGCTCCCCGAGAATCCCAACCCCCGTACAAGTCGGAGTTCCCCAAGGCTCTCCCATATCGCCCCTACTCTTCATCATATACATGAACATCCTCCACCTACACAACCCCTCTCCGGGGCTAACCCTATCCTACGTGGATGACTTTGCAATAACCGTGGGCTCCCCCAGTTACCAACAGAACATCCATATCCTCGAAGACCACTTCAAGGCGATCACAACCATTACAGCCGCCCAGAATACCACCTTCTCAATCCCCAAGACCGAACTCATGCACTGGCGCACCCCTAAAGACAAGACGCCAACCTGCACACTCCCTATCACCCTCGATAATCAGGTCTTCCACCCAGGACATCAAGTCAGATGGGTAGGCTTCTGGCTATCCCCAAACTTCAACCCAAACACCCACTTCATCCGCCGCCTAGCCTCCGCCCAGGCAAGTTTCGGAATCCTTCAGAGATTCTCCTCCCCCGGCAAAGGCCTCTCCTCATCCAACTGCAGGAAAATCGCCCTTCTCGCCATACGCCCAATGCTCACATACGGGGCATCCGTCCTAACCCCCACCAGCTCCCTCAAGGCCATGAACAAATTCTGGAACTCGGTACTCAGATGGGCCACTGGCTGCTTCAGAGCAACCAACCAACGTGTCCTATGGGCCGAGGCCCACTGCCCCCCCCTCATCAACTATATCCACTACCTCAAAACAAAATTCGCCATCCGCGTCCTACTCGCCCACCCTCTCAACAACCCAGTGACAGGCCGCTGCCACCCCTCCTTCCCTACCCTGACCCCCGATAGTGTCCCCTCCCACACAAGCCTCCTCCGCGGCCGCCCCAACCCACCCAAAAAGTGGAACTCTACGGCAACAAAGGGAGTGGCCTACCTCCCCATCGAACACCTCTGCTCCCTCCTCCGGAACCCAGTCACAAGAGGAACAGACCACAAGCTACTCCCAAAGCTAGCAAAACAACAAATGCTAGACAATTGGGCATACGACTTCCCAACACCCCCATACTACTCCTTCCCCCTCACCACAAGCCCTGAACCCTTCATGGACTTACACAAATTCACGGCGACTCGAATCCATCAAATGAGAGCCCAAAAAAGCTACCTCAGAGGCCACAAATCCTGGCTCAACCTCCACCTCTCTGACAAGTGCGACAGATGCGGCAAAGGCCCTGAAACCACCGAACATGCCATCCTCTCTTGCCAAGCAAAGGCAACCCAACACGCCCAACTCCTCCCGGGAATCAAAACCCTCGAGGAAATCTGGAACGACCGCACCAACTCACTAGCTCTAGGAGCCTTCATTACCGCCACCAGAACGAACTTCCCCAGGAAGGAACGTATCTCCCCCCTCTTGTCTGGATCCGAGACGTCAAGCACCCTCAGCTCCCCCCCCCCTCCACCTAGCCACCACAAAACTCAACCCAAATTACGGTACCCCGCACCCACAAAGTCCCCCAAAGGGGCAACAGGTTATGTGAAACCAGCAGGAAGTTTTCCTATGTCGGATATGGGCCGCCAAGGCGTTTTCTTTCCTTGCAGTCAACTAGTAAATTTGTTTGGTTTTCCTTCGTCGTTTCTGTTTTCTTTTGTTTATATGGGGTTGTGAATTTCACTGGTTAAAGTCGGGGAGAGGTACTTTTATGCCATAGTCTACGACTGCATGCAGAGTTTTATACCTAGAATCAATTAAAACTACATGATATAAAAAAAAAAAAAAAAAATATTCCACCAAGCTCTTGGCAGCAGTACTAGTAGATATATGAACCGCAATTATTGGTGGGGAATATTATAATAATAGACTACTCCTTGTCTTAAGTTTTACGTCGTGCTACCACATATATCGTACCTACTGGCTAATGACTAACGGGCTTTTTTGGAGATAGGCTAAACTCTGGTCTTGGGAGAAGCTCTAACGGGTGCTTGGTTTGTCTGGATGGGTGCCTTGGTACCGTTACGATCTGGACTTGGTCCCGCTATCTAGGTGATCTATAGCAGCCTACCATGGTCTATGGCTACTGTGGGAGAATCTGCCGGCTGTTGTGCCTTGTGTGGCTCGTCCGTACACCAACGCAGAAGTATTCTGTTCATAACCATGCGGTTGTAGCTGGCTGGCCATGGCATTGAGACGATGGAAGCTCTGCACTCGCCTTGTGGTCTAAGTAGTGCCAGCTCGGTGCTTATACGCACATACATTCAGGCCAGGTCTGTTAAGACAGAGTGTCCCTAATCCTCGACCAGCCAGCAACAAACCGAATCCCAACCAGTGTTGAGCTAGTAACCCCCGCAGCCCGCCACACCGCACCGCAGCGGGTAGTGTACCCGCACCCGCAAGTCTTCATCGCGAAGAACAATCTAATTTTGCGCGGCGGGGAGCGAAGTAGGGCCGGGAGATATACCGCCCGCCGCATCAGTCTCTAGTACCAAGCTACATGTGGATACATGTACAGACCCAGATACCGGCATCCATGCACCTACGATCCATCTGCAAGCGGGCGGAAGAATGCTCGGGCACCCGGCCGCATACCGCAGGCATCCGGGTATACTTATACCCGCGGCCTTGTGCTGTGTTCTTTGGCCAGTATATGTACTGCCAGGTATATGTAGGGTGGGCAGATATTATTAAAGTATGATATAGGGCAAGAACGTAGGGTATATAGAGTAGGAAGAGGAAACTTTGGTGAATATTTCAGTGGCGGTGCGCGGTGGTGATTAGTGATTGCTCGCTTCCATGAGATTTATATCTAGGAAGGTAGGAAGACAAGAAAGTTGCTAGCGAGGGAGAAAGCTATAGCTGTCGAGCTATAGCTCTGTCTGCATCTGGGAGCCATGCGATTTATAGCCAACTACCTCCAAGACCAGGATCGAAGCTAGCAGGGCTAGGTAGGGTTGCGTTGGGTTGTCGCTGTAGTCAAGTCTGCCTTACATCTCAACACTGCATCTTTTAACGGATATGGTTTTTGAGGCCTAGTTAAGGGTGAGAGGCGATTTATCCGTCCATGAGTTAGTCGGTTAGTTGGTGAATGTAGACGAAACACGTTGTTTCGCCCTCTGTGATATTGCGGGCGTTTCACCTAGAGCGCTTCCCTGGCTAGCTAGCAGTAGTAGACAGTAGTACAAGTGCCTAGTAGAGCTTTCAGAAGTACATGTAGGTACATGTAGTAGAGCACCTATCTCGTGACTCCCAGGCAGCCATGTACATATGATGTACTCAGGAACACCCGGCCAGTGCATCCGTCTCGGTTAATCCCCGCCCGCCGAGCCATCACCACAGTCCTGGACTATATCAGAGCCCTTCTATTGCAGCTTCTAGGTAGGTATGCTGCAGGTAGGCTCGGAAGTTTATTTATCATTATTTTTTTTTCCAGCACCCTTGTGGGTAGTCGGAGAGATCCCCGCGAAGGAGGAGAGTTGGGATCGGTTCGGTAAGAGAGAGCCGAGCGAGAGGAATCTGTGATGATCTTGTGAGAGAGGCCGGAATCTGTGGTGGTAACGTGGTGGTGAGGGTGGTGGTGAGGGTGGTGGTGTAGGGTGGTCATGGATCGCTCTCAGGTACGGACAGGTACGGGACACATGCGGTAGTGATGGGCGGAGGGCGGATATCCTTATTTTGACGACTGACTGCGAGACCCCCGAGTAACTATCTACACAGTCCGTTTTTTCTTCACAGAGAAACAGATATACTCTAGACGATACCCTGAAGACATTGAGCTCTCACCAGAAGTTAGCTACAAAGCCATTTAGCTAGCCTCGGTAACTTGACTACTCCCACTCATGCTCACCTACATGTACTTAGCCCAGTCATTCCCAACGGCAAACGCCGCCCCAATATATCCATATTCCAAATTAGGATTTCCTGCAACCATGGGCACCATCATATATCTACTTGTACTATAGGATTCCAGCTGCCCCATGTAGAGTATGTACTCCAACCTAAAATCCCGTTTGCAGAACAGAGCAAGCAGAGTCGGTATCAAGTGCGGGGTCGAGTGATACCCAATGAATCGGCTCAATGCCAACAGCCTGAGTATCTACCTACACCCACAACTAAACAACGAAACGTAGGTTTAATAGTAGTGTGCATGTGTACCTGCTAGCTCGGGAAGCAAAGGCAGAAGCCCGAACCACTGTTCGGATGCGCGCTACCGAGGGGCCGTAGATTAATCTGGGGAAAAGGACTGCAGTACTGGCGAGGGCCGCACCCACGCATGCGTGCGTGCGTGTGGTGCGGAGAATTTTGCTGGTGAGGAGCAGGAGATGTGGAGGGGCGGCGTTGGAAAGCTTGTTGGGGGATAAAATCAATGTTGGGTGAAATCGATGGGGTGGTTGTGCTCGTGTGTTTCGAGGGAGATCGGATGAAATGTTTTTGCCATGATAATTGCTTTTTCTGAATAAGTGCACCTTGCAGGGTAGGTAGGTGCTTTAGCTACAGCTCTACTCCACTCCGCTCTACTACCTGTTCTAGACTCTGCTACACTCCACGCCGCGCTGCGCTACTGATCGTAGCGTGTGTAATAGTAGCGGTCTCGTCCGATATCTTCAATTGTCTGATTGTCTAGGACTACGCTGGTCCGTTCTTAGGAACCGGTGACTGACTGATTGACTGGCTGACTAGCATGGGGAACCCCGACTGCCATGCTCCGGGATATAAGCATAACAATCTTATTTATCACACACACATACATACACACATACACACATACACACACATTGGTATCATCCCCATTATTATCCCCATACGGGCGAAAGGGGAAAGCCACGAACGCGGCGGTTCAGGTACACCCTGTCGCAAGGGATATCGGAGCGGGATCCGGGGGGGACAAACAAAATCGCACCCACCGCCATCATTATTATCCGAGCCCGAGAGGAGAGGGTGAAGCTGGTGAGTTCCGTGCGGACTATTTCACAGTAGAGCGAATGGTATACGTATACGCAGTAAGTCTAACCTAGGCTCTACATACCTCCCATACCCATAATTCTCTCGGCATCATTAATCGCGAACAACTATAATCAAACTACCTAGTACCATGAGCACAACGAGCTCTGCCCCTCCCATTCACAAGCTGAAGGGACTTCAGTATAAGTACCTCCTGATCTGTCCCCCCTCTCCCCGAAGAAATTGTTCCGATTCTTCATCAGATCAGTCCAACAGCAAAAGCGGACCTGTCCTTCCTCTCCTTTGAACATCTGCCTGTCTCCACGGTCGTCCTCTCACCATGCTCACAAACATCCTCGTCCTCGCGGTGCTCCTGCCCGCGGCGGCCCTCGCCCAAGTCGTGGGCAGCGCAACCGGTTTCGCAAAGGGCGTGACTGGAGGTGGAACTGCTACCCCCGTCTACCCAACCACCATTGCGGAGCTCAAGAGCTACTTGACCGACTCTTCCGCTCGTGTCATCATGCTGAACAAGGAGTTCAACTTTATCGGCTCTGAGGGAACGGTTACTGAGAGTGGTATGTACACATATATATGTCCTGCCGGGGAAGCACGAGGAGGGGCTTAACCTATGTAGAGAAAGTGTGGCTAACCATTTATTGTATGTAACCAGGCTGCCGTCCATCCAGTAACACCTGCCCCAACGCCGGTGGCCAGGACGCCATCAATGGTGCGAGTTGGTGCACTAGTGGTGGATACCCGACTGTCTCGGTCACCTACGATGTGGCCGGTACCGGGTACATTGATGTCAAGAGCAACAAGTACGGAATCTCGTCCCTCACTTGTACCCGGTAAATGATACTGACATCCGCTACAGGTCTATTGTCGGAGTCGGCAGTGCCGGTGTCATCCGTGGAAAGGGTCTCAGAATCGCCAACGGCGTGACCAACGTCATTATCCAGAACGTCCACATCACTGTATGCTACTCCCACACATGCAATTAAAAAGAGAAAAAAATGAGCGGAACTGACATTGAACTTTGCAGGAACTCAACCCCCAATACATCTGGGGAGGTGATGCCATCACCCTCGCCGGCAGCGACATGGTCTGGATTGACCACTGCAAGTTCTCGCTCATTGGGCGCCAAATGATCGTGACCGGATACTCCGCCGCCGGCCGCGTCACAATCTCAAACAACGAGTTCAACGGTGTCACTAGCTGGTCCGCCACCTGCAACGGCGACCACTACTGGACCATGCTCTTCCTCGGGTCCAGCGATCTCATCACCCTCGTCGGAAACTCCATCCACGACTGCTCTGGACGTGCCCCTAAGGTTCGTTGATCATTACCCCATTTCCATCATAGAGTATCACTCGTGCTAACACACAACCAGGTCGGAGGTGCCTCTACCGCAAACGTTGTTCTCCACGCCGTCAACAACTACTTCGCCTACATTGGTACTTACCCCTATCCTCTCTTTTACCCCTCTAGCTGAATACTAACACACCCCAGGCGGTCACGCATTTGACGTCGCTACCGGTGGTAACGTCCTCATCGAGGGTAACGCCTTCGTCTCCGTCACCACCCCCATCACGACCGCATCTTCCTCCGCCGGTGGTCAGATCTTCAACGTCCCCTCAAGCTCGTACACCTCCACCTGTTCGACATACCTCAGCCGCAGCTGTGTCGTCAACAGTGTCAGCAGCTCAGGAACTTTCTCGAGCTACACCACCACCGGCTTCTTGGCGAACTTCTCGGGCAAGAACATCCAGGCGGCGACGGCGGCGAGCGTGGTTATCGCGAACGTTAATGCGAATGCGGGTGTTGGGAAGATTGGAAACTAAAATTGTTAAGTAGAAGCGGGGAGGGGGGGAGGGGGGGAGGGGGGGTTGGAGTAGATAGTAATTTCAGACATTTTTTGCCCTTAATTATTGGATGTGGATTGCAGATTGAGTTGTAGCGTGAGATGTATACAGGCGAGGATGGTTTACTAGAAGTCTAGGCATCTAGCTACATGTACCAGTTCTAGTCCGCTAGCCTCATAACGGTACTTTCGTCAATTAATGAATTAACAAAAAAAAAAGAAAAGAGAAAAAAAGTACTTCCGTCACGTAATATCACTCGAAACCTAACCCTAACTAAAGTCATAACATCAAATTTTATGATTTCATCTGTATCACCATCAATCCCAATAGATTGTAGGATTGTATCGTTCTTATGCACCTCTACTAGTATATACGTGAAATATCAACCAGTATACTTCCACCTCATGCCCGATTTATGTGTCGATCTGGTAGGAGTATTTGTGTGTAGCAATATTCGGGAAAGCTACATTTAGCACTTCTCCAGCACTCGGACCAGAGACTACGGGTCTCTTGAGGTTCAGATATACTAACGCTACCGCCTCCTTTTATCAAGAGATATTTCGAGTGTACCGAGCCCGACCTTGGGCTCTCTAGCTCCCGACGACTTATTTGATGGCTGCTGTTAATTGTGGATTCGGCTGGCTTTGTTTATCATTGACATATGTACATCCCCGGCTGCGAAAACAACTAGCTGACTCAAGTTAGTTTGAAATCGGTGTTGATTCGTGAACGGTCTCTGGGGTTTCTGGGGGGACGTGATCGAGAGGGTACCGACGCCGGACGTAATGATGTATCCGTCGATTCTCTATATTAATAGCACCATAACTCACAGTGTGTAAGGCTGTATAATCCCCTCACCCAGCTGAGTCAAGAGAGATGATTTCTGGCTCTGCGCAAAAAGAGTCTATATATCGAAGTAAATAGAAAGAAGAAAGAAAAACGCGAGTAAATATTCGGGCAATCATGCACAAGCACTCGGACCGGTCTAGTAGCCTGGTAATGCATATGTTGGTCTTAATCTGTCATGAAGTGTTCTTGTTCTCTCGCGGCCCTATTGGTGAATTTTAGCTCTTGCAGTTTCGCTCCCGGGGACTCCTCTCCTGTAATTGTCAATATTGATCAACCCGGGGGTGCATCTCGGCACAAACTACCCACCGCTCGGTAGCTTCGGGCGCAATTCATAACCCCGGACATTGCTCGCAGGGAGTCTCCATGGGCAGAGACGTAGACCTATAGATCCTGAGCTTTCTAGGCCGTTTGTTGCTTTTCTTGTCCTGGATCCATCATGCATGGGGTGGTTCAGCCCGGGTGATATTTTATGACCCAGGCGATCATTTCGTTAGAGCAGCGAAAGCCAAACAGGACCCGTTTTTATCTTTGGTGATAAAGAAATTGTAGGTAATTGAGAATTGTATAAGGCGACCGTCTATAACTCATGTGTAGCTCAATATCCTGAGGTGTCGTGAATGGTGTCATCTGCTCGAAGCAGCTGCGAAAGATACGAACATGGGCGCCAAGAGGCTGGCTGGCACAAGTGGCTTGCGCCATACCTTGATAGCTGCGCCGCTGGGACAGAAAGTTTGCATGTGGTGTTACAGCTATCGGTAGAATTATTGCGTTGGAAAATCGCCCTGCTCTCGGCGTGATCGTCGGTCCCTGTTTCCGCAATAATTCTACCGATAGCTGTACATTGTCCGAGTAGGCACATGTATGTATATGTAGGTATAGTTCTAGGCCATAAATCATGGGAAGACGCGGCGTAGCAACCTCCCGGGCCACTATGACTACCCACCCAGCAACCACAATTGATCCTTTGGAGAGCTGGTTTTTTGTATAGTTAAATAGTAGCTAAATAAAAATAATTTGACATTTAATATCTTGTGTACCAACCCCTTGCCTTTATAACAGCTCTATTCTCCTAGGCATGCTCTCAACTAGCTACCAAATAAATCATCAGGTAACAGTTCCCAGCAATGAATTAGACCTTCCTCCATGAGGGGCTTTAATACTTAAGGTGATCTAGCACCATATGCCAAATGGGGGTACTGTTGATGGTAAAGCTTCTTGAGGTGTACCCAAACATGTTCAATGGGATGGAATAGGCAAGCCAGTCCTCCAGAACATCTACCCTATTCTTCTCCAACCAGAGTTGTAAGACTCCGGTTTTTTTGCCACAGCAGGGAGGCTGGTCATTCCCTCCTAGCTGTCTGGTGGGGTACATGGTCTCTGGGCGCCATCGGTGGTGGTGAAAGATTTTGTGTTCAGGCGTTGCAACCTCGCGCCTTCCCATGACTTATGGCATGGCGCTGTACATGTAAGTTTTCAGCTTAGAGCTATTAGTCACGTAAGCTTTGCAGCGGCGGGCGGTCCAGGGTTGACAACCGCCGGGATTGTTACTAACCCCCCACTTCACATGCCACCCCACTTACCTATATCGTGGCTACGCAATTCTAAATAATTCATCCTAAGCTGTGTACACAAGATTTGGCTGTTATATTAAAGTGATGGGTATTTTTGTAATACCACAATGCAAATGCGGATCTAGAGCTCGAGGGAGCCTGCAAAGTCAGCAGTCACATAACTACTGGTGAGATTATCAGGAGGGCTGAGCAGAAGAGACTGCATGTATTTCCCCTCCTTGTATATATACCCCTCTCCCGCCACAAGTGCAAACATCTACATCTTACTAACAGGCGGATCACACATACGCATACACATGGCTGAAGCACTCGGCATCGCCAGCTCTATCGTCGGAATAGTTGCCCTGGCAGATGGATGTAGTTGCCTCGAAGGGAATACGTCTCTACACTACGATCAAAGATTGCCCGAAAGAGATCAAGATACTAGTGGACGAAGTTGATGGCCCTTGTGGGTTATTGGGTACACTCAAGCGCCGGTATGGCGCACTTATGGGTTCACAGAACACTGCAGGATTCAGCGTTCACTCCAAATCTCTCTTACAAGGCTGTGAGGAGACCCTAGATATGATAGATCGTATCCTTACAAAGTCGGAAGCAAGGACAGGGGAGACTTGGGCGAATATGGTAAAAAGGGTAAAGTGGAAATACAGGAAGGAGGACGCACTTGAGCTTTTGGAAAGAGTGGAGAGACATAAGAGTAGCTTTCAACTGGCCCTCTCGCTGGATAGGATGTGTGTACCTCATTTTATACAAGTCCATGATGTGTGGGTTAATCATAGCTAAAATTGCTGTTCTCCAAGGGAAACCCTGCAGGAGCTACTCGCTGGAAATAGTACTATTTCTCAGCACATATTGGAGAGTAAAGGCGAGACAATCCAAGAGATAGAAAGATCAAAAAGAGAGCTCCTATCCGAGTTGAAACAAATGGACAATCGCCAGGCAGGTACTCGGATAAGCAATGAGCAGAAAGAGAAAGGTATGTTTTCTACCCTTTGCCACCATGTAGTCATGTAAGCCGACTGGCGTTATACTTTCGAAATCTTTGCTGATCTTTCTAGATAAACGCCGCCTCGAAGTGCTAAGTTGGCTATCGCCGGTCGACTTCAGGGGAAAACACAACGAAGTCAAGCGACATAGGTATGAGGACACGGGAAATTGGTTCTTGAAAAGTTCCGAATTTCTTGATTGGTTGGGGAAACTAGCCCCTGTGAATCTATTGTGTAAAGGCACTCGTATGTAGACCCAAACACAATAGTTATCCCCATCCTGACTCCTTTGCCTCTCGGGTTATAGTCCTTAGCGAGATGTTAAAGAGATGCTAATAGCGGGGAATGATAGCTGGTGTGGGGAAAACATTTATAACGTATGTGATTTTTTTGTAATGGAACGCCGAAAACAGAGCTCACCTAATTTTAGGTCGAAGATAGTGGACCATCTAGAATCACTTTTCCCAGATGTACATGGGGATGTTGCCATTGCCTATGTTTACTGCGAGTTCAAACAACGTGTCACCCAGACCTCAGAGTTAATATTTGCTTCCATTCTACAGCAATTGGCATATCGTCAGCCAAATCTGGATCCTGAGATAGATGTTCTATACAAGAATAGGAATTCTCCGCGCCCTCCCGTAGAAATGCTAATTTCAGCAATTCTGTCTATATCGCGAAATTTCAACGCCGTATATATAGTTTTTGATGCCTTGGACGAGTGCGATGAGAAGAATCAGAGAAAGGATATTCTCACCTATCTCCAGGGATTTTTAAGGGCACCCTTCAAAATCCTCGCTACAAGTCGGCCTCATCCTTTAGATATTACCGCTGCCTTTAAGGGCGCGGCCAAGGCAACTATTCGTGCACATGATGACGATATTGAATGTTACGTGAGGCAAAGAATAAAGCAAGAGCTATCGACTGGGATCACGATTAAGCGGGAATTAACTGAAATTATAGTCAGGCAAATTACTTCTAAAGCAGAAGGAATGTGAGTAAAATAAGAATCTCTCATGTTATACGTTTTCTTACGGAATAGATTTCTGCTTGCCAAGTTTCATATTGAGTATATCCTCAGCAAATTAACAGCAAGAGATAAGCGGAAGGCTGCTATAAGTCTTACTTCAGACCTTACAGTCGTCTACGGAGCAATTATGGCCACTATCGAAGAAAAACAGGAATCCCGCGAACTTTCACTTAAGATATTAAAGTGGATTAGTGCTGCAACGCGGCCACTTCAGTTTCAGGAACTACAGATAGCGATCTCAATAGAGGATGGCGATGCTGAGATAGACGAGGAGGGTTTTCTGGATGCAAAGACTATGGTAGATCTTTGTGGGGGATTAATCGCTATTGAGCAGGAGACCGGCGCAGTCCGCTTTGTCCATCATACAGTCCAAGAATATGTTCTTTCCAATTCTAGCATTTCCAACGATTCCCATTTACTCATCACCAAAACATGCCTTACATACCTGTCATTGGAGACCCGTCATCGAAAACTATTCGATCGAACACTGGCTAGAATCAAGGGATGGTGCTCCATAGATGAGCGACATTTTTGGGATTATGCAGCCTGTAACTGGGCGTTTCATATGCGAACCATAGGTGAACCTAAAGATCTTTCTATAAGAGTACTGGCAATGCTCGCGTCTCCAGATTTGCTCTATGCATTAGCACGAACCATATGGTATTCCTGGGATGCTAATTGGCTAGAGAAGGATTATCAGAGTCTCCCCCTACATATTTTTGCTGTTTCGGGCTTGAATCGTCTAGTCCAGTTGGCACTCAAAGATTCTAGGCTGAGTATCGATCTTAGGGGTTTTTGTGATGGGATATTGCCACCATCAAGAGCGGATTTTAAAGATGCATTCGGCCAGACCCCGCTAGCATTGGCATCTAGGGAAGGGCATGAGGCAGTGGTTCATTATCTAGCCGGGCGGGAAGATGTCAATCCGGACTCAAAAGACGGATATGACCGGACACCGTTAGCATTAGCGGCTAAGGGTGGACATGAGGCAGTGGTCCGTTTCCTGGCCGAGCGTATAGGCGTTGAAGTGGACTCCAGAGATAGATATGACCGGACACCTCTATCATTGGCAGCTGAAAAGGGCCATGAAGCAGTGGTCCGGTTCCTAGCCGAACGGACAGACGTTGACGCGGATTCGAGAGATATTCATGGACAAACGCCGCTGTCATTGGCGGCTCAGAATGGACACGAGGCAGTGGTCCGTTTTTTGGCCGATCGAGTAGATGTCGATGCAGACTCTAGAGATATACATGGAGACACACCGCTATCATTAGCGGCTGGAAGAGGGCAAGAGGTAGTGGCCCGCTACCTGGCCGACCGAACAGACGTCGACGCGGACTCGAAAAATGAAGATGGCCGGACACCCCTATCATGGGCGGCTATGAATGGACATGAAATAGTGGTTCATCTTCTGGACAACCGGACAGACGTTGATGCAGACTGGAAAGATTTTTATGGCCAAACCCCACTATCATGGGCGGCAGAGAATGGGCACGAGGCAGTGGTATGTTTTCTGGCAGAGCGGGCAGACATCGTAGCGGACTCGGCAGACAACACTGGTTGGACACCGCTTTTGTTTGCAGCTGCACATGGACATCTGGCTGTTGTTCGTTTCCTGGTGGAGCGAGCAGACGTCAGTGTAAACTCGAAGGATACTTGTGGTAAGACACCACTGTCCTCGGCGGCTGAGAATGGGTATGGGGCGGTAGTCCATTTCCTTACTGACCGCACGGATGTCGGTGCGGACTTAGAGGATCATACGAGTAAGAAACTGTTATCATTTTAAGTCATCTAGCTTTCCATACTTAAATAGTATATATTATCCAGGTCCTTGAAGAATTAAACTTTGTTTTATAATATAATGTATGTATCTTGCTAGAAATTTGAGATTTGACGCCCCGTTTCTTAGGACGTCGGCAGAGTCAATAGAGGTGTTAGAAAGAAGGTAAAGGAGTGTTAAGTACTAATTGGTGTGAGATAAGATAAGAGGCCTGATATCCTTAAAATTTGTTTTGTTCTGATTATAACGTTAAAATATCAATCACAGTCTCTAGGCCCATATCATCATTATCATATTTTGAGTTTGATTATATTGGAAGCCTTCCCGTGGATATTTTTGAAGGTTTGTAGACGTTCAAATGTGGTCTGTAGATCCCCCCAGGGGGTGTCTACAGAGTTGTTGTGAGCCGTTTCTATGCAAGATCCGTAATTTATCTTCAAGGCTTCAAGTTTGAACACCTTCAGAATATCCACGGGAAGGCTTCCATTATGAGCCTTCATAATATCAGTTACAAAAATATCCATATTCCATTGTTGGGTGCCTCGGCTTAATTCCCAAGGTCTCCAAATTCAACAAAGATATTAGATCCTGACGTCCTGCTAGATGTATCTCTGAGAATGAAATGTACCATATGTATATGCTCCTAGGACTGGTTTATGATATATGATTATATATATTATGAATACAGCTACTCACCTATACTTGATCGTTGAAATTCTGGTCGCTAACCCATTACCGGAATTTAATTCATTGGTTTACAGTCTATCACCAGTCACTCTATGCTTATAACTTGTAGGAGCATGGATATAGTGAACTTTCACTAGATCGACATCCCATAAACTGATATCTAGGGTCGGAAACCACACCTCAACACCTCAACACTGCATCTATCTCACCTTCCGAGTGATATCACATGAAGGATTGCAAATCCTTTGTGTAGTAGTATTTTACCACTCTAACTCATGTATTGAATCAGGATACTAGACCCTCGAAGATCAAGTAGAGGTATGATACGGCAAATAAACCTTGGGCGTAATTTTGCCCCCAAACTCCCATATTAGAGAACTCCTTCCAGTAAAAAGCAGTAAATTTTCATGGGGAGGACAATCCTTCTTATCCCTTGGACGAATGAGACAGGAATTAACAAATCGAGAAAAACACCGAGGACTCAGATTCACAGATTTCCACTTTCCTAGCTCTTGATTGTTCATTTTGGTGTGTTCGAATTGGGACCAGCCCAAACGCGACCAGCGCGGGACGTTCTTGGCATAAATCCCCTGACAAGAAGTCACGTTGCTTGCGAGCTTCGCTCTCTAGAATCCCATGGAAATAATCAGCTCTCAGGCTCCATCAAGGGTGTAAGTAGAATCGGGCATTGGTAAACTTGGAAAGAGATCAGATATAATGTTATATACCTCAAGAGGAGGCTTTGTTTTCAATAAGCTGGTATGTTTTGAGCACTGGACGAGCGACGCGGAGACCTCGTCCTCTCCTGGCCCCAGCTTCATCATCATGCAATGGGATATAATTGTTCCATTGAAGGTATGGTACGGATTGGGGTAAAGGAGCTACTCACTCTGCCTTTAGCAATTGAAGCCATGTGTCGAGCACAGCCAGTGGTGGCTGGATGTGCGTATAATGTCTAGAGAGTAAGTCCACAGTAGTAGACGCGTGCGATGTCGACGTGTCCGTGCAAACCGCATCTGCAAGGCTCCTCGATCCGCACAATGTGAGCTGAGAAGCTTTTGAGGAGAAGAAAACCGAGTAGCTTTCTTTTAGAGGCTACATGTTGGTGATAAGTGTGTGTGTGTGCGTTTGAAGAAGGTTGCTGTTATGGAGACTTTTGTATGAGTGATCTGGGGTATCTGAGCTGCTGGATATCGGGTAGAGCCGGTGTTGGTGGGGATTTGTTACATTTCCTTTTTTTCAATCGATGACAGCATCTTACAGGACAACACCGAACGATGTCTGAAAGTGAGGCGGGGCTCGCGGTTCGTGTCCCCCACCCTTCTCCTTCGAATTTTCTCCGCACTCCGTAAAGAGTCTAGACTTAAACGTCTCAGCCTTACCAGAGTTACCAGCCTTAAAATATCACCCTCTCTCCCTTTCAAACTTATCACTATCATCACCACCATCATCAAAAGAATACCTTCTATCATCATAGCCTAGCTCTTTGTTAGTACTGCTATCGTGTTCCTCACTTGTAGGCATCAACCATTCAAAGAAAACCAAACATCCTCAACATGGCAGCAGCAATTATCGAAGCTTCGAAAAAGCACCCCAAGCCGGACCAAGTGTTCTCCTATGGAACTGCTGGTGTATGTTATTGTCCCCATATCAATTGATACTTCTTAGTGTCCATAGCTAATGCTTAAGCTTCCCTGTAATAGTTCCGGATGAAGGCGTATGTTTCCAATTCCCAGGGGTTACAAGCAGTGTGTTTCTAGCTGCTAAATCTTTGTGGGGTATACAGGTTTCTCCTTGACTCGGTCGTCTTCCGTGTTGGCCTCCTGGCTGCACTCCGCTCGCAAAGGCAGGGCGGCAGGACTATCGGTCTTATGATCACTGCCTCCCATAACGTCCCTGAAGATAACGGTGTGAAGCTTGTTGACCCCATGGTTCGTCTCGCTTTCCATAAATACATGTAAGATAGGGAAACCTAATGATCATTTTTAGGGTGAAATGCTTGATGAAAGATGGGAGGCACATGCAGCGACCCTGGCCAATGCTTCAAGCGACGAGGATCTTGTGGCTAAGTACGAAGGCCTTATCACCGAGCTCAAGATAAACACTTCTGTTCAAGCCAATGTTATCTTCGCTAAGGATACCCGTGAATCTGGCCCTGCCCTCGTGGCAGCACTTACGGATGCACTCAATGCTGTTGGTGCAAATTTTACAGACTATGGCCTCTTGACAACACCCCAGTTGCACTACCTTGTTCGTTGTATTAACACCCAAAACCTGCCCGACACCAAACCATACGGCGAGCCCACCGAAGAAGGCTATTACACGAAGATTGCGGCAGCCTACCGGAAGCTCATGCAAGGTAAACCCAGACAGGGACAGGTGACGGTAGATTGCGCCAATGGTGTTGGGGCACCTAAACTGAAGGCCCTCGCCGAGGCAATTGGGAAGGATATCTTCGATGTCAAGGTTATCAATGATGCTATTGATGTGCCTTCAAAGCTCAATTCACAGGTTTGTTCATGCTCTAGAATCAATAATATATGGACTATCGTTAAGAATTAACTTTACTCTTTAGTGTGGTGCCGATTTTGTCAAAACGCAGCAACGTCTTCCACCTGCCTCTCAGGCCTCCGCACTCGCTCGCTGCGCCTCGCTCGACGGTGATGCCGACAGAATTGTCTACTACTTTTGTGACTCTGACGGTAGCTTTCATCTGCTTGACGGAGACAAGATCGCTACTCTTGCGGCCTCTTTTATTGCAGATCTTGTTAAGGCTGCTGGTTTGGCAGACCTTAGAATTGGTGTAGTGCAAACTGCGTACGCAAATGGGTCCTCAACAGCCTACATTACTAAGACCTTGGGCCTCCCAGTCGTTTGCACTCCAACCGGTGTCAAGCACCTGCATCATGCTGCGACCAAATTTGATTGTGGTGTCTATTTTGAAGCAAATGGTCACGGCACTGTTACTTTCTCCCTCGCGGCGCACAGCGCCATTGCTAGCCATTCCCCAGAATCTCCTGCGCAGGCGACTGCCCTTGAGAACCTGCGAGCCCTCGTCGACCTGATCAATGAGACCGTTGGAGATGCTCTTTCCGATCTCTTGCTCGTAGAAGTCATTCTCGCTCATAAGGGGTGGGGCCCCAAGGAGTGGAACAGTACCTATACCGACCTCCCCAACAGACTTGTTCGAGTTGAGGTAAAGGACAGGTCAGTATTCAAGGCGACCGATGCCGAGAGGAGACTGTTAGAGCCGACAGGTGTTCAGGAAAAGATTGATTCTTTGGTTGGGAAATATAAACAGGGGAGGAGTTTTGCTAGAGCTTCCGGAACCGAGGATGCCGTCAGAGTGTACTCAGAAGCTGGAGAGAGAGCCGAAGCAGATGAGCTGGCAAGGGGGGTGGCAGATATCGTTGCGCAATTTTAAAAGTTTGATCATAGGAAAGGATCGTATCCAGTTTCCCTGGGACCTCTTGTTTTGATACTCTGGGGGATTACATGGAGTAAGGTTGCGTATATACCTCTGTGAGGCTTGGAATTAAAGCTACGCAGTCTTTTATTCTTGCTTTGTTTTATAACCAATAAATGGATGATATGTATGTTGCTACCTTGTTCAGAAATTGTGATTGACAGGCCGGAGTTTGCATGGCTATGAAAGTTTTATGATTGGAGGGTAATGAATGGCCCACGAGGCATTGAAGCTCGATGCCTCGCCTCGATAGAGCTCAAGGCATGGGGTCCGCAAGCGAGCATGCTCGAGGCAAATTCACCTCGCCTCGAACTGCTCGAGGTTTAAATAATCATATTACTATTAGTGACATATATCCAGTGAGATTGATATTATTTCCTATAGAAACATTGGAAGTATCCTTTACATTACATATATTCCTATTATTCCCAGACCCCTCAGGCCAGTCTCGTCAAGATTTATACCAAACCAATAACTATTTACTCTTGGATTAAATATCTCTATTAATACACTTTCAACTGTAAACCCATGATCTTTGATAGGTCTAAATATAGTAATAATCCGCCTCGAGAGCAGCTCAAGCACCTCGAGACACCACCTCTCTCTTGACGAGCAACAAAGGCACGGACAAACAGAGGCAGAGGAACCTCGAGGCACCTCTCCCTGCTCGCCTCGAGCAGCCTCGTGGACCACACTAGTCCGACTCAATTGAAATGGAAGTTTGTTGAAGATATCTACTGATAGTAATACTATCATACTCGTCACAAGAAGAGAACTTGCAGCAATGTTGGAAGTCCTGAAACTTAGAGGTACTCAAGGGATCCATCTGAATCCTTGATCACGATTATGGAGCGTATGGTAGAGAGGAAAGCCGATAAAGAGAATCCGGCTATAGATAAAAGTTAATTGGTATGGAGGATCATCTTGAGAGGCACCGGCCGGACCCCGGAAGATACGAGTTGACCGAGGGAAATAATTGTGGGGTTTTATTAGCTTCCGGGCTGCACACAGCTAATGAATTATCAATCAATCAATTGTGGAATTTCATTCATGGATTATCACTCGAGATTCGTTGCACGGACGATGACACCGGAGAGCGAGCATTCGACCGACTAACCCCACGTACCACCACACATAGCTAAGATCGATATATATACATAACTACAAAGGGAAAGAACCCCGGGAAGCACGAGTTGGAAGCCCTAAGACTGGAAAAATGTGTCCCTGAGAAGATGGTATGTTTATAGCTCACTGTTCAGACTACATCTATAGATCTATGGATGCTGACTACTCATACTAATAAGGAAAATGAGAGAGAGAACGACCTAATGTTAGATACATACTGGATAGAAAAATAAAGAGAAAAAAACTAATATTACATGATACAAGGAAACCGAGCTAAAAAAAAAATTTAAAAAAGAAATAAAAACGAATACTACATGATTACAAAAGAGACTAGAGAACCGAGTTATAAAAATAAAATTTAGAAGACGAGAGAAAAGGTGTCAATGGTCAGAAAAAAACAGAAAGGGAACAATGGCGGGTCATCGTTTAATTAATGAAGTCCCTAAATTTCAAAAACACACAGAGTTAGTAAGCTGCATGATCGATCATGGAGATAGAGAGATACATACCATTCCACTCTGATCACACCGACATCCTTCTGGTTGTTGGTGAGGCCATTGAAGGCCCCAACAGAAAAATCTAACTCAACGATTAGCAACTACGAAAGATAGATGAGGCAAGGTTAATAACATACCAACTGCTTCTCTCGCACAAGAAGGACAGGTGTCGCGAACAGTGGCCTCAATTCTGTTTCCCCTACCAGGGCCGTCAAGAGCCCTCGCCCAAATTCTCTTACCGCAGTTAAGCGGGCCAACGTTCCTGAATGCGGTGCTGAGGGCGACGATGTACGCAGAGTCCTACACAAGATGTTAGTAGTGTTTCTATCTTACATATATAGTATAGGATTGGAAGTTCTACTTACCGGGAACTGCTGCCCGCAGGAGCCGAAGCCCCCAAACTGGTTGTAATATGTCCCCCTACCAGTCATACTAATAAAGAGTTAGTAAAAAGAAATATATATGAAGATAACTAGGAACCAAGGTTACTTACGCCCTACGTTCAAGGGTAGGATTGATGACTTCAGCAGTGACCGGGGCAGCAGAGACCATAGGAACGGCAACGGCCATGAGGGCAACGAATTGAGAAATGGTGAACTGCATTGTCGAAAGAGAAAAAAAGGCTATTGGTTATTCGAATTGGTGAATTTAGGGGTTTTTTTTTTTGGATGATTTTTGCAACTGGAGGGGGGGTGTTCCAGGTATTTAAAGATCGTGGAAATTTCCACCGCCATTGGGCCTTGGTGCTGTAGAACAGTTTGTTCGTATCTGAAATTTTAAATGTAGGCTTTTATCTGCAACTTTTACCAAAGTCACATGACATGTAAACTTACAGAACGTACAATGCACACCTGAAAGCACCTAACGGCTGTTATACGTAGCAAAAGCGAACCTCAATTCGAGCTGGTTAGAGTAGTGCTAATGATATTATGCTACTGGGCATTTTGAGAATCTAAATAACCCAGAAAGCTGGTAGAAGAATCTCACCCGTTCTCCCAAGAATTCGTCCTCACTGCTTCACATGCCAAAAAGAATTCCACTCCATCATCCCTCGAATTCTTCGTTAACTACAACTAAAAAAAAAAAAAAAAAAAAAATTAGTTTTATATTTAGCATTCTAATAATCTATTATTTTCATAAAATACAAACTGTGCGCATCTACTGCACAGCAACAACCACTTGGTTGTCTCTGAAAAAATTTCCTCTCGACACACCACTGACCCTCAATGCAGAAGATGCAAAAATTTGCGGGCGGTAGACACTTTGAGGACCCTCAAAAAAACCACAGAAAAAGTCTTTCTGCCGTTTATCAGGTGGCTATCACTTACCTATACACGTAGAGAACACCTATACATCAAGAAACAACCACAAATATGCCAAGATTAAATCAAAGTTGTAAAAAAGACCCTATTGAGCAATGCCAAGATAGCCAGCTTCGAGTTCCGCCTACGACTGTAATCACGGTGATTGACTCCCGCGTGGACAACAGTGGATGGATAAAGATCTAGCATACACTTACGAGTCCGAGTACGTCCAGGTCGACAACGAGTGAGATTCTGTGATCCATGTTTATGAGGTTTTTTGTTTTTGTTTAATTTATTAATTGCATGCAACTATGTTCATGAGGTTGCTCATGTGCTCGCACATGATTTGCCCCGGCCCGCTGGCCAGCTCGGGCATGATCGAATGGACACGAAGAATCCAGAAGATATAAGGAAAGAGCAAGTGAGGGAGGAAGAACAAGTGAGAAAGATTATTGCAGGTCCTGGGGATGCATAACGTAAGACCTGTCTCTCGTCCTGGTCCCTCAGAAGCTAACGCCCTCGGTGGTTCTGCCACTTCGTCCTTCTTAGCTATCGAGACACACATCTCCCCTCGCTGCTGTACTCCTAGCCAGTGTTGGTATCCCATACATACATACCTACCGTCGTCCACACGTGTATGGAAAAGAGCCTGACTTACCGCGGTCAAGCTTGAGATACAGGAGGTCGACTCACCCGCCGGCCACACCGCCAGACGTCGACCACCACACCCCCCGAGATGCCTACAGATACGCACAAACACATAAAGAGCATATATACACGGCGAGTATCCCCAGCGCACCAATTCACGCCAATCACCCCTTTCCACTTCACTCCTGCCCCCCCCGCACTCCCCCCACACATATCGAGTGATAACCCATGAAGGACACAAAAAACGCAAATCTATATGCTAACCCGTCCGTCCGCAAGAAATCTATACGCAAAACATACCTTTTACCTGTAAGCCTAGGTCAAGCCACAAACAGTCCCATAGCGTGCGGGCTATACTACCTACGGGGGGAGCACGAACTATATAGACCGGTGTCCATTTACCCCCTCCCTACATAACAACCCATCTAGATCATATAATCGACCAGCACAGCACGAGGAACTATGGACATTGATATTATACTATACGTCGTACTACATGGTAGTAATATACTACATGTAGCTCCCTCTCCATGCCAGATAGGTTATGCACACGATATCCGAAATTGGGATCATGACCCATCACTCGTCTGTGTTGTGGTTGGTCACCAGATATCACTCACCACCTCATATGACCGCCGCTAAAAAATCAAAGAGCAGGTGAACACCAGTGGGAATGTTTCTCTTTCTACCACCAAACCTCTAGATAATAGTCGCTTACTCACCCGCCTGCTCTGTTTGTTTGGGTCTCAGCATCTGCATCTGCATCTGCATCCAGTGCCGGTGCCAGATCTCATTACCGAACTACCTAACTACCGGCCAACCATCCAATTGAACCAAGTAACGACAAAAATTAACATGCAGTACACCCATCCCAATCCAACCATCCAACCCTTCACCACCCCTCCCCCACACCGGGGCCCCATAACCTACAACTACAACTACAACTACAACTACAAACTACAAACTACAACTTCAAAGCTGCACAACAATTTTTATAGCCGCTCAAAGCCCGAATATAAATGAAAAAAGAAAAAAAAAGGTATATAGGTAGCGCGGGGTGGGTGGAGGGTATCAGGGAAGATTGGGAGGGGGAGGGTGTGATTATGGTCCCCGCATAAACAAAAACAGTAGAAGAAGAAGGGAGGGAGGAGAAGGAAAAGAGGGAGAGTCTTCTACTCCTTAAACCTCGATCCCCCGACGACGGCGCCGCCCATGTGCCGTTTTGCGTCCACGATTAGATACCTTTACACCACCAACACCACAGATTAGCACCGCGCCCACACTCCCGGTAAAGCATAAACCTTAACAGAAAGGGAAAGGGGGGGGGGGTTTAAAACTTACTTATACCACCACACGGCCGGCATCACCGTCGCCGCATGCCACAAACTATGCGCATCTATACACCCCCACAGCGGCGGAAAGTCCAGCAGCTCCAGACTCATCGCCATGACCAGCCACGTGACAATCAGTCCCGGCCCCGCAGCCCACAAGCTCTTCTTCTGGCTAAAGTTCTTTATCGAGAAGTATGTCCAGAGGCTATTCTGGAGGATCCCGACGACCACGTTGGCGGCCATGTTGTAGCCATAGTCCCACTTGATAAAGGAGAGGTAGTAGACGTGCGCGACGTATGCCGCAACACACACGCACGTCCAGACGCGCAGCAGCCGGCGGTGGTGCGGCTTATAGAGGCGGAAGACGCGCACGGGGGCGAGATAGAGGCCGTAGAGGACGCTCGCGCCGGCGGCGAAGTAGTCCATGCGCTCCGTGAAGACGAAATCGCGCATGTGGAAGACGGTGCTCCAGAACCAGGTGACGATGCCGAAGAGGCCGAACAGGCGGTAGTAGGGCACGAGCGGGTAGTTTCGGGGGAGCTCGCGGCGGATGGTCTGCTGCCCGCGGTAGTGGGCGTAGCCGTTGAGGATGCTGAAGAGCACCGAGAAGGGCTCCTGGATGCCGAGGAGGCGCACGAACGGCCATTTGCCGTGGAACTGCTCGATGGGCTGGCCGGCGTCGTAGCGGGAGGCCGTCACGGCGTGTTGGCAGGTGTAGTCGCATTCGGAGGGGCAGGACCAGAGGAGGAGGCGGAGGTGGAGGGGGATGGGCGTGGGTGGGTCGGAGAGGCAGTGGGTGGAGTGGCATTTCTGCGGGGGGTGTTAGCGGGTGCAATTGGAGGGAGGGGAGCTCTAAGGGGGGGTGGGGGGGGGGCGAGAATACCTTTACGCAGTCCTTAAAGTCGGGGAGGCGGTCGCCGCGCGAGGCGTTGGCGGGCCCGAGGAGAAGCGCCAGCGACACAAGTGCCACAGAGGCCACATACGCCGCCCGGGAGAAGAGCCGCATGGTTGCACGAGATGTGTAAAGTCGTCAGGACAGACACAGGGAGCTGTGCGGATTGCGCGATTGTGTGAAAATGGGGCGGGAGAGCGGGCGGGAGGGTGCGAGCGAGCGAGGGGGGGGCGAGGGAGGGAAGGGAAGCAAGCGAGAAACCGCTCGCGGGAGTGATGGCAACCGATCGCTGTCTGGCTGTCTGGCTGGCTGGCTGGCTGGCTGGCTGGAGCCTGGCTGGCAAGGGATGGAAATAGCTATGCCTGTAGCTGAGTCGACGATGACTGAATGGCTCGCCGGTCGGTCTCCTATTCGAGATCAGAGGCACATGGACAGGAGGAAATGGTCATAGGCACAGCTGGGGAATGGTCATAGGCACAGCTGGGGAATGGTCATAGGCACAGGCACAGGCACAGACACAGACAGGTACAAGTACAAGTAGGTATGTAGGTACTCGAAGGAAAGTAGCAGAGCAGAGAGAGAGAGGGAAAGCAGCTGGACTCGAGATGTCTTTCTCTCCCTTGATTGATTAATTGATTGCTTGTTCGCTCTCCCCCTTCCTTCCTTCCCTTGTTGTTGAGTCGTTGTCCACCTGGCTACTTGCATGGCGAGTATTATACAGCATCTATATAATATCTATATACACACGTCCAGTCCAGAGCATCCAGAACATGCTCTACGACAGCGCGATGCCTGGCCGAGTGCTGCTGCTGTATTTACCCTTAGGCACTCCCTCGATCACTGACTGACTGACTGACTGCCTATTCCCTCATCAACAGACACTCCCTCATCCCTCATCATCTCCATGCACCCAATTGAATTACCCAATCAAACCAAAACCAGAAAAGGCCAGTTATGTAGCTATCATCGTACTCTACCTAGTATGTAGCAGTCATTAAAACCCTCTCCAATGTCAATCCATATCCATACCGCGCCCGTGTAACCTCGCACACACCACATACTCTACACGCACCACACCCCCGGTCTTACTCTATTTTGTTCTCACTCGCCCGGCACCTCCGGAAAAAATATCGCTAAGCGTAGCGTGGCACTGCATGACATGCCTTCCGGAAATACTTGTTGAGAGGAGAGTGCCGTGGAGGCCGGGGAGGGAGGGGATGTACATGCTGTGTTGGGAGAGTGCTGGATGGATGGATGGATGGAGGTGGTGGTGGTGGTGGTGGTGGTGGATGAGGAGGGTGTAGGTAAGATGGGGAGGGGAGTGTGGAGAGAGTAGCTATAGGGAGATGGATGGGGACGAGGGAGGAGGCAAAGAAAGGTAGAGAGTATGACCTGAGAGAGAGTAGAGTACCGACATGTAGGTACATGACCTCCCTCCTCCGCCAGGCCTCAGTGACGAACCTCTGTGCATCCCAGTCCCAGACTCGCACCTTAATTGCGAACTAGGGTCTTGATCGTTTAATTCCCCGGGACAGCCAGTAACAATTAAACAGCAGCTGCAAGTAAACACCTGAAATCAAAACGTTTAATTGTTTCGTTCGTTTAAAGTAAAAGTGCACTTTGATTAAATGCCATCTATCGTCATATACAGCTAGCCCCTCTCCTCCCTCCACTCTATCAACAGCAGCAACAACAATTCCAGGGCAATCCCAGCCTGCCACTGTTTAATTGTCTACGATATGATCACATGTCGGCCCGCGTACTCTACATACACCTGTCGTCGTATCGGGCATCGTGGCGGATGGCGAATGACTACCTGCTTCTGCTTCTGCTTCTGCTTCCTCCTCCTGCGTATTGCTTGCCTGATTGCGTACTGTGTGCAAGGGTAAAACATTATCCTGAAGAAGCGAATGTTTCTTGCCCTTTCTTTATTTATTTTTTTTGCTTTTTAACAGTGAGGGGAAAAGAAAGAGAGGGACCAAAAAAAAAAAAAAGAAATGCCCAACTAGACAGGTACATTCCCTCCCTCACTGACTACCCCGCCGCCGCGCCGTTTCGCGGAGTGGAAAGAGGGGCTGTGGAGTCTAATTGGCACGCACGCGCGTGGACGTTGGGAAAACAGGAATTGGAGATATGTATGTATGAAGGTAGAGGAGGGCTGGAAGACCTGAAGTAGGTATGTACAGAGTCACAGGACTGAAGGGAGGACAGAATTAAGGACAGCAGGACAGAAGGACAACGGCCGCTGTACATGCTGCATGTACGACTCCAGGGCCGAGATCGATTTGTGATGGCAGCTGGTGGGAGTTATGATAGTTTGTGCGAGTTAAGGATTTGCAATTGGAGCTGGATGGCTGGAAAGCCATATCAGAGGTAGAAAGTACTTTTTTGTAGATGTTTAAGCAATTGCCCTGCCCGAGTACCTACATCTACAGTAGTAGCATCGTATATCTAGATACTTTACATCTAGACTACATCCACATCCACATCCGTACATGTATCTCTACCTACATCTACATCTACAGCCCAGCCCAGCCCAGCCACCCATGCCATCATGCCATGCCAGCCATAGATAATCGTCGGGTCCCCGATTGATACGATACGATACGATACCCTGCAATATTGCTTGCTCTCCGGAACATACTTCTATATACCTACCTACAATCCTGATTACTCCACTACTAGGTACATGTATATATAACTGGACCCTGAAGTACCACTCCTGTCCAATACGATCCATTGCCGCGGGCCCACTATGTTGTACTCCCTCCTGGCTAGCTAGCCGCCCTGGATGGATGGATGGATTGGATGGAGTCTACTAGCTGTGCCTGAGGAGGCAATTGAGGTTCGTACATGCTTCCATCTGGCGGCGGCGGCGGCCTGCCTGCCTACATCATACCTCATCGTGCGCAACGTGGGGCTGCATGATGTCGGCAGGCAGGCAGGCAGGTAGGCAGGCAGGTGGAGATGTATGTAGCTAGAGTAGAGTAGTTAGTGCTGGCAGTCAGTAGAGTAGGGTCTAGCTAGCTGGGGTTTCGAGTCGGGAGAGAGGCTGGTGTCGAGATGGATGGGTGGATGGGGAGCTAGCTAGGCCGTCGAGGGGAAAGGTGAGGGTAATGATAATGAGATTATTTTCTAAAGGAAAGTGCAAAGGGAAAAAATAAAATAAAAAATCAAATTGAGGCAACATAGACATCGTGCTCGCGCGCGTCATCATAACACGGCCTCTTATAATAATAGACATTTTTCTCCTCAACTTCCCCCCATGGCTGGCCCTATGGCATGCCATAGGTTGAGAGGAGAGGGCCGGTGTTTCAGTATCTACAGCAATCCATCATCATGTACACTCCGCGCCGGGAACCGATAATATTATTCCCAATTGCCCATTATTATGCAAAGGCATAAGCAGAGCAGAGAGAAGGAAAAAAAAAATTAATTTAATTTAGCTTTCAATTGGTTTTTTTTTACATACAGTATCATATCACAAATATGCAGCCATTACCCAACCACTCGCTCACCCGAGAGAGGTTAGCTGCCAGCGGATTTTCTGGCAAAAGCAGGGAACTTTCCATAGAGCTTCGGAAGCCCCTACATACATTACATTACATCGGACCCTTATCCCCTTCGTGCAGGGGGGGGATAAGAAAGTGGAATTATTAAGAGGGAGAAAAGAAAACTGAGGCAGGCAGGAAGGCAGGGCCGCGGGAGAAAAAGGGTTGGGGGAGTTTTCCGGGTCGATGTCTCCAGGGAAAAAAAATTAGGATAGAAGACCTGGGAAGAGCTGTTTTTTTTTTTTTTTTTATGACTGCTTCTTACTTAACTACCTACCCGCAGGTTCATGTAAGTAGAGTGAACGAGTGAGTGAGTGAGTCGAGTGCCTCTCATATCTACTACTACTGCTCTACTATTTACTCTACTCTGCCTAGGCCTACCACCGGCCTACCTTACTTTACCTACTCTACTACTCTACCTGCAGTTTACAGGGTCGACTGTTCAGGCAGTGTCAACCGCGTCTCCATTTAAAGAACGGACGAAAAAGCAAAGGGGGGGCCAGAAACTGAAGGGGGAGCAATAAGAAGGAGGAGGAGTCGAAGGAGAAGAGGAAGAAGAAGAAAGCAAAGAATTACGAACGAGAGAAAGAAGAAAAGGGATCCGAAACCAACCGGGAATTCGCATAATAATAATAGCGATCAAGACTCGCCCCCCTCTCTTTACACGCCCCCCCCCCCCCCTTCTCAATCTCACCTATCTATCTTGCCATCCCCCTCTCAAACCCAACTAACAACCACCACCAACAAACCCACAACCTTCCCCATCGTGAGATAGTAGTTGGAAACAAGTCCAGCCTAACCTCTTACCCTCACTCCCCCCCTCTCCCCTCCTTCCCTCCCGGCCCTCCCCATCTCCCCTCCTCAGCCATGGTGACCGCATTCCAGTTCTTTCGCGGGGGTGGGTCCTCCTCTCCCGCCTCCTCCGCACCAGGAACCCCCCTCCTCACCTCCCACGTCACCGCATCCACATCCGCCGCTACCGCGCCCGCAACGCCGGTATCGGGCCCCACGCCCACGAGCGGGCTTCCGGAGTTCCAGAGCTTGTCGCCGCTGTCGCGGCGTGGGTCCCGATCCTGCGGAGCGCGTCGACGAGTATGGGGATGTCGACGTCAGGCACTACCGCGACTACATCCGCGAACGCTGTGGCCTCACCTAGGCCGCAATTGCCGCTGAACACGGTAGCTGCGGCGAATAGTTCGTCGGCGTCAAACATGTTGAGGGCTGTAGCTGGTCAAAGGTATGCTTTTTTTCTTCTTTCTTTCTTTAATTTTCCTGGATTTTTCGAATTTCACTGGGCCTTATGATTCGTGTAATTCTTTTTTTTACTTCTTTATCTCTTGATACGCTTTATCTGGTACTGGCTGGCGGTTTGGAGATTGTTCGAATCGATATGGTTCGGAGTCGTCATCGTGCCTGATTACCCCCCCCTTCCTTTCTTTCCTCCTCCTCCGATTTGTCTTTCCCCAGATTGGGCTCTTGACTTGAAATATTGGGGGGGGGGGGGGTGGAGTGATACATCTTGTGTGGACTACCTGCTACTATTACTACATGTACTGCTACTACCGCTACGCTACTCTGCATCGAGGTGTCTACCTCCACCACCATACTCCATATTCCATCATACCCGCCCCCCTCCCCCCCGAATCCCCCCTCTCTCTCTGCTTCTTCTTCTTCCTTCCTTTCTCTACTACACCCTCGGTACAGCGGACGTAAAAGGGACGCACCGCCACTTTCCCCCAAGTAAAAAAAGATATCCCACTAAAAATCTACATTACATCTAACGCCCCCCCCCCCCCGCTTTCCACTTCACTTCTCGGCAACTAAATCTTTTCTACTATTCCCCCCCCCCCCCAATCGTCATCTCTAATCTCCCCTCAATTTCTTTGTTTTGATATATACACTTTTTTTTTCCCCCTCTTCTCTTTGTCTTTTTGGTTCATGCGCCCTTGCGACTCATCTCCTCCGCCGGAATGAAGCGTGCTCTATCAAACCTCCGCCTCAATCTACTGGGGCCAAAACATCATGGCAAGGCTGACAATTCTGATGGCGATCTTTCTGGCGATAGGTCCGATGATGATGACCATTTGACCGGCGGCCAGACCACCCCTCACCCAAGTGGGCTCGACAAGAGATTGCCGCAGATCCTGCATGGGTTTCAACAGGTTTGTGGAGCTCTCGTTCCTCCTAGTCTTGCCCGAAAGGCATCGTGTCCGCCGCCGTCGTCTCCCCTGCACAGAACCATTATAGAAGGAGAGGGCGGCGGCGATGAGGAAGATGGCGGCAGTGGCAGTGGTGGTGCTGGTACTACTGCCACCACAACCACCACTGCTGCTGCTGGTGTCGCCAGTGCTTCCGCTGCCGCTGCCGCTACTCCGCCGGAAGAAGAGGAGATTGATTCTCCCTCTTCCTCTGCTACCCCCTCTGCTGTTACTTCTGCGAGTGCTTCCACTGCTGCTTCTTCTGCTGCTACCAGTTTCTCTGTACCCGACCGTCATGTATTTTCTTCCTTGTCCTCCGGGGAGCGCGAGAAGGATTCCTTGAGACTGACAGCCTCTGCTCTTCTTGAGGGAAAGGACACGCCCCCAGCGACACCCCGCGGCACCACCTCGGCCGGCAGCGCCCTGAACGGCGCCGCTGCCACAACCACTACTACCACTGCTACTAGCAATCCCACGCCCCCCCCCCCTCCTTCACGTCAGCCTACAGGTACTCTCACGCCCACATCGGGCTCCACGTCTTCTGGCGCCACCAATTCGTCTTCAGGCGGTCAGCATAATACGCCGACGGTCGGACCCCCGAAGGGTAAGATGGTGGTGCGCATCCAGGAGGCGAGAGGCCTCAGGTCGAGTAAAGACCCGTATGTGGTGTGCACCTTTGAGAGTAATGAATTCATCTCAAAGGGGCCGAAGAAGGATGAGACGGGTGCCGGAGAGCCGCAGGACAAGAATGGCGCATCAGCAGGCATTGCGATCCCGATGAAGAGCCGCCAGAGCTCGAGCACTAGTTTGTCGGAACTGCAGGGCACAATCTCGAAAAAAGGAACTACGAATCCAAAGTGGGAGCACGAAGCGGTGTTGTAAGTTTTGGATAAATCACTCCTCCTATTATTATTATCATCTTCATCCTCCCCTCCCCTGGCCCTCTTCCCCTCCCTCATCTTATTTGGTTTGTTTTTTTGTTTTTGTTTTTTCCTGTGGAATAGCGTTTTGCGCGCACTGCACCCGAAGTTCCCGCGCATGTGCTGTGTAATGTGTTGAGGCTTTTTGCCTCACGATTATGTAGCACGGCGCTGCTCCCCCTTCATCCCCCCCCCCCCCCCACTTTCTCCTAGAACAGATAGATACCCCCCCCCCCCCACTTGTGTCACACCTCGGCATATATCTACTTTTATCCGATGCGGATTTTCCCTCTCATGCAAAGAGGAAAAATTCCACCGGTAGGCGAGCGAGTTTTGTTTGCAATAGTGTTGACTGGGTTCGTGTGTAATCAGTGACGTACTTGGGGAGCATTCCGAGATCGACGTTTCGATATACGACCGCTCGAATCAAGAATGTTTCCTTGGGCACATCCGCATGTGCCCATTGGTCAACAGGGATCAGAACATGGCCGATACATGGTATCCACTGAAAGCCCGAACAAGCAACGAGAGTGTCACCGGAGAGATCCGGCTTCAGATTAGCTTCGAGAAGACGACCAAGAAGCATTACGGGCCCGATGACTTTGAGGTATTGAGGCTCATTGGAAGAGGTTAGCTATTACACAGCCAGCAAGGGCATATACATGTTATCAATGTGGGAAACAGAATGTTGATAGGAACTTGTGTTGTCGCGTAGGAACATTTGGCCAGGTGTATCAGGTGCGCAAGAAGGACACCAACCGGATATACGCCATGAAGGTTTTATCGAAGAAGGTCATCGTGCAGAAGAAGGAGGTCGCGCACACACTTGGCGAGCGAAACATTCTCGTCAGAACCGCCACCACCGACTCGCCCTTCATTGTGGGACTGAAGTTCTCGTTCCAGACCCCGACGGACCTGTACCTGGTCACGGACTACATGTCCGGTGGCGAGCTCTTTTGGCATTTACAGAAGGAGGGCAGGTTCCAGGAGGAGCGCGCAAAGTTTTATATCGCGGAGCTAATCCTAGCGCTGGAGCACCTCCACAACCACGATATCGTCTACCGGGACCTGAAGCCCGAGAACATCCTGCTGGATGCGAATGGCCATATCGCGTTGTGCGATTTTGGACTGTCAAAGGCGAACCTGTCTGCTAATGCCACCACAAACACGTTTTGTGGAACGACAGAGTACCTTGCGCCGGAGGTGCTGCTGGATGAGCAGGGTTACACCAAGATGGTGGACTTTTGGTCACTGGGTGTCTTGGTCTTTGAGATGTGCTGTGGATGGAGTCCGTTTTACGCGGATGACACCCAGCAGATGTACAAAAACATTGCGTTTGGAAAGGTCCGCTTCCCTCGGGACGCATTGAGTCTTGAGGGGAGGAATTTCGTCAAGGGTGTAAGTTGGGTCCCGCTCTACGATTTGCGTTGAAGAAGACAACTGACATTACTAGCTTCTTAACCGAAACCCAAGGCACCGTCTGGGAGCTACCCATGATGCTAAAGAGCTCAAGTCCCACCCCTTCTTCGCCGACATTGACTGGAACCAGCTGCTGCACAAGAACGTCATTCCCCCGTTCAAGCCCACGCTTAGCTCGGAGACTGATACTTCTAACTTTGACCCTGAGTTTACAAATGCGCCCATGTCACAGTCACTCAATGCTCGTGCGCTTGCGATGGCTGGCGGAAACATGGCGAGCACGCCGCTGTCTCCGGGAATGCAGGCTAACTTCCGGGGTTTCACCTTTGTGGATGAGAGCAGTATGGATGATCATTTCCTGGGACGGGATGAGCTAGCGCGTATGGATGAAGACGTTGAGGATTCAGAAGATGCCTGGGATGACAACCAGGATAGGCGGAACAAAGATGGCAGAGGCTATGATGACAGACGGGGTAGCCGTATGAGTGGTATTGAGTACAAGAGGGATGATGAGAGTGGAATATTTGGTAATGATGGCATGGATATGTGATGAGCGGATGAAATTCTCTATTACCTTCCAAATTCCTATTATTCCTTCTCTTCTGTGTTTCTCTCACTCTTTTTTTCCTTACTTTCTCCGTTTTCTCCCTCTCGAGCGAATTTTTTATATTTCTCTCTTGTTGTGGGTTGTGTATGGGTTGGTTGTATGGGTTGGTTTGGTTTGGTTTTTTTACCAAAGGTTGGTTTGGACACTACTGGGTCTTTCTTTCAACAAATATTGGGCGAGGTCTGGTTGGATAAGGGTGGTTGTATTTTGGGAGATGGCCACGTTTTCCTTTTAATTCTTTTTTTTCTCTTACCACATTTTTTTTTTACGAACTTGACTGGACTGTCATCGTCGTCGTTGTTACGAGTCATTGCTACGAGTATTTATTTTTCTTCTTATTCACTGTGTGTGATTTTCTTCTTTGGGGTTTTTTCCCACCCTGTGAGTGAGTTTTTCCTCTCCGTATTGACAGGAAAAATTATCATTTGCCTTGTATACCAGGGCAGCTGAAACCGGGAAACCCTATTTGTTATATTTCATGGAAAGGAGGGGAGGGGATGCCTGAGAATAATGACCATTTTCCTATCATTACATTCTCAGTTTTATTTTCTTTTTTTCTTCTACCGTTTATTTTATTATTGTTTTTTTTTTTTCCTCTTCTCTTTTCTCTTCACGCCCCATCGCCGGGCACCCCCCCAGATAAAAGAAAGAAGCACCAAAAAAGACGGGTCTCCTTTAGAAAGGTCTTAATCAGTTGGAATAACTTACACCAAAAAAGAGAAAAAAAGAATGAAAAGAAATGGAAAGAAATGGAAAGGAAAAGAAAAAGAATTGTGTTTTTTTTGATCTACGTACTTCTATGTATGTACCTACCTCCTACTAGCTATGTACCAGCTCGTCCGTTCGTTCGTTTGTTCGTTCGGGGTTAATAATTAATGGCGAGGGTTGAGTGTTTCCAAGTCCAGAATAGAATAAAAAGCCAAAAGCTTGTATCCTACGCACTATTTAGAGCTATGACCACCATGACCTACCTGTCTACTGGCTGACTGGTGTTTGGCTACCATCATGCACAACTGAGCTGTCCCTGAGGAAGAAGGGGGGTGGAGTGAGGTTGTTTCAAACTTCCAAGGTCCAAACACGTGGGTCATAGCAAGGCTTGTTATATCGCGTGATGTCTCATGAACCTCACAAGGCTGAGGTGAGGGTGGAGCGTTGTTCCTTCCCTCCTTTCGAGCCGCTGACATCATTGTTTCCCTTGGCGCCCCCAGGATGTGCAGAACGAATGAATGGATGGGGTAGTTGTAGCCAAAGGGCCTTTTTTTCTTTTCCGGCTCGCTCGGAGAAGGGCGGTGGATCTCTGGGTCTTGGGTGCGTGGGTGGAGTACAGTTCTTGGTAGGCGGTCGGCCTGCCGTAGATGATAATGTGGTCAATCTTACCTATCTATGTAGCTAGAGTTACCTATCTTGCAGAACGAAGGCCGACAAATCAGGATGGATTACGAATTGATATTGATGGTGATGGCGAGGGATGGTGAATTGGCGATTGGCGGTTCCGGCTATCTACTTACTCTACCGATAATCAATCGCCAGCAGGGACGAGAGAGAAGGGTGGGGGGGCGGGGCAGCGGCGGGGGTGCCTGTCTGTTTGGCGGCGGCCCGCTTGCTCGCTAACTAGAGCTAAGGTAGAGAAACAGAGCTGGATATCCCTCAGGTGAGGATCTCCGACCACCCCTCCTTCACACATCTAGAGATTGATCTCTCTTCTCTCTCTTTAGGGAGTAGAGCACCCAGAAAAAGATAACTACATGTAGATATGTGTTCCTCGCGCTCGGCTGCAGGATCCGCGTTGAGCTGCGCTGAGGAAGGCCGGGGGAACAGTTCAAGGTATATCGGTATTTATTTTATCCGTTCCAGTGCAAGTGCCTGTTTGTTATTTCGAATTCCTCTCACCCCAGATAGGAGGATCGAAACGGCTCGGAGAAAAAAAGAAAAAAGATGATATAATCTAACATGTTCTAATGTAAATCCCCCCCTGAATGTTGATTCTGGATGGAGAAAGATGTGTGGTCGAGTAAACCAAAACGAACACACGGGTGGCCCGGCCGGAAAGGCTTGTCGTTGTTGTTGATCTGTTGATGTGTTGATGTGTTGATGATCCTCCTCCTCCTACCTACATGTACCTAGTCCCATGTAGTTCCTCCTCCTCGGCTTCTTCGTTGAGCAGTGCAGAGCAAGCAAGCGGCAAGGATCATTAGGACCCTGATCGCGCCGTGGAGGTCACGTGCTGCGGCGCGTCTCCCCGCTGGTGCTGCTGTCGCTGCCGCCGCCACACACGTGTCGAGGTCTGGCTCTGAGTGAGAGCCTATTGTAGGTACTTGGTTTGGGTTATTTGGCAGATGTGGTATTTAGAAAATGGTACATACTAAAAGTAAAAAAGGAAGAAAGAAAAAAAATTACACCAGAGCCAAAAGAAACTAGAAAAGAAAAAAAGAAAAGAAAAAAAGCTGTCCCAGCTACGTTCTATCCAGAGAGCTACACACCCCATATATAATAAATAAATAGAAAAGGAACTCTTTTTTTTGAGGAAAAACACTCAAACCCTCGCGACCTTCGCCGCGCCTCTCTCCAGCTCCAGCTCCAGCTCCACGTCGCCGCAGCGCCGCTTCCGGGCGTTATGGACATAGCGCATCATCTGCGGCGTCTTACTACTGCTGCCGCTGCTGCTGCTGCTACCACCCATCCCATCAGCTGAGTTCATCGACCATGTAGACAGATCAGGGAGGCTAGAACAAACTCTTGCGCCGTGGGTCTTGGTACTGCTGCTGCTCGTGGGTCGAATCTGGTTAGGCGCTTTTCGCGGAGGGTTTGGAGGTCTGGGTGGTCCGGAGACATTGGTTTTTGGCCTGGGGTGGGAGGGTAGGTGGGTAGGTTACGGTGGTATCGGTGGTGGTAGTGGTGGTAGTGGTAGTGGTGGGGTCTGTGTTTGGGGGAGAGGAGAGAGTGAGCGAGGGCCCTGGCTGCTTTGCTGGAGGAATCTAGAGTAGAGTGGTGCTGGCTGGCTGGTGTGCCAAGACACGTGGTGATCGCTGCGCACGCGCGGTGTATGGTAGGTTAGGAGCGGCTTTCTCGTGTGTGCGGCTATAAACCCACCCACCTGGAATGTGACTACATGTAGCTTGTATCTATGGCTGTGAAAGGTTTGTGGAGGAGGACGGGTATCGCGTGGCCGATAGCTACCAAGGGCGCTGCCGCCGCGGCTAACTGGGACACCGGGTGTCACTCGGTCTGTATGACAAGGTTGGCGGGGTGTACAGGTGAATGGCCGCGCGAGGGTTGATCTGCGAGGGGCTGCGAAACTTTACTACCGCTGAAAAGTGGGATTTAAACCCTTTTTGTTAAAAAAAAAAAGGGGGGGGGGGGAAGAGGGAAACGTATATTCATAGCTGGTCACTCGCGTTTGAAAGTGGTCTGGAATTGGGGTAATGACCTTTGACCTAGCTATAGACGACTTCACTAGCAAACCGGACAGCCAACGATGATTGGCGGAGAAGAGGTACAGAAGCCACTTAAAACGTTGATCTTCTCTTTCCTACGTTGACTGTCCGAGTGAAGGGGGTGTCCGAATGGCCAGGGAAACCATCTATTGGAAAGTGGGGGCCTGTATAAAAATGAAGTAGCCAGTTGCTTATTATCCTTATACCCGCCCTCAGGCTTGCACTAAGTTATTGGGGCTTCGTATAACATGATGTCAGCTGGGAATCGATCCTACATCGATCGCTATATATATATGGGTTCCTCCGCGCTTGAACGCCCGCAACGAAAATGATTGGCGTGTACCTCCTACGCAATTTCAATCCGCCACAAGGTTTATTTGAGGTAGAATCGCAGTACCTTATGCCGAGAGTTGGTGCTGTGTGTGTGGGGGGGCAGGCAAGTGGGTCCATATTATGTTAGTGAGCGCCTCAGGCCTCCCTGGATCGATCCTGGGTATCCTTTGTTTATATTCAAAGACTACAGCTTGTTGAGCAGAAGGCTTACGATTGAGCCAATACCACTATACCTCTATGCTGACTGACTGACTGACTCTGGCCGGCTATCTGTCTCAAGTGCGAAACGATCGATTGCCATACTGGTTGCAGATATATACGTTGTACTCGGCAGCTGTATTATCCTGAGCTGGGCCCTGGTAGATTTTAATTGGGGCAGAGTTGTTTCTAACGTTAGCAGAGTATACATCTGTATACGTATGTGACGGTACATGGTGTAAGTACCGCGCTTTCTCCTCTTTTCGTTCCCGCAATAGCAGTTAGTTTAATTATGGGCTCTTATATTATGTGAAACATACATAACCCCTGCCCCCCCCCCCCCCCCGGGGCGGCCGTAAGTGGAGTCATAGCCCATCACTTGCAATCAAGACGACCTTTCTCCACCAATGTGACTTCCTTTCCGAACCTTTGGGATATCCGTGCCGGAGAGATAGATATGCCAGTGGGTAATAATGGATAGGCATGTTCTTGCATGTCAGGCTGGAGGGCGGGGTGGGGGCTCTAGTGGGTGAGCTAAACTCGTTAATATGCGTTTAGTCATGACTAGACTACTCTACTACTACCTCCACCGCCTTCCCCCAGCTCCGCCCGCGCCACAAGACCCCCACCTCAAATCGCCGCTGTGGCCCTACGCTCTGCGGCAATTTACACAACCGCCGCGCACCCACTCACCGTCTCAGTGTCTGTGCTCGGAAAGCTGTCGCCCACCGCAATCCAATTCGAGTTTATCCGCACTGAATCCACCCCCCTCCCCGTTCCACTTCATCCGGTAGTGACATTGGACGATGGGGCGATAGATAATTACACTACACCTACACCCATTGACAGCCATGAAAGCCAAATCTGGAGCTGGAAACAAAAAAAAAGGGGGGGGGGGGGGGGGGGACGCCTCCAGAGCTGAGAGTTAGAGGCGGATACCATCTACCCACCCACAGCAGCATGCATGGGGGTGGGGTTGCAATTGGCGACGGTGCATGGAGCGTGGCGCTGGCACATTGAAGGGGTTTCCAGGATCCAGCACTGAAGGACGGAGAAATATATGGCAGCTCTCCGCTATCAGCATTTAAACACTTCTACCGTATATAATCATCTCCTCTCTCTTATTGAAGCTCTTAAAAAACTTTTTGGTGGTCATGCCTACCATGTATTGGCATCACAGATTCTCACTCGCCAGCTCGTGCACCCACCAACACTTGGCGTTGCACAAAAGGTACGTAGACATAGCGCATAGTCAAACACATGCACTTCTCCATGGATTAGCTGTGAATTAGATTAAAGTATATAGTGGTTAGACGAACCTCTACACGAAATGATGCGAACAACTGGCTGGTGGGAGCAAAAAGAAGAAAAAAAAGAAAAGGAAGGGGCACGTAACACACACGTGCCCGCGGGCTAAAGGCATTTTTGTTTGTTGCATTTTGTGTTTGGCTTTTTTTTTGTTGGTTATCAATAAGAAGCTGTGGTTTCGATTAAAGGTTACAAATTATATTGTGAGACGACGGGAGAAAAAAGAACAACAAAAAGAGACAGAAGACTAGAAAACGGGGGAAAGAACGCAAAACTAAAGAATAGGAGAACCCTCTTACAACTCCCATCCCCCTCCACTCCTGAGTCTTCATCTCAAACTACGAACCAAGATAGACACATGAACAGCCACTATATTGATCATGAAGCCAGCCCAGTCGCCCAGAAATACCTCCTCCCCCTTATATTCCCCCTTTCTCCACCTACTAAACTATTCGAACGACATTGAGATCATATTTGCATATCCTCTCAGAAGCTCGGCCCTCCTCTCCGGCGTCTGATTAGCCACAGCCTGCTCAATCGCAACTCTCGTTCTCTGCGGATAGTTAGAAGACACACGGTGCACAATATTCGAGGACCACGAACCCGAACTCGTTGCAGAGTTCTCTCGTCCAGCATTCTTGAGGTTGTAGATGAACGACCAATTTGGACGAGGAGGAGGAACTGGTGGTGTACCCGGGGGGTGAAGCCTTGAAGCTGGGTGGAGGTGCGCCTGGAGGTACGGCTGGTAGTACTGCTGAGGCATCACGACGGGGATGTTCAGGGGCACGGGGCGAGAGAGAGATTCTTCCCAGGGGGGGAATGGCTGCCGGGGAGGGAGAGGTGATGTGACATTGGGTAATGGATTGTCGGCCCGATAGTTCTGGTAGACCTGAAAGATTTCGGGCCCGGTTCGTTGACTTGTCGGTGTAGAAGCATCGCTGCCATCTCCTGGAGGCTGCTCCTGTTGATTGTGTCTTTCAGCTTCCTCCATTTCGGTGGTGCAGTCAGGACAGACACCACCGCTGGGGTCGTCGGAGTCGTATTCATTGATGTACTGAGGTGAGCACATCCCGCGACCGCAGTATCTCGGACCGGCCGACGAAGCTCCAGCCCGGGCACTGGCTTTGGCGTTGGTGCAGAAAGCGGTAACAATCTTTGTGCGTTCGTCGTGCTGGCATGATCGCCAGCGGTTTATTGTGACAAAACACATATCTGATGTTTTGTTTGGTGTTTTGTGGGGTTTGGTCTGTTGATAGTGGAGTCTTGATCTGGGTTGCCAGCGATTGACATTATTTGTGACTTCTCCACTCCGCCATAGACGGTTGAACAGGGCTCTCCAAGTACTAGCTTCTTTTTCCCCCTCCCTCTTTTTTTCCTTGCCCTGAGATACAAAAGTAGGAAATAGAATTGGCTTGTACACGTAGAACAAGGGCCTGTATTTATATTTCCGTTTTCAAACCAAACCTTGTATCACACATATACATAAACCAAGCAGTTACACCACCTGATATTGTTGGTGTGAATTTCTTTGAGTTTTTTCTCAGTCCCTATAGCTAGGAGCGCTACTACACCTAGTTCCAGGTTTATTGTGTGCATGCGTGCGTATACATGGCCGCCCTAGATGTGCGACTATAAACGCTTGGTTTACTCACACGTAATGGTACATATATTGAGTACATGTAGGATATGGGCACTACGACCTTTGAATATCTAGTTTTCATTATTTCACAGAAAAGCCCTCTAAATTGTGGGGGGAGTTTTATTACTGGAAGATTCCAATATAAAAACATATGCGCGTTTGTTTGCCCACTACATTCACTGGCCATGAGTAGGTGTGAAATTGGAGACGTAGTTTAATGTGATGGCATAAAAAGGGTGAATAGATACTATCAATCAATGACCTTAAGTAGGTAGTGCCTGTTGTGTCAAAATCGTACCTTAATTCCCCCCACTTCCAAGACCTGTTTTGGGCACAAGCAGCAAATTCTCCCGCGACAGAACCACCCGAGCTTGGCTGTATTGTGGTGGTCATGATCTATAAACACGTTACCTGCATAATAATCTCAGAAAGCTCATTGGTCAACCAAATTCGATAGCCATTATTACTGGATGCATTGTACGTACCGGAAGTAGCATTCCCGATAGAGCATCAAGCTCGGGAATTTGTAAACATTGAGGTGCCGGCGAACTTTAGGAGCTTTGATGCAGTCATTTTGTAAAATACAAAAGCTTAAGGCAACAATACGGGCCCAAATAGGGGTTGACCTCATTATCAGCAACCAGAATACGTATATACGTAGCCTTAACTCTCCTAGTCATTATATACCGTGTCCTAAGGTCTATGCCGGTATCTTCTTTGACAGATTCTATCTCTCTAAAGTAAAACGAATAAGGCAGAGCCAGTGTTGCTGAATTTATTATTGGTTTAGAGGCCGGGAGGCCGCATGCCCAATTTTCACTGAGTACCTAGAGATAGGAGAGACAGCAAGGCTTATAGCCATTTAGAGTAAAGATTACAGGCTCCTCAATCTACCGTATACACACACCCCACAGGAAGTTTCAATTCACGCTTAGAACAAAGTCGTCAGCCAAGACCTAAATCTCATCCTAGCTTTGTTGTGGAGTAGGAGTTGTGCTTGGATGAATTGGATATAGAATGTGCGCCTATGTCCTTTTAAAATGGTAAATTGTGGTTTTAAGGTGCGTAAATGCTGCGGAAACCTTATGCGTGTATTATTTGGTATTCAGTTAGATACTGAGACTGGCATTCTTAATTGGGAGAGGTGCGACTTATCAAGATTATGTTATATTTGTCTATTGATTTTTCCTGTTTCTTTTGCCAAAATCCTGATTGATAGAATGTATTCGTGTTATCATAGATTGTATCACTCAAGGTCTTGTGAAGATCACTATCGTCGTTTCGTTCCTCAGAAATCATTCCACTTTAGACCATGAGAAACAGGCACTAAATTTCTTTCAAGCTCATACCTCTTAAATGTTTCGCCATATAAGCCTAACTAGCTAGCTGCAGTCTCTATTATTCTGCAACGCCGGAATAAGCTATAGTATGATCACCGGGCGAACGTTGGCACCAATTGAAATATCCTAAGAGACTTCCAGTGCTCGGGAGCATGCATCATGATGGTCATAAGCCTAATATACTATGTCGGAGGATATGAAGTCCGGGCCGATCTAGCTGCAAGTATGGATTTTCCAGGCTGTTCGTTAGAGTAAAGCAGAGTAGGCCATCCACAGTCCAGTCATGACCACATGAACGAGTAGCTATTCCTGAATAGAGGATTCATTTTTATAATTCAAATAATTTCTTTTCAGAGCTCAAAGAGTTTGTTTAATTGGCATTAGTTCTAGTTGAAGTATAACAGTATACGAAATAGGTTGACCCGCGAACAGGCAATAATGTACATGTGAGAGAGAGAGACGAATAAATCTCTTCTTCCAATGAATGCCAAGAAGAAATCAATATGATTATAGTTTTAGCTAGTAAATTGGGCCAATACCACACGTGTCCTATCGGGCCGCCCTCTTGTATCACAATCCATTGTTAGTTTGAATGAGCATGAGGAATGGCATCAAACTGAGACCATAGCTACATGTACATGTACATGTAGTCCCACGCTAGCTGCATCATAATTTACACCGAACCCGAGAGCTTGATTACGTTTAACCTATCAACTGAGACTGGAGTTGATCTCCGAGTAATACGGAAAACTTGATGGATGCAACGAATACATGTGCTGAGGGAGGATTGGCACCAAAAAGAATTTAAATACTAGTATGGCCTTACTTAACTGGATGGAAATGTTAACGGTTTCACTCTACTAGTCCAGGTCACTCACCTCCCGTACGGCGCCCAGTAAACAGGGAATCAAATATATCCTCTTGAACTTATATGTACTGTTAGAGGGAGAGGGCTAATCAGCAACTAGTATGATGGTGAACACGGCGTAAATTAATACCAGATAAAGTGGGCCCCAGATTAAATACAGCCTAGCTTTTCAGCCTGAAGATTTGGTCAAAGGAAACGTCAAGATCCTTCGAAGAGCCAAATACTAAAAGGATTCGACAAAACGAAGGCTAAGAATTCGACTGCTCAGTCCAGTATCCGTATCAGAAGCTCCGTGATGCTTGAATTTCTACTGATACCCAGAGTAGGAAATCCCAAAAGGAAAGCCTACATATGTAGCTACATGTATGGCACTTTGATTCCTAGTCCTCGATAGTATATGCGGCTGTTTAGAGATCAAAAAACGTGTCCCGATTAGACTCGAACGTGTGCGAGCTACTTCTAACACAACTCCTTTTACCCTATTCTAAATTTTGGAGATAGATATGTTATTACCATACGTGTGTTATATACTAGTATACCGGGCGTGTATATGGATTTGTGGCCCGTTGGATCACAATCACATACACCTCCTAGTTGGGTATTGGTTCTAGCTTAATTTGAGGACAGGTCGCTTCGGTATGCCATGTTCAATGATTAGCCTTTCAACATCCTTGCGGTACTACATGTACTTTACGGGGTGGCTGCTGCTCTGGTGTTGCCAACAATATTTTACAGATACATGTACACTTCCGGCGCCGCCAGGCACAACAGCTCGCACTCGAACACTTGCGGATAAGTGTTCTCTTGTCTCCTTCACACTTATCTAGAATACATCAGCTAATTAAAAAAAATACAGTAAATCGTAAAGTAGATTGATTGATCCTCTCAGGGCTTACTGAATTGATAAAAGGTATCGTTATAGAATGTGAGCTACCAAGATTGGGAGGTATTAACGAAACTGAACAAGGCATTCGTGCCGAAAGAGGTTCTATAGGTGTTTAGAATATTCAAACCAACATAAAATCAATCGCATTAACACGTATTCGTTTACTGAATCTGGGATATATATATCGCATCACGCTATTGGTGTTGATAAATATTTGGCCGATTATACAGTTATTACGAGAGGATTTCCCGATCCAAAGGATTATTCAATCAAGAAAAACTTTTTAATAGCATAATAGACTGTCTGCTGACAGTTTGTGGGGGTAATTAATGGACGTTAGGGTGAGGCGATCGCGATCTGCATGCATATGATTACATTACTGTTAATGATAACTGACGCTTTTTATTTACGTACCTAAAGGTACCAAGCTACATTTATCTCTATTCTTATTTATCTCATTCATGCTCACCCACCTCCGCGGCTCGCCGAAAGAGGGAGTTGCTTTGTATTCTTCTTCATAGGCTATCACTCGACTGACTTAGTCACTTGCCCGATATTCATCGTTTTTGTTTTTTGTTTAATTCATTAATTGGCCCGATATTCATCAAATCGTAATAATTCGAGAATTGTTTATGCATGTATTGTATTTCCGTGTGCACATTAACATTGTATGTGTTGAATAGTCTTATCTCAATTGGCCGGTGTTTTAGCTCACTTGCTAATTGGTCTCTTGATTGAGTGACGGTTACATGTTGGCATACCCAGGACACTTCGGCCTCATGGACAATACTGTTCTGAAAATCGTAGTATATTATTTGGATTAATTCAAGCTATGATTAACCTAACCTGTATATCCTGTACGCATGTCATGAAAGGCTCGATTTTGCATGCTCTAATGATAACTTTTAAGAATTATCTTTTCCAACCCTTCTATCTAAAATATAAGCCAGAGTTTACGATGGTTAGTGGTATCATATCAGCGGTGATATCAATGATTGAATTTTTTTCCTTAACTCATTACGGCTCTATAGATTTGAATCCCAGACTAGATAACCAAGTGATTGGAAGAAAGGATTCCCGCTAAGAGGGGCCTGTCTGCTGTCAGAGCGGGGAGTGGTAGGATTGAGGAGTAGAAAATAAAGCGTCGTGCATTCCCGGCTGATAAGCGCAAATATGCGTTGAAGGTAAAAAGAGAAATGTGATATGTAAATCTTGTCTCGTGGTATATAACTACATACACACATTTGGAGATATTTACAATGCTTCATATGAATCTTATAATTCTTTATGAGGTTGGTAAGATCGACCTGGTACAAAGTGCACCATATTATACGCGCAACTGGGTCACAAGTACATAGTCTCAAAGGAGGTGAGCACGTGCAAATGTATTTTGAATTAAACCAGTGTACCAATAGTCTATCTTTATTTGCACTGCATTTTGTAGAACGCTGACATTGCGGGGCAGCCCGTTTTCGCGATCGGGAATTCTATGAAGTTGGCGCTTTGAAACAAGGCGAAGATTTCAAGATTTCTTTGGGGCAAGAAAAGGCTGAACGTTCACGTCGACACCAAACAAGGCTGGGATTTACAAGACCACAGGATCAACTCTAGGTTACATGACTGCCTTAGCTTGAACACCCCTGCGATTAGAGTGAACAAAGCACAAAATGACTCCTAGGTTCCCACACTGAATTAGCTCCGGCAACGCATTCTCGGACTTCCTATCGATATAGTTGCTCATAGATTAATGAATATCTCCAAACCTCCGAATCCAAAATATGTCAATTATATGGTAGCTCCGTAGCAATGAATAATTTATTCGGAAGCAATGTTACTAAACAAATATATATACACCCCCCCCCCCCAATGATTAGATGTAGAGTGATATTGCATGACCAAGGTCTTGGCGTCAATGTTTTGCAGCGAAACGGCTGAATTTGAGATGGCCTAGGTCTGTCAGTGCTGCGGGTCGTCTAACAAGATGCTACGGCTCTAGTAGGCGATCAGAAGATTCTCGAAATATTCCAAATCGATACCGATATCCAATTAGACCAAAATATTCTATATAGCAGCTGTGGATGAGCTTCTAAATATATCCGAACACTTCATACGTTTCTTCTTCGCTTGTGCGTGGAATTACCAATCCAAACCCTTGAATTAGTCGGTGAAAAGACTCATTAGGGTGTCCATCTCGCCAAGCGACTCAAGTAAAGGGTATCACGAAAGGACACGTTTTGTGAAAAATTCTCCCAGGAAAATAAGATTTCCAACTAGAGAGCTTTGCTACTCAAGCTCGTCGCCGTAACCGGGGATGCGTTCAGTGGGGCTTGAGTGTGACCAGAAAGCGGGGGCTAATATTAAAATAGGGCTGGGTATGGTAGACTTGGTATGTACATGTATGTACCTAGCTCTTAGAACGACGCTAGAATTGACCTCCTGACCAACTCTGAGCAGTTCGGCACTCCTTCTCTATTAGATTAGAACCAATATTTTTGACAAGTGAAAAGTGGAGAGGTATAAGGCTATCTAAATACATACGTGTATGTACCTAGTAGAGCACCGTGACCGGTATGGGTATGAGTGATGTCTGGTGAAGGAATATCTACCTGAGTAGAGTACATGCGACGAATGGCCAAAAGGGACATCGAGAGCAGGTACTTACGCGGCTACTCGGAGATAATCGGGAATGAAAACACACCCCTTGGTCTTTGATATTTGACAAGAAAATTGAGGTCCCCGCGTCGTTGTCAAGAAAAGTTTTTCATGCAGGGAAGAGGAAAAAAGCCCCATATTGATTCCTAGTATTTTCCCGGCATGCTCCAAAACCTGCTTGGGAAATAAGAAGTTAATAACTGATGGAATATTAGGAACGGAAACAAAGTAGACTTTCTTGACAAACAAGGGCTTCTTGCCGCCGCCACCCATTTTTACGAACAGATGCTGGCCCTTTGCTAAGTTCTAACCAATAAGGACATTAATGCTTGCCTCGGGCCGCTGTTAGATGGCTGAGAATAAAATCCGGACAGCACGGAAGTTTTTTTGTCGAAATCGGTTTCAAGTCTCGACCTAAAACATTTAGTTTCGGAATTTCAATCACCCCTGTCCGGCTGAAGTTCAATTAACGGAGAGTTTCGTCTCATCAGACGTCATCGCAGTGAGAGCAATGAGTTCAGCTTCAATATGCGATGCTGAGCGAAAGAAGCGTAGCAGAATACGATGCCCGTCCGTGAATAGGAATTGATCCCATGCCCGTGCGATGATGCCCCGGATTATGTATGTTCAAATACGTAATGGCATGAGCATTGAGCAATTGTCAAATTCTGCGCACGTGCGGATCCATCTTATAGCACTCTATATACCCATTTCGGTATGCAAAGTGCAAAGGGACAGGTCGATTAACGTTGTTAGAGTTAGCCCACAAGAGCTGCAGTTCTCACGAATGGATTGAGAAATCATCTGATATCCTGTTTATTTCTTGTGAAATATCAATCCAGCCTGGGAAACCTTGTTCGATCAACGCTTGGGATGGAAGAAGAAAAGAAGGAATAAGGAAAGTGCTTCACTGGAAAGCGGGGAAGGGGGGAGGGAGGCTGAGACTTGATTAAACATATCTACCCGTGCCAACAGTGCTCATATCTGTTGGTGTATGAAGAGAGATAGAATTTGGTCCAGCACTACTAATTCAGAGAAAGTACCAATCCGGATTCTCGAATAGCGTCGATGTTAGATTTCTTACGATACCCGCCGAGTGAGCCTACCTGAGCCTCGGTGCGCGGCGGCGTGCGGCGGCGTAAGACCAAATAAAAACCTTTCTATTTGCGCTCATGGTACCCAAAATATCATAGATCCGCGGCCGCCCCACCTTCGCTTGGAATTTAGGTATGGTGTTTTTTTGCCCCTCTTTCTAGATCCAGTATAGTTAGATTGGATTGCCCCTCTTCCCTACAACGGGACAGTCTTTGCGTTCATTCCATGTCGACTTGCCCCTGCAAACGAACAGACGACACGTTGAGAGCAAAGGACCCTGAATTTTTCTTTCCTTTTTCACTTAGAAATGCTCTACTGTTACCGCCCAAAAGCACGTCGCGCGTTAGTCTTGTTTTTATGTGAGGAGCTTTGAGGTTTGGAGAATCTTCTTAAGCTGCATATGCACGTCAGGTCGAGTCGGAGGTTGTAACCCCATGTAAGCGGGATTGCGACAAGATCAGTGGAGAGGCACGTACGATTCAACTTTACGTTGACGTCGAGGTCATCAAATGATAAACACATAGAACTAGAGCGAGGGAAAGACGATTTCCATGCACGATGTTCTTGATATATATGTTTATGTTGCCGGGTCAATATGCCATGAGGATGCAATCAGAAGTTGACGATCTAGAACAAATATCGAAGTTTAGAATCGTGAAAGTGAGACCTACGTTGACATATGTCTACCGGTAGGAGGTGTTCATAACATGCAGGGCAGTAGAAAACAGCACCTTGTAGCGGAAAATAGGGACAAGCCGAGGTTTGCGTCGTACGTACCACAAAGTACACATTTCCCCGCATAAACGTGATAGAAAGATCAGCCAGGCCACAAAAAAAGATATCTCCAAACGAACCGGGATTGATTGTAAAGTGGGCGGCAGATATCCGATCGTACTCGAGACTGGAAAAAGTAAAAACTACTCGTCACAAAATCCGGGGGTTGCAGCCAATCGTGATCCCTCAATCGCTGGATCCAGGGGTTTAATTTTTTTTATCGCGTGTTGAGTTCCACGACCACCGTTGGTTAGGTAGATATATCCCAATTGTTTCGTTTCGTTTCCGAGTTCAAAGCTTAGCTCAACTTGTTTCTGCCTAATTTTGAGTCTTGTATTACGCTCTTCCTGGCGTTTTCAGTGGTCGGGTCTGGTGGTATTTGGCCGTCACATGTAACCTACCTAAGCTTAAATAATCAGACCGGTAGAGCCTCATTTTCTTCCCTCCTTGCGGTGAATCCGGTGCACCAGTACCAATGCAGACAAATACGGAACTTACCCGCATTTTAGCGAGATATTTCTTTTCTCTGTAGAAATGTATATGTAGTTATAGATATCTTCGTGAATTTTTATAGAAAGCTCGTTGAGCTCCTAGTTGACTTTATCAATACTTTGCGCGTAGTGATGGTATGCAGATCAGAATGAGATGCGGCTGTTGCACTAGAACAAGCCAGGAAAGACGTCACGTTGAAACCCACACACACGCACACAAAATGGAATAAGTTTTTGAGAATTTCAACGACGTGGCTGGAGTGAAGTGATCGTCTTTCGAGCATTTTGCATTTTACTTTTTTGTTCTGCATAGGTCAAGGTCTGGTAGTGTATTAGACGAAAAATGGAAAGGACGTCGGACGAGGATGCAGCTAAAAAAAAAAAAAAAAATTTGCCTTGCACGCACCCTACGGGCTCGATATCTTGATGATCCTCTTCTCTCGAACGAACCCATTGCAGTCCAGAAACAGGTTAGGCAACCTCAATTCCCTCGTGTAATCGGAGTAGGTATCAAAACGCCATACATTCGTCCTGACGTCGAGGACCTCCGAGGACTAAAGTTGATGCTGTCAGCTCAAGGGCCATTGCGCCATGGCTTCTGCAACTACCCTCCGAGTACATTCGACATGATTTTTGCTGGTAGCCCGAGAGACTTCCTGAGTAGAGGATATCGCTAGTAGCGGTATCTTCTAACGGCTCCGTTGCTTGCCCCTCACTTCACAAAGTATCCAACTTTTATGTGATTTGACAGAAGGGCCGGGAGCTGCAGGCAATGCACCCACCCGCGCAGAATCTTGCGTTTAGGAGATGGATTAAGTAGATTATATCCGAGCCAGATCAAGAATTGGGCGAATTGAAGGTGGGCAGAGACCTAAAATAAATCGCTGTGAGGGGAGGAGGTTTCTGTTTGTTCATCGCGGCTGTTGCACACCTCTCAAGCTCTACAAAAAGAAAGAGGTATTTGGATAGGTGCGATATCTCTGAGATATGTCGCGTAAAGAAGCCTAGTGTATTTTATCGAATAGGTAAATTGAATTGATCTGATGTAAAATATCATTTTTCTTTTCTTTTTGTTAACGCAGTAACGTCGTCGTTGTGTACGACTGACTACACATGACAAAATCTTGAAACCGCCCAACGACCGCACTACTTACGCTTCCTACCCCCCGCTCTTGTCGTTTTCTCTTCTCTTTTCTTTCCACCTCAACCTCACCAAGGCAAATCCCAGATCCCAACCAAACAGAACCATATCCACAGAACCCGTATAACCAGAATTATCATCGTCACCAAGAAAAAATGTCACAAGCTTCGAACATCGCCGTTGAGTTGTAAATTCCTCTGGAGGTGTTGCACAGCATCTCCAGCCCGACAACTCCAGTGATTGACATTAACAAACGACAAGAAACGAAGATAATCCTGAAAGCTCTTGCATCTTCACCTTAACGGACGAGGGCTTACCCAGAATATCGAAATCGGCTTCTCTGAAAAGCCATTATTCTGTTGCATTCGGGACAGCGAACATACGACCAAAGGTGCCATCATTTTTGCGCTTGGCCTCGAAATAGTCAAGGAGGATTTGGGAAGAAAGAAAAAATTAAATTTCTTACCCCAGCAACAACCAACCACAACTCTCTACCAACCACTCACCCATTCACTCTACCCCACCACACCCGAACCAGATCTAAAACCCTCTTCAAAACGAATTAGAGACTTACGCACTCACGTCTACTTATAATTGCTATTTTCTTCTTCATTGAATTTCAATTTCACAATACAACAAAATGTCCCGCAAATCAGCCCTGCAGACGCTCACTGCGTCGGGCTTGTTCAATACGACTCCTCATCATAGTTCATCCACCACTGTCAGCGATAAGTCAACTCCAAGAAATCCATATATCCTTCAAGAGGAAATCATTCCTGGGAAAACTCCGTATACTAGAAGACATCACGGAAAATCATCTGGGTTGGTGTCAGGATCGAAGGGAGGAAGTGGTAAAGATGGAAGAAGTGGTGGGAAAAATGGAAACGGAGGAAACCAAGGGCAGTCTGACAATGGCTCGGAAAGTTCAAGTAGTCAGGATGATGAAGAGGAAGATGATGAGGAAGCGGACGAGGAGGATGAAGAAGAGCCAGCTGTCAGTGGCCCCGTCCGTGTAAATGATGACAATGAGCCTGCAATCGTCGATAAGTCGTCCTTGGGCCATCCGGCCAGAGCAACGATTTCGACAGCTAAGGAATCATTGAAGGGAGAAGATCACCGGACGGGGTCGAATTTAAAGAAGAGGACTTTCAGTATGACGGAAAAGGATGTAAGAAGATACAGCACCAACCTCGACGCTGACCTCGATGCCGAAAACGAAAGTGGAAATGAGTCGGATTATCCACGTAAAAGGATTGCAACGGAGTTATCAAACACGAACGGTATCTTGACATATCACTCAGCGCCCCCTTCAGTCGTTACAACAGATACTACACCCTATGATTTAGCTGATCTTGATGACCTTGATGATCTTGACGATGAAGATATTTTGGATGACGAGGAATCCGCGCTAATTCAAGAATTTGAAGCAAACGGCTGCGATACTCCAGTGGACCTATCTACTCCTAATACTGTGTTCCGCGAATACGGCGATGAGGACCCTACCGATCCAAATTTGATCACAGCTGAGGAATTGGAAGACTTAGATAATGAAGTCTTCGGTGTTGGTTGGGGTGACCCCAGCGCCTTTCACGACATTTCGCTCGCAAACGATTTTACCTCCTTTTCTGATCCTTTTGCAGAAATTCAACTCGATTATGGCCTGTTTCCAGAGAGCATAAGTGAAATGTCCGGTGCAGAATTTAGCACCCCATTTGATACCCCGAATTACACACCCCGCGGTTCTTTCTCAGGAATCTTTTCTGAACCTAACACTCCCGATAATTCCACCGAGTCGGATGATGATGATGATGATTTTAATCAATTGGCGGAATCGGCGCCTTATTTCGAGAGAAAAGACCCTGCCTTGAAACATATCGTCGACACTGCAGGACAAGGTGGCTGGGCCGATGATTCGGATGAGGAACATGGATTGTCTTGGAAGCTCTTCTTTTCCAAGGGCGAGGTTAATGGTGGAAAAAGCGAGGAAGATAGTGAAAGTGAGGCTTCTAATTTCGAGTTTAGTGGTGCCATATGTACTAACAAATTTCTCCTACACCCTCAGCCGACGAAGGAGAAACCACCGATGAAGAGGAAGACCTCCCAATGCCTACGCCCCGAAGCAAATCGATGCTTCGTCGTGCGTCGGTCTCATCTGTTGGCTCATCTCGCCCTCAAGTTGTACACATTGACAATACCTCTGGCGGCCCTACAGTCGCCAGTTGGGTTGCCGATCCCAATCGTACAATCTGTGTGATTGATGGATCAAAGAAAACCTTTCTCCTTCCAGGTGCCTCCAGGGGTTACGAATTTAATACTGGTGGAACCGGTGTCTCTCAACTGATGCTCGAAGAGAGTGAGAGTGAGAAGTCTACCGACCCAATGGGCTATAATCCCACTCTAAGCGGCTTGATTGGGGACGATGGGCTATTCTTAGATGGAAACGACATTCTGGGACCTGCAGAAGCGCTTTACGACAACTTGGACATTGACGGCATCTTCGACTTGGGGGACTTGGACGGGGATATTATCACCAACGACGATGATATCGATGAGTTCGAGCAAGATCTGCAAATTACAGACTTTTTGGATTTCTCGACCGATGATGCCGACGGCGAAACACATGATGATAACTCTGATGGCGATGATGGCGCCTATAATGAAGATGGAGACGATGAATGCATCGGTGCTGTTGAGAATTCTGAAGATATGCTTGCACGATGGGACCAGGTCGCAGTTACTTCTTTTCGCAAACGGCAAATGCAGCATGCCCAAGGAAATATTCTCTCAAACAACCCAGCAACATCTCACAAAATTGGTGATCGCAGATTATCACAGACAATTACACCAGCTAGAAAGAAAAAGGTTAGATCGAGGTTCATGATCAACAGCAAAGGCTCGGGGTCTAGTAATGGTATCAAGAAGGCGGTCAGTAACAAAAAAGGTGGAGCCAATGTTGGTGTAGGGAATCAATGGGGTTTGATCGATATTTGATGGAGCCTAGAGATTGATTAAAGGGAAACGGCGCTTGGCCGTTTCGGTTTCCGCTTGTCTTAGCTCGGATTAAGATGGTGATGAGAAGAGAAAAGATTCCAGACGGAGCCTTGGCAAGAAGGGTTCTTATGTTTGGAACTATACAAAAGTTAGTTGAAGAGGAGTAGGACCAGGAAAAAATAGGGCCGGCGTGCCCTAGGATTACACAAAAGTTATGGATAATGACACCGAGTAGAAAAGGCGAAGGGTTTACAGTGGTAGGTTTCTCGGCCCAACCAATGTCGTCTACTGCATTTATGTACTAGAGACAAATATTTTTTTTCTGAGTCTCGATATTTTTGGTTGTCATATCCTTTTAGTTTTTACCTTTACCTTTAGTCTTTTTTCTTTCTTTCTTTTCAGTCGTTTTTTTTTTGCTTTGCGTATGTTTTCCGTTTTTCAGTTTCTTGTTTCATATTAGGGGATTTTTTTCAATTCGGTGGGTTTGGCATTTCTTCTTTTATCCAATGGTTGGGGGGTTTTCTGGGATTTTGTATCCATTCCAACGTTTGTCATGCTTTTATGGTTAAAAGTTCTATCATATTCGTCTCCTTTGTCAATGGAGTTATTCTTTCTTCATTATCATATCCGAATCATCTTATTTCCAGGAATCCCTCATGTATATGCTGCAAGCTTTGAGAGGGGTATTTAACAACAAATTGTTTTTCTCTTCTCCCTCGTTATAAATGACAATGTTCAAAGAGAGTAATACTTTGTTTTCTGATCTTTTCTTTCCCTGATATATATACATGTATGTACGTATTGTCCACTCCAGCTTCTTCTTCTTGCATGTAGGCACACACCAATATCATTGTGTAGTTTTTGTTTCTTGAACTAAAGAGAGCTATGCTTCATGAAGACGGTACTCGGGGTACGTTGGCATGCAGTTTATTTATGTTTATTATAGTATTAAATCTTAACAAGGGGTGTTCTGAGTAAATGAATGCCAAGATATATACTAACTAATTTGTGTTCAGAGATTCCGCAGATCTAGAAAATACAAAGATACCGTAATAATGAGTTAAGCCTTCGTTTCAAGCTAAATTTCAAGTATACAGGGCCTGGTGCGTACTACTACATTGCCCTTCTGTCTTTGGAGCTGCCACAAGTCGTTGATCATGCATAGACTTGGCATAGACTCGTGCTGTGAAACACCCATTTGCTTTTTCCTTTCTGGGATTCGGTACATATAATATTCGCTATGACTCTCGGAGCCAAGAAAAGCTTCTAGTTAGGAGGTCTGGTCGATAGCTTTTATGTGCCCTCTTTGACTCTTCTCTTCCCCTCCAACGCCTTTCAGACCCCCTACCCTCCACATCAATGCCCGATCCCCATATATATATATATTATTATTATTAATAACTACTTCTGAGGTCCCTAAATTCGTGCCTCGAGATCACGCCATCATAATTACAATCAATATCAAAAACCATACGGCATCTTCAGAAATTAAAACGCTCAACGCTCAACACTCATCACACCCAATACCCATCAACAAAGTTCATGTAGTCATAAGCGTGACTACCATATCATACTCACCCCACCCTTGTGGACCCTGCCCGCTCTGACCACCCTCTCACTCCTATTCCAGCACCTTCCCCCACTACCATCCACGAGAAAACCAGCGAAGAAATCCTCAATCCAACAACCACAAGGCCTCTCCCAAATCCTGGGAAATCCATGAATGAAAACTTTAAAAATGAATAGCAGATCCGGACTGCAGCATTCGTTTCCCGCCCGGCCACGAATAGCGAGAAGAAGAATAGGAGTAGCGTGTAGAGCCATCCACCATCGTTGATCTTGAACGAGGGCGAGAAGAAGTAGGTAGGCATTGCTGTGAAGGTAGTATTTTGTGTGCCTTAGTGCGCCTTAGTTGAAAGGTTTGGTTTCTTGGAGCCGGCCAGCGTTCTTAGATCGTTTTGTTTAATAAAGGAGGGTGAGGTTGATGAGGACGTTGCTTGAGTTGATGGGCCCTCGTATATGTATGTACATAGATACTCTACAACCCCCTCGTCCGCATTGACCCCCAGAGCTCTGACCCCCTCGTGGGCACGGGACGGGAACATCCCTCGAAACTACCATTGGAGAGGAGATCATGATACAAATCCTGAAACTTGATGTCGACCCCGGAATTTTAACGGCGGAAATGACTTCGAATAAATGGAGCTTAGTTACATGTATACACCTATGTACCCGAATTTACTAAGATAACCAGATGAACCAAATATAGACAAAAGATTAATATCACTAGAGTTGCCCCCAGGTTGATGATTGACAAACAGAGGCCTATATATGTTCAGAGGGCGAGAAGATAAAATTCGGACAACTAAGAATCAGCGGTAGAGATTTGTTTGGCAGATTCTTTCTCAATAAAAGAAGGATAAATTTTACAAACTATGTTACCTCATGTGCACTCTGTGAATGACTGTAGTCAAGTAATACATGTAGTTGGTCTCTTCTGGCACGTCCTTTAACCTGAAAAGATTTCAAATAGCCGCGCGCATTTACGCTTAGATACAGATACAGAGTGATGAATAATCGAATCACAAAAGATCACTCATCCTTCGTCAAGGGTCAATAATCGGCATTCTTGAGCCTTTAGCCAATCATATTTTTTTACTTATTTGACTATTTTTGTATTCACAACTTGTGTTATAGTGCCTGATCATTGGCTGTGCTCTAGCTTTATATATATTCTACTTACCGATTCAAAGTCGCGCCATTGGAATATAATGCTCCCCACATTGGTCATGATGATTCTTACCTACTTATCTTTCGACAACTGTCATGGCTGGATGACTATATATAACACATTTCTTTATGCTTGGAATCCTTTTTACCTCATGTTATTAAGATAAGGCCACTGCAACCTTACCACATTGAGATTAAATCTCGAGATGATGAGAACTGTGGCACAAAACAAGAAACAACATGAGGAGACAAACAAATTAAACTAGATACTAGTAGAACAAGAGTCTAGAACTACAAAACTTAATCGTTTTTTTATGTCCTACTATACTGCGTAATGTAATGTCTTAGTCAACCACGCCACATAATGAGTCAACCTATGAATCAACCAATCAATTTATCCTAGTACATGCAACCTTTATCTCTCTTATCGCCCTATTTTGAAATTTTATTCTGGTGTCACAATCGGAAGGTTGCGTACACACGAAGGATGAATCAATCAATCCAATCAATCCTAGAACCTTACATTGAATCAGAAGTACGAGTGATATATTATGATATAGTATTTACTCAACTATGTATATAGTATACTCAAACGGGGACCTTCGTATTCCTCCACAAAGGGATGAATCAACCTGTTTAGAAATGTCTATATTATAGCCTATCATCGACCGCGGTGTGACTAGCTGCGTGTGCCTATCCCCCTCACACTGTGCCAATGATCCGGCAACCGGAGACCCCCAGCTCACAAGCCATAGTAACTATTACCGAATTCGGAATCATTATTAACATGTTACACGAAAAAGGGTTAGGAATTTCTGTACTACTAAATATACTGTAAAAGATGTGGAAGCGATCGTTGGTGCAGAATTAATAGTAAATAACACTGAGAAGGCTTTCATTGCTTAAAACAAACTTGCTCCGCTCCTATTTTTGGTATCAATAATAGTACATAGGTAAGAAAATAAAGCCCACATAATGATGAAATGATAACCCAATCCCCGCTTCAAACACCCAAAATAAAGTCAAAAGTCCGCAAATCCACTCAATCGACCCAAAATCAGAAGTGAAATATGAAATAAACAAAAATAAACAGAATAAAACAAAACTCCCAAAACTCCGTTTCACCGCTCCCCACTGATCGTTAGTGCTCGAAATGCTTCCAAATTCAACACATCCTTCAATGGCTTCGACCCCTTTCTTCCCTTCACAACTTGGCCCTTGCTTGGTGTTCGATAACCAGCCTCCCTCACTTCCCTCGGAATTTGTCCCTTGCTTGGACTCCTATTGCCAGCCTCCCGTTTCAGCTGCATTAATTCCCGTCTCAATCTTTCGTTCTCATCTTCAAGCTCTTCTATTCTTAGGTATACAGATCGTGGGGCGTCTTTATGAACTATCACTCGTTGTCAGAATCCTCGGGTAAAAAAAAATTTTTGTTTTATTCATTAATTGGGTAAAATAGTTTCATTTGTAGAGCATAGTACATACCTTGGATTCCACGCTTCATAATCTCAATTTTTCCATCAACGTAACCTTCTCTCCATTCTTCCTCTACCCTCAGTCTATCCAGCATGCTCCGCCGTACTTCTTCTAATCTTAACTCCATATCATCTGCCACTTCCTCTCGTACAGACTGCTCAATGAACAAACATTTGTTCTCCAATGCCTCGCAACGCTCCTCGGCAAGTTGCAATCGAGATTCGGTTTCATGGAGTTTCGAGAGAAGACGTGCTATTATTGTGTCTTTACTTGGTTCTTCGGGTGCAGCGCTGAGGGGAGGTACAGTGAGATCAGTGGCAATAGCAAGAGAAGAAACACTTCCAGCAAGCGCATCGACGGCCGACTCTGAGCATGAGGACACGGACGAGCACACCGAGAGGGAGCGACTTATTCGTGGTGCGGAGACTTCTCGAGCAAGAGCTGAGTATCTGAGGATCTGGGAGGTGGCACTGAAATCGCCCATTGCGTCTGCAGTCACAATCATACACGCGCCTTGTCCACCTCCTGCACCAGAAAACGAGTTGCTGAATAACAATTCTGTTAGTTTTGATTGCCGCCATGGAACGATGCTTGGCTTGCCGTTGTCGGAGCCTTGATTTTGGAGCTGGAGACATTGACCAAGACACATCAGGCTACGATTTATGCTTCCTGCTTCTGCGGTGCGCGAACGTTCAGAGCCGGCAAGATCGACAATGCATAAATTTGCACTTCCTCTTTCTGTATTTCGCGATGAGAACCTCTTGATTTCGATTTGCAAGAAAGCGTGGCTTCGAGAACTTGGATTATTGGTATGAGTAGTTGATACAGTTCTGTTGGCTTGACCATGTTCAATTATCTGTAAAGCCTCGGCATAACTCGCTGCATAGACCTTCCGTAAACCCGAAACCACCTTTTTCTGCTCTTTTGATGTATCCCACGCTGATATTGTAGAAGGTTTTTTGAATATTAGAGCCTTTCGCTTGGGAGTTGAAGATGAAGATGAGGATTCGATTAAAAGATCAAATATTCGGTCGTTATAGAGTTCATACATGCTTAAAAGAATACCATAACGCGATGTACTATCTGGTAGTGGAATGTTTATACCAGACACAGAAGGGATATTGGGAGTTGTTATATGGGCGAAAGACGACCGTTTTGAAGAGTAGCCATCCTAACGAGTGTTAAATTGTGAAACGACAACCGTATGTGATATGGGATGGATTCGGAAAGGATCCGGCTTACTAGGGAACTTTGCATCCTCTCGTGGAATGTGGGCGTGTCGAGAACTAGGGCCTCGGAATTATCGAGAGTTTGGAGATCGACTTTGTTAAAATCAACCACGCGGTGGCCAAAGGCATTGAATAGAACTTCAAGAGCCATTTGGGTCATTCCTTTGACTCTATCATTGCCAAGTATCGTGTATGTCTGAAGATATATGTTTATCAGTAATCTCGTAAATAATTAAACCCCGTTGCCTTTTAGGGTCATAAACAAACCTTCCCACTCCCAGTAACACCTAACGTCGCTAACGTTCCATCCTGTCCTCCTATTACCGCGCCCTCCAACAGAGGCAGCAATGTCTCCTCGAATATTTCTCGCTGCTCACTTGTTTCCTCAAATATCCTTGTAAACGCGAATTTCTCAGTCGCTTTGTGCCGGCTCCGATCTGCCGGCGGCGTAACGTAGATACATGATTGGCCAGGCGCAGTATTCAAGAAACGAGTTTCTGATAGTGAGAATCGTGGTGATGATGGTCGTAATCGAAGGAATACTTTAAACAAAGGGTCGTTTATTGTATTTGATATTGGTTGGAGAGATCTAGGTGAAGAATCCATCTGATATGTATGTAGCGGTGGGCTAGCTACAATAGTATGTAAGTAAGGGGCGGTTTCGGTATGTGTAGTTGGTTGCCGTACTGTATCTACGTGCTGACTGGGTTAGAAATTTCGTGTTATTCACTCTTCCCTCGCTCACACTGTCTTCAGATACTAGAGGGTCAGATCGTATCCTGTCCCTTTTAATGTTCCTGAAGCTCCGACCAAGGTGAGACGTTGCGTCGTTCCGTCGGTTGATGCGCCGAGACAAACACAAACATCATGACGCGCAAGGATCGTTACTATGGCAACTATCCCCACATGCACAGGGCAGTGACAGGGCGAAACAAAGTCATTTGAGACATCAAGGAACAAGTTTGATTGCTCTGACAGGGGTCTGAGGGAGCCTCTAGATTGCCAGCACATCATTTATGTAGGGATGTGCGATGTAAACAAGGGACAAAAACGTGGGGATAATTGGTGGGATCAAAATGGGTGGTGGCTATGTAGAAACTCCATTAATTTATTTGACAAAGCATTTATGCACTTCTATGCAACAGGATGCTGAGTGATCTTTTGTGATTTGGGCCAATGGGTGTAAATCTTTATAACGAAAGCACCGGGGAGTGGTATATGGCCAGTACGATAGCACCATACATACGTCAAATAAAAGATTTTTGTTAATACACCACTCATGTATATTCAACAAATGATGAGTGATCCCTCGTGATCCGAATATTTTGAGATCTATCACTCCGTTCTCAGAGTTCCTATCCCCGTCCTTTTTCTCTTTTCTATATCTATTAGGACGCAACTTACACTTATTTACTCTGGAGTTCACTTTTTCATATGCAAACTAAGTATGATAATTATATACATGTACCTACTTAACCTGACATATCCCCTGTAGTTGAAAAGGCCAGGACGAAATAGATGACGACCAGAAGCCTGCAAAAATGAAAGGGATCTGGAAGTTTAGATACCCATTTCCCTACTCCCAGAGCCCGCTGGAATGAACAGGCAAGTGGCCTGCTGGGGAAAATGGAGGCAGTGGACCCTCACAAGGAAAGGGGGGGGGGGGGGGGGCGGAAGCCACAAGACTAATTAAGCAAGACTCCGATATCCCTTCACTAGTCCTGCTCTATGCGGCCCGCTTTTATATAATTATCCTGATACGTAAAAATGACATATTCCGCCTTCTTCAATGCATCTCCTTAAAGGCAACAAGTGTGGCTCTTGAAGCATTTCCGCTATTCGCTCCACCTCTGTCTTGTTCATACGCCCCTATAGGTCATGATCGTTGCATACATGTAGCTTTGATGATACCCCAATAAGCAGTCATGGCTTGATATCTGATCTTTTGGTCAGCTTTGGTGGGAGACGCTCAAAATAATTTTTTTCATTTTTTTTTTTCATAGCCTAGGTCAATTAATTAGATTTATCTGGGCCCACATGCTAGAACAGGATCTATTACATATAGTTATACGTCTATAGAACGTTCATAGAAGACTAACCCACGAAGTTTCTTGTGGCATATATATTCTGTGTGTGCGGAGTTAGCTCTTTATCGGCACTCAGATAACATCCACATGTAGTCTTACTAGTCCTTGATTGTCCACCTACTTCACCGGATTGAAGGTGAGATTTCTGATTTGAGGGTAAGTAATCTATCCTTGAAATCGTAAAAGTGCAAAAAGAAGACTTTTTAGGTGTCAATAATAGGCTCTAGTGATAGTATTTTTCTGGAAGCTTTCGTGAGTGAGAATGTGTTACCTATGTCGAGACACCATTGTGCTCGAGATAGAGTAAGTTTTTATCATCAGGGAGGGTCTTGAATAGTGAGATTAGGATGGGCCGGCTAGATACGAAGAGCTAATAGTGTTGTTTCATTACTGGCTAGGTTTGTAGAGATAATATCTCACTCGCTCGTGTATCCGGGACACAGGCACACATATGTGTGTGTGCGTGTGTATGGGATATGTTGTCTTCCACAGTAGTCACAATTTAAGTTTGTGGGGCACAAAACCCACCCCACAAATAGATTCTAAAATCGGGATTATTAAACAGATCTCTATACTGTCAATTCACACCCCTTCTCTTAAAACTACAAAGATATTTTAGAACTTCATCAATTCCTAAAACCATTAAGAGTTTTCTGTTCAATTATTGCTTATCAAGAAGCCTATCATCAGGTATATATGAACAAAACTGCTAAAACCTCTCATATAAGTAGGCTGAATCGGTAGAAATTTCCAAGTTAAGAATTCCTCACTCTAAACCAACTAATCGTACGGAATTAGTAGTAGACAAAATAACGACAAAATGAATTTGTCTAAGCTTCATGAGTTTCAACTAGGACCCGATCCGGACAGCATAAACGGGAGCCTAAACACGACCTATACGGACACAGACTCGACTCGATTTCCCTCAGATTTTACTAAACCTCTTTTCAACCTACTGAATGAGGCGTTGGGTGTTCTGGTTCTTAAATCTGGTTTTTTCGGCGATGATATGGCTACAGATGATTTTACTGGACGAACCATTATCACAGGGACCTTAATTAGGGAAGATGTAAAACTATTCCAAGTTATCACTCCAGGTACCTATCATATAGAATTATTAGGTATAACCAAATTGAACAACCGTGCTATCCCTAATATCCCTGAGGTGGAAGAAGTCATGAAAACAAAATTAAACCCCGTCGATGAGACCCAAGAGTATGGGGAAAGCGATATCCCTCCGAAAGAATACGCAGGAGCTAATTCGGACTCGGACGACGAAATTCAGGGACATGGGAAAAGTGAGGACTGGTGGAAGGAATCTAGATGGATGAAAGTCCGAGCGATCCCGGAAGCCGAGGGAAAACCAACATTCGAATGGAGAGACCTGAGAAAGAACTGGCGACGTTTTGCTGCCCTGACAGCCCGAGATGAATCGTTGAGGTTTAACATGCCACGTCTAAGATCTACTAGGCGCGCATTATTTGGTGAACAGATGGGGGTTAGAGGGATGAAACACAGACGGGATATGGGGATTGATTATGGGGAGAAAGAGAAAATTATTCTTCCCCCGATCGGTGCCCGCCTTTCACAAAAGAAGAATAGTCTACCTCCTGTCTTCAGAGGCGTGCCCAAGGTCTTCTATGACTGGTCGCGCAGGCCTGGAGTAAGAAAGTGGGAAAAGTTGTCAGACGCACCCAAGGAGTTCTATGATTGGTCAAAAAGGATGGAAGAGGAGAAGCAAGACCGGGCCCTTGCAGAGCTGTCAGATTTCGAGCGGTTTGTTTCCCGGAGTGCTCAGCGTGAGCCTAGGTCAGACTTTGAATCTTTTCTCAAATCTAAGGGCGCGGAAATCCATGAAAGTATGGATGTTGGTCGGTATAAGTATAAGGATCTTGAACGGGGCATCGATCCGGATGTGTCGGGGTTTGGTGGTTATGATGAGATGTCTATCAGCACTAGTGGTGATGAGTCGGAGGATAAAGATGAGGACAGTGATTCTACTTTCGATGAATCGGAGGATGAATACGCGAATGATGATTTGGTTGCAATGGCCTGGGAAGGGCAGGAAATTTAGTCAGGTAGGGCGAGAACAAGACGAGTACGTCAAAGGCTTGATATATCCTACTTTTTTAATGTCTTATAGCCAAAGCATGATGCGGCTTGAAGGCATTTCTAAGTTAACTGGAGGATCGGATAAACTACATGTAGACCCACTTATGTAAACTTATTTCGTGGCGACGAATCATGAACTATCACTCGCTATTGAGGACAGCAACACGTCATCCTTCTATAACTCCGTCACTTAAGCTTTTTCTTTTGAATCACTCTGAATGATCGCGAGCCCCTAAGATGCCCACAAACTCAGACGCATCTACCCATCTGGTTATCAAAGACAGCCCCAGGCCTGCTGCATCATGGCATTTTCATAAGAATATTTTCTGATATTGTTCTTCCCCTCTCTTTTATTTTATTTTACCTCGACGTTGCTGCTTGACCAGATTTGACATCACCCCCATACCACTAGCATCGATCAAAATGAAACAAACCTTGATATGGCACCTCCATCCTCCCAATATATTCAGTACATGTAACTAATTTAAGATACGTGATGAATATATCATATAAGTGGAGCGCCCCCCCCCCAGAGGATTAATTGAGAAAATATCAGAACCCCAATTATGTACCAATACGGCCATGGAGCTCAATTAATCTATCGTTAGTCAATGCCTTTGCTGGAAATTATAAGGGGGACCGAATCTCCGAGCCGGATTTGGGCGGGCAAACAATAAACTGGCTCAGCTCTCTCGAAGATTTTCTATGATATAAAGCTACAAGCGCATGTATCTGTCCATACACAGAAACAATCTCAAGGCATCTCTCCGATTAGATCAATTAAAACACACCAAGACAAGCTATTCTCCCATCGCTTTCGCTATTCCCAATACAACAATACTGGCCTTCTCCTACTGTGGCCAGAACATAATAATATACCTTCAAGGAACAAATAGCGCACAAGTGACCCGGAGTAAAAAACAAACATTTCTTTTATGCATCGCGCGCCAGTCTACCCACCTCGCCGCACAAAACATAGATGGGCAGCCGACTACCACTAATCAATTCTAAATGCGCCATTAGTCTATGATACTACTTTCGCCTAACCGTCGCTCCCGGAGCTTCGGAACGCAGCACAAAGTTGTGCATAGTGGTGCGTCAAGTCCAATACGCTCTGCGGGAAGCTAGTTGCTTGCACTATACTCCGAACTTTCACTGCTCCATCTTCAGCAATGAGTTTTCGGATAGAGTGTAGAATTGATGGCGAGAACTGTGAGATGAAAGGGTCAGCAAGATGATGCAAGCCATACACAAAATAAATCGGTGGAGTTTACCTCGGAATACCACCTGTACTCCCAGGCAACAAGTCTAATGACACTATCTAATCCTCCTCTGTGATCTTTCCTTTTCTCCTGTGCAGCTAATAACCCTCTCAAGGATCGCGGGCTAAATCGAACCCCTAAACAGTTCAAAAACGCCTCTTCAGCTTCCTCAGGATGGTGCAGTCTGTGGGCTAACTCTCCCAGTATCTCCCATTCGGTAGCACTCTTGCGATACGGCCGTTGCTGTTGAGTGCTGCGCACTAGGTCGGACCGCCAGATAGTGTATATGCGCAAGTCCTCATAGAGTACCATGAAGAGATTGTCAAGCCAACGCTCACACAAGCGCTTGTTTTGGAAATGGGTATATTTCTGTGCTGGTGGGGTAACTGGATTGTTTCCATCTACAGGAGCGTGAGTTTCTTCGTTTCCAGCCTTGACCTCTTCCGGCATGACTGTGTGTTCGGGCTTTTCAATAGCTGCCACTGGATCAGTCGAATCAGCCTCTTCGGGAGTCTTGTCACCATTTTCCTTGGGTGAATCTTCCTCTGGCTTGGTGTCGCCATTAGTTGCTGGTTTCGCCTCATCTGACCCTTCTCCTTCAGATTCGCTCTCACTGGTGTCCGTTTTCCCGTTTTCCTTGACGCTTCCTTTGATTGTAGTGACACTTGCACTCTTTTCATGTCGGTACTCCTCCTCCATAACAAATACACTACTTCTGCATTTCAGCAGTTGGTCCCACCCAATCTGACTTGAAATTTCAGTAAGAATCTTGTATGCTTTTGCAAACGTTCCTTTGAGACTTCCTGCAGGAAGTTTCAGTAGAGTTGGATCTACATTATCTTGTTTCGGATCATGGTTCTCATCACTCATTTCTTCGAGTACTGCCTCGGGGAGCACTGGGAGATGCATTTTTGCAGGTGGGGGCATTTTGGGAATATCTCGATCCTGATATGTGAACATTGGACAACTGTTCAGGGTTAACAGAGCAAGTTCGTATTGCTCCAGCTTCAAGTAGACCTGTGCTAATCTTTCCCAAGTGGTGAATTCACTTGGGGCTGAATTAACAGCTCGTTTCGCACATTCAAGAGCCAGGTCATAACGACCCTTGGACATGCAAAATTGTGCTTGAACGTCTAGTAATCCACTGTCGAGAGGAAGAATTTTGATTGTGTCGTAGAGGAGAGATACAGCTTTAACTTCCTCGTCCGCATCGATTAGGACCTTAGCAAGTAATGAACCAACTTCAGGATCTTTGGAACGAAGCTTTTCGAATAGATTGACACCAGAGGCGAAACGACCGGTGGTATGGATATAACTCAGGAGGCCGGAGGTCAGGTAATTCGAAACGACATTCGGAACTTGTATCTCAGGATCTGATCCAAGTTGCCAGCCTAGAACCCGAAACGAAAATATTAGTAAGGTATTAAGGCCGGGAGGGGGAATAATGAAGTAGGCACACCTCGGAAGAAAAGCTTCTCGGCAGCATCGAGGAATTTGTGTTCAGATTCGGTATTGGTGATAGGGTTAAATCTCCTACACCCAACAATCCGGTTCTGCTGATCATCTGCATAGCTGAACGCACGAAGCACTCCACACAGGTATGTCTCAAGCCAGAGCATCTCTGAGGCCGCACGCTTCTCACCACGCTCGTCGACAGCATATGCTTCCACACTCCCGGGTATTTTAACTTCAACACGCATATCGACACGCGAGAAGGCATTATAGCAGCTGCAGACGTTAATCATTGACCCTGTTGCCGCACGGATGCGTCTGAGACATCGGATCAGGGGTGCACGTACCAGTAGATGCCTGTGGTAATCCGCCATGATTGCGGCTTCCCGAACCAGCTTTGGTTCTCACCGATAAGGTAAGTGAGGGTGTTGATGTATGCCGCTAGGGACGCAGATGAAGATGCATCGACTCCGGTGACGTGGTGGTAGGTTCCAATCTATACGCGACAGGCCATTAGCTATCCGGGGGTGCTTTAAGCGGGGGCTGAGGAATTGAACCTACCTCTTTCAACCCTGTTTTTGGCTGTGACTTGATCAAATGGACCAGATCTGGAGGACCGAGTTCGCGAAGAACTGGAAGTGATTCTGTACGGGCCGCGACAGATTCATGAATTTCTGTTTCGACGATTCTGCATACCTAGAGTCAGAGCGTGGTGCTAAAGCGGGGATCAGAGGGAGAGAAAGAATGAACTGACTCAGGGACGGCGGGAACAACCATATTGGCGTGCCGTTCTCGAGAATTGAGGTTCTCTGAGGGGTGGTTCAGAAGGAAGGTGGAAGGGGGAGGGGAAGAGATCTGTCACAGATGGAGAAGGGAGAGCTGCAAATAGACCAGTTGCTTCAGGAAAGGTGGGACGTTGAGCTGTTGATGAGATCGATTAGATAATTAGCGCAAACAAGCAAACCTTGATTAGATAAGACTAGACTTGTATCATAGCTAGGCACTCGAACTTTGCTACATAACACAAAAACAAACGATTAAACGAATTATCTTCCAAGATTTATTGACTACATGGTAAGTAAGCCGACGGCTAATCAAAATATCTTTCTGGTATATAATTCCACATGACAGAGGCAGGTATATGGCTTGATAACTGCCATACTAAGCTTAAGTACCTTAGAATTGAAGTTGATGCTACGTATATTAAAAGGCCTCAGTCATTCCCAAAAGGGTTACGTATAAGAAAGACCAAACGAGAGATTTCCCATCCAAATTAAATTAGACCTTATCGAAACGGAACGATCCATCAAAAGAAAATTATCCATGCTTTTTAGTCTATTGGTCCACATCCTGCATCACGTCTCCCTCACCTTCTGACTCCATCCCTTCATCACTATCACCATCTCTTTCTGCCCTAGGACTACCCATGGGCGTATCCTCTGGACTTCCGCCCCTCTCCTGCCCGCCAGAAGTTACACCTCTCTTCGGACTCTGTTCAAAATTATTAGCATTGGTAATAGGTACGTAGGATAAGGTAAAACATACCGAAGGATTTGCAACGACAGAGCTCGCACCCGAGCCTCCTGCTGTCGGTGCTCCCTTGCCCTGTACTGGGGCGGAGGCAATTTTACAGATCATCGCTGCTCGACTAACCAACTCTCTCCGCGAAAGTTTTGTTATCTTCCCCCTTAAGGGCAGGTCATCCGGCTTGTTATGCGCAGCTATCAATGCAGCATCTGTTGGTGTGGGGTCCTCGCTCAGCATCAGATTCTTTAATGACATAGGATTTGCCCTTGAATTCTCCTGTTCTAGTTGCTGCGCTGCTGTGATCACTATAGGAGTCGTGGTGCCTGTGGGAGGGTTCGTCAACTGTTTCTGAATTTGTGGTACTAGCTCTGAATAGAGCTTTGCGTACGTATCCGCAAGCAAATCATCGATCAATGGTGTTTTTGCCAGTCCGCCGTTGGAGCGACGAAGCTCGTAAACTTCTCTCAATAGTTCCAGCGTAGGTGATCCAGAACCAGTATCTTTCAAATTGCAGTATGCCTCAAGATGTATCGAGTATGTATGGAATTCTTCGAATGTCACGTTCTTGAATACTTCTTCGTCTGCTTGGTCTGGCACATCTCCAGTACGACGGAGAACCTTGATATATGCAATCATGACATGCGTCCATACATCTGCATGTCTAAATAGGCCGTTCGCTAATCTCCGTACTCTTTTAGCTAAAACCTCAAGTGTAGCACGATCGTCGAGAATTTCCAGAAGATCGACGTAGAACATGGTATATTGGCTTGCAAAAACAAAGTGACGGCCGGGCCGCTCATTCTCGGGCCTCCAGATACTGAGCTGTGCAGCCTTGTTGGAGAAAAGTGTCTGGAACTCAGCTCTTGCACCAGCAATATCTTTTTGCTCATAATATTTGAGCTGTGCTGCGCGATTGGTCATGCGGTGGTGCCATTTTGGTTTATCTGCAGTTCGCATCTTTTTGAGGACCTCGAGGATGTATTTGACGAAGCCCTCGCGATCCTCAGCGGGCTCTATCCTCTTAGTGAAAGGAGTTGCTTCGAGAATCTCGCAAGCTCGTTGGGGCGTAAGTCGTTCTCTGAGGACGTATTTACATGCTGTAGATACAAGCTTGTGATGAGGCTCGAATATGTGGTCATTTCCAATCTTCTCAGGACAATACTTGATCGCTTCCACATACTTTTCTAGGACGTCTTCTGGCCCGAAAGTCGTTTTAGCATCTGCGAGATCCAGCAGCTTCCCCATACATTTGCCAATCATGTAATAAGCCCTAACCAGCGAGTCAGTAAGATTTTCTAAATACCCTCTACAGTGGACTACTCACTTCCAGTTATCTTGTTCCTCCATATCCACAGCACTTTGAAACAACACCAAGGCAAACCTTATCGCATTCGTTGTACTCACCTCAGCATGCGCCTTTGCTTTATACATGCCTTCTCCGTTTCTCCCAGAATAGTGCCTATCAAAACCGTCTGTCCAAAAGCTTTCACCTGCCATCGGTGACCTGCTCGCTGAGTAAACTCTCGTCCCGAAATCCATATACATCCCACCAATCAAGCACTTCACGTCCTCATCGTCAATGTCTGCGTGTTTTATCGCCAAGGAAGAGGCCATCATATAGCACAAAATTGATCTTCTTTCCAATCCTACGAGCTCTGATCGGCGGGTGTTGATTCCGTCCGCGCTCCACGTTTGCGCTTCTTCCATTTGTGACTCGTAAGATTGCGCGAGACGATACCAGGTTTCCCATTTATCGGGCATGCAAGAGAGGTCGGCGCGGAAGAAGCGGACAGCAGTTTCAAGCTCGTCACCTTTAACGGCGCCGACCTTTTTCTGGTACCGAACAGGATAAAGAGAGCATTTGCCGAGGATGAAGTATAGTCCTTTTGCTGCCACTTGCGCGTATAGTCCTCCTACTTCCACGGTACTTAAAACGCCCTCCCCTTTTATAGACCCAAATAGTCGTAATGGGTGTATGCTTCCTCTAATGTATACTGAGATCACGTGCTCATTATGTGCAATTTTATTATTATTAATGCTCTTTGGCGGGCCAACAACCTCGTAGAGTTTATCTAGCCCACCCTTGATGTCAGTTTTTGCGAGTTGTAATATCTTCTTTCGAGATGCAAGGTGGAGTATAAATGGCATTAGTTGCATTGCAGTCGCCTTATCAAGTGCTTCAGCATCCGTTTTATGCTCGTAGAAATACCAGTTCTCCGACTGCTTGGGGGGGATGTCAGTAGATGCTGAGAATAACCGAGGATAGAAATCACCTACGCAAATCATCAGGTGGAACCGGCAATGAATGCATTGAAGAAGTTCATGGTCAAATTCACGGAGATTGAAACGGAGGAGCTCATCATGCATTAGCTTCAGGAATACGTCTGGATCACGCTCGCGAAGTCAGCATAATATCACAAGCATCGAGTAGGGAGACTCACGATTGGAAAGTTTACAGTAATGTCTAACCCCCAACTCATCATGCACATCCTTCAACAATCTACAAAGTGCTGACTCTCGCTCCCCTTCTGTCCATCCACTATCTCTGCCCATGCCCCTCTCCACTGCCTCCCTGTATAGGAGATATTGTACGCACCACCCTCTCACCATCATCTCCTTGAACTTCACAACAACTAGCCTGTATGAGTGTAAATCACTTTGCACAGCCTCTGTGTTTTTTACTGCGTCATCCCAAAACGCATATGTGTGTAACAATCTTAATAACGAACCAACTGCCTTCATTGCATCAACAAGCCCGGCAGGATCAATCTCGGCCATGTTAACATTCCCCATGCCCCCAGATACAAGCATTAGTACGATGGGTATCAACTGGTCCACCAGCCTGAGTGCCCGGAGAAGCACAAAGTAACGATGGTCGGGTGTAGATTCAACGTAAGATCTGTCCTTAAGATCGTTCATAATAACCTCTATACATCTCAGAATACAACACAGGACTTTTGGTCTGTTATATATTCGTTCATACGCAGTCTTGAGTTTCTCCCATAGATGCAATCTAAACATTGCGCTTGAGCCTTCAAGGAAGCGTGAGATCTCTTGCAACGCTATACGCTCATCCTCATCATAAGGCTCTACTATTCCAGGTTCCAGTACAGCCTCGAGGACCTCAATTACTTCGGCGGGATCGCGCGCGTCCGAAGTGGCATTGAAAATAGTAGTAAAGAAATCGACGGTTTTTAGTTTACTAATTTCCCGGCCTGCACGTAGTGCTGAAACTTCGGGCATGATGCTACTGTTCGGGATTTCAAATGCGCGGGTTTCTCCGTTTTCGAGGATCTGACGAAGGTCTTCGAAATAGTAAAGACGGAACTCTCTCTCGGCACCTGTAAATGCCGTGAATACTCCAGATGCCCATTGGTACCGTAATGTTAACTGATCTTCTGCTAGTTGTCCCTCCTGATCACGAGGAAGACAGTCGATAAGATCCGCAACAATCATACTCCACCTTTGGACCCTTTCTCTTAGTACAGTGAGTGTTAAAGAATCAGCCATACTTAGTTCCGCACTACTTCGACGCCTCTCGCTGTCTGCTAGATCTCCTAAGTATATCTCAAGACATGTTTGCGCCCATTCCACGACTGCAAGGTCCTCCTCCAGAAATACCCCACGTTCCGTCAGTGTTGTTATATGCTCGCGAAAGAAGCGCACAAGAACGTCTTCACACTCTTTCGCAACTGCTGTTACCGTCTCTCTGAGTACATCTGGCCAATTATGTCGTATCCAGGAGCTCTGACCACCGGAACCAAGTATTCCACGGATGCTAGGTCGTTTTGTCCCAGTAGGATGGACATCACGCACACATAATGCTTTTAACCACTCAAACGCCGCTTCCTTGGGCGTGCATCCGTGTGAATTAACAAGCTTAACCCATTTTCGAAGCCCTTCGTCTCCGCCGAGTATAGGACGACTCGGGACGTTTGTTTCAAGATCAAGAAACGCCATTCCTTGAGCCGTTTCATCTGGGCCTTGTATGCCGTCTCCATAAAGTACTACGTTCCCTTTATCATCGTCCCAATCTTGCAGAATCTTTTTGAAATCGCTCAGATATAGGTCATCCCTCGCTACCAACGCCCCGGTAGCCTCGGTTTTAATCTTAAGGCTCGATGCAGTTCCTAAGTGAATTCCCAACGGCGAAAAGAGTTCATCTGCCGTATTAAACAATTTCTCATCATGTGTTTCCTGCCGAACCTTCGCTTTGCTATCTGGTGCAGCCGCCGCTGCGGCCGCTGCTGCCGCATCGGCTTCTTTCTTATCCCGTTGTCGCTTACTTAGTCTACTTCTTCCGGCATCCCCTTCGTTCGCGCCTAAACTTGCGCTCTTTCGTTTTCGTGCAGCAGAACCGCTTCTTCGTCGCCCATTTACTGAGAGATTAGCGCCAGCGGATGCATCTGTCATGGCAATATCATCATTGTCGCTCGCCGCTGGTAGTTCACTCTTACCCGCTAATTCGGGAGGTGTTGGTTCCTCGGGTGTTGTGTCCCGGGAAAGATCCTCCCCTTCAAATGTTGGGATCTCAATTTGAAGGACACTGGATGTGTTGATCCCCGCCTCTTCTGTGGCTTCTGGTACTAGATGTGATAATATTGCTCTCCCGGCTGCTGCCCAAGTCCTTGTAGGCACAACTACAACCTGTTTCCTATCGCTTATAGCTCCGAGGGCCTCCCCCAGTGTCTTTTGCGCTTCCGGAGCTGGCAGCGGGAGCCATGGGTATGGATTCACGAATTTCTCAAATTCCGGTCGAATCTTCCGTTTCGCAATCTTAATAAACCTAGGATTTGAGAGTGATACCGTATCACAGATCTTACGCATAACATCTCGCAACCGTATACTAGCTAAATGTTCCTCTGGATTTGGAACACCCCCCATAACTAGGGAAAGAGCGTCGCTAGCAGTATCCGCACCGACTGTATCATGGTCTAGTATACTCTCTAGCGCGAACCGAGCGAGTCTCGAAGAATCAATTGCGAGAGCGAGCTGTGCGGACTTGCGCCATAATGAGGGGTCGCCGGCGTCACGGCCGAGAGCGGTGGAAAACCATTCTAGTGCTTGGTGGATCGTAGACAAGAGGGTCGATGTGTCGCCGCCAGTCGCATGAAGTTTGTCCAACTTGAAGGCACCATGGTTCTTGTATGCGAGGTAGAGAATAAGCGGCAGAGAGGAGGCTGATGATGTATTGCGGGCGTGGACCTGTGAAACATATTAGAATCTGAATTTATTCGGGTGGTTCTGTCCTGTGAAGCATTCGGCACCTGCTCATCGTCAATATCACCACTAAGGCTGTCGGCTTGAAATATATCGCTGCTGAAAAGTTCGTCGTAAGCTTTGTGAGCTTCGTCCCAATCGCCATCAGTGTGGAACTTGAGCGCTCGCTGGTAGAGTTTCAGGGCTTCTTCGATCTGGGGGGTCAGTCAGTACTCCCGCAGAGTGGAATTCGCGGGCACGGGAGGGCACCTGAATCTCCTGGGTGTTGTCGGCTTCGCCCTCAGAATCGGAATCAGGGTATACATTGAGCGGAATGAAAGAAGACTACCACTTTCTGTTAGTAGATAATCTAGCCTAGCGCACCTCCGAAGCTTACCATGGTGTATTCTATAGGGTGAGTAAAAGTCGCGACAACAAGGCTGGATAGGAAAGTATAGATTCAAAGCTCATCCCGATGCTCAGGAATGGAGCGGGGAATGGGTGAGGGGAATGAGTGTGAAAGGATCGATTGGATTGATTGATTGAATAGAGCAAGTCTCGCGTCACGTCACGAAGACATGCGGATGTTCCCACTGCGCGTTGCAAAAACACGCTAACTGCAATGGGGACGAACTTGGCAGGGTCGTCTAGACATCAGTTACCGTAATCGCTATATCGCTCTTTCCATGACTTCTGAGGACAAAGGGACAAAGGCACATCTATTTGTACATACATACCCTACATATACTTCATCTATAAAGGCAAGTGAGGAGGAGCTGATCTGGCCCTATATTTTTTTGTAGCTATGTAGATGATTATCTCGACATGGACATGCAAGTTAACGTACAGCTGTAGGTACAGACAGACAAAATATGGTAGAACCCCTTGAATACATATGTTCATGGGACATATAAGGGAAGGCTCGTCGTTTCTAAGAACTTATGAGCATTTTCTATTACACAGTATGGCATCTAGCATCCAAGGATATATGCGCAGCAAAAAAGGGTACACTTACATGTAAGTTGTAGATTTAATTAGCGCTTTAAATACATGTATTTCTTGGACTCAATTAAGCCTCTAGGAGCCGTAGAAATATGTACCTGAAAATATTAAATAATATTCAGTAAAGTCGTCGGTAAAGTCGTTTTTTGAGCTTGGATTTACGTGGGTAATGTCAATATTTTGCAATTTGGTAGAGGGAAAGTTGTTTTAAGGGAAATCAGACGACTTTGCAGACGACTTTACAGACGACTTTAAAAACGACTTTACTGATATGATGCCTTTACCTGTCACGCTTCTATCACACATTTTGAGCGTATACACATGGGGGGATAATTTTTGGCCACCGGTGATGCTTCACATGATTGACGAAGGCCATCGGCAGTGAAACGAATCATCACCAAGCATCCTACTATTATACCAGGAGCATTACTAAGCAAGAATTGCCTGCATGTATATGCCGAACAATGGATCCACCAAAATGAAATTGTATTCCTCAACTGTTACAAGCCCATTGATGCCAGATACCATTTGATGACCCTACCAAAATATTCTATTTGGGGACTTAACTATCTCGAGATCTAGAGGAGGGGCTTCATTGATTTTCCGGCGGAAAACGGGAAACACCGGAAACCATCATTTCTTTTGCATTTAACATGCCTTTAACATGCCTTTAACGGGGAATTTCGTCAGTAAAGTCGTATTTTATTGCCTTTAACTGGTAAATGCATCAATAAAGGTGTCGGTAAAGTGTCGGTAATGGGACAGGAATGCCTTTAACACGGAGTAGGTCGGTTCAAGTTATTGCATCAAATAATGTGTATTTCGCAACTTTTTGTATGGGAAACGTCAAAATTGATGCATTTCCACGGCTACTAGAGAGCTCAATTTTGTGTGGAGGAGCATCCTCCATATCCTCGATATCATGATCAAAAACTGCCCGATTTTGGGTCTTCGTCTCGACGTGTGTATAAGTCGCTTCGTGGTATTTAAACTAAGTCCTCTATATTACCATGACCAATATTGCATTCAGGCATACATTTTTATAAGTTTATGCGTTTAATTTATATCTAATTAAAGCTGAAGTACAAGGCTCTGGCATTTAGTAAGTGGGCGGATCCCCACCTATCAACGCCCATGTAGTTCGCTCACTTAATGCCAGAGCCTTAATACTCGGGTAAGTGATCAGAACTGCCTCTGGTTGGACAGAACCTCGAGAGAACCTTCTGGTTGGCCTGGTGTGCCAAGTTGGCCCACCTGGGGCTTATATCAACCATATGCCCCAAGGAACTCCAGAGACCAAATTTTGCCCTCAGTTTTATTGATATCTGTTGAAATTTAACTCTACATAGACAAATGTGTGTCCAAATACAATATAGAGTAGGTACTGATAAATAAAATATTTTATATATTTTATGGATTTTTTGATGGGGATTTGGCAATAGTTCTGATGACTTTTTTTCCCCCATTCAAGATATAAATTCTTGGCAGATCTTATTGGCTCCAGCCTGTTGCACCCACATATTCTTAACCAATCTCCGTTGAGTTCTGATCACTTTGGTGCACACCCGAGTACATTTGTGTGGCAATCGACATGCGCACATCCTCGAGCTCACATTGTACATGTAGTAAGTAGTTGTTTTCGGTTACCGAATCATAAAATCATGTACGTATGATTGATTTACAAAGCTCTAGTACCCCGCTATCTTGTGCTTTCTCATACCTGTTTAAATCCGAACACTCCCCTATCACCTCAAGTCGACTATAGGTACATGTACCTTACCAATACAGATACGTATCATCTTTTGTTCTCGGTTTTTATCCTCATCACGTCTATACTCCAGAAGACCTAAATAAACATCGGCAGTATGTCTTCATCTAAAGGTAGATATATGTGTTCCCTTCGCCTCAAGTATTCACTAGTTCGTTCTGACATAGATTCAGCTCCTCTTACCAGCGGTGACATTGTACTCGCTGCACGAAAAGAATTTCAAGACTGTTACTGGCCAGTTTGGCAGGCTATTAAAACTACATGGATAAATTATTCTCTGGAGCAACGAGAGAAATTCCTCACTAGATGCTGTAGGTATACTAAAGATGGACTTACTCGTGTTTTTCCAACTAAGGAATGTTCTGTAAGTTAAAGACAATTAATTAGTCTTTAATCTTTTGCATTTCTAATTACTATATTTTAGGATAAGTTTGAATTGAGACTCCATTACCTATGCACGACCGCCGATTTGTCCGTAAAAAAATTAATCATAGGAATTACACCCTTCGTATTGATGGGCTTTTATGCTGATTTCCCTCTACCTGAACTCCTCCCTACCGATTTGGAAAACGTGCTTAGATGTATCGAAGATCATAACTTAATTCACCCAGACGCTCGCAACGGGATGAAAATGGTATTTGAAGCCGGGAATTGGGGCAAAGTCTTGGAGACCAGAGCAGAAATACACGCATCCAATGCCAAGAAAGATGTTGATAACTCAGTCGCCGCACAAAAAAACGGATTGTTTACGAGCGAGAATGTGGGGCTCCTGTTACTTGAGCGTCAGCACTATATATATAAATTCTTCGAAACCTTTACAAGATACCTACAAACACTATTAATAGTGAAAAATTTCGAGGAACCAAAACTTGGCCGCGCTCGTAAATTCCCCTCAGATTCCGACACAAAAAGAGATCTCATAACAGGCACGAATTACAGGCCCGCATGGAATTGCCGTCCCCCGTATACAATGGATCCAAAATATGCTGATCTTATTGATGACGCTCACACAGCTCTTTTCTCGGTCCGTGACCATTGTACCTTCCTCCGCAACGAACCATTATATCTCTATCACGCTGTCAATAATTACCACCTATCGCACAGTATCTATCACTCGGATTCAGAATTCACCAAAAGAAGCCCCGATAATGACCCCATCATTATTACCTCCGCTGCTGTTCTGAATTACCTCAAGGATTCTTATGCACCACAAGCGTGCTGGAATCTCATCCATATGCTTTTAACTTCACGGGTCTTCCCTGTTTTTAGCCCTTTCAGAATTTGGAAAACCGCTGGCAAGGAGCTCAACCGTACACGAGCTAGGTTTCGTTGGTTTTTAATGGCCGATGAGAATTATGTGAGATATTACACTAGGACAGACCCCAAAGATCTTTCTAGAAAAAATCCTCCAATCATGAAGCTTAAGAAGACGATATCCATGAGAGATTTACAGAAGAAATCAGAGCTTACGGGCTGGATGTTATCGCTTGCGGAGGCCGCACTTACACCCAAAGATGTTTCAAAGCTGCTGAAAGAGATAAATGAGTACATTGAGAGAGTTCCGCGGACTCGTGAGAATATTTCAGAGGGGCTAGGGGAGGCTTTGGCTAATGTTTCTATAATTTCTATGTTTATGGATCGATGTGAAGATTTGTGGGGTTTACCAGTGTTGGTGACCCCCACTGCCATGGACACGCCGGACGATCAAGCGTCCTCGGACCCGGGTAGGGTTTGGAAGACGTTGGGTTGGGCGAACTGGTATTTTCCAGAATTTGACTTGAAAGGTCAGGTCAAAACAACCGGAGATTTTGCTCAAATAGCATACGCATGTATAAACGAGTTGCTCGAGAATTATGAAGTGGGGCTCAATACTCTGCCAACGTCGATTGGTTCATTTCATCCTACAGAATTTGGTGTTGGCCAACAGCTTAAGTCCATCTACCGGATGCTTGAGAGGAAACCTTCTCCACCAAAATCGGGTGCTCCTACCATCCTGGTAACAGCTTCTGCCCTCAAGACATTGCGCAAGATCTTTCGTGCTGAGCTTGATGGCACCATTACATGGTCCTCATTTGAGTTTGCTATGACCGATGCCGGATTCACTGTCAAAACAGACACGAGCGCGGCAAGGATTATTCCAAACAACTCGAATAATAATTGGAAGCAAATCAATATATATAGACCATATCCAACCGATCGGTTTGTGGGCTGGACACTGTTGGGGCTGAATCTAAAGCTTACAAAGAATTACAAATGGAATGAATCAACCTTCGGGCTTGCGAAAAAATAGTACCGAAATAGACTGGAGGATTGATATTCATGGATGGGACTTTGAACTTTGAGTATCGCATTATTCCGGATTGAAGTCTTGGAGGTACCACGAAACTACGCGTATCAAATTGTTTTCTCGAATGATAGTTAGTGCGTCGTACTACATCATGTATTATTGGTAATATCAGATGAGTTATCACTGATGCGCTGTTGTAGTTAGACATACGTCAGGATATATGGGCTGCAAACATCTTTGCAGATTACAAACATGCAGGAAGAGAGGATTATATACCAGGTGTGTTGCATTCGCTATTTTAGATCGTATCATACTTTGAATAAGTGGTACGGTTTTGCTTAATGATACACTGTATCAAAAAATTTTCACCTCTATCTTCTCGGAGTGCTTAAACAAGGTCACTAACCCAGTAAGACGTGGGGGGCTCGTGGTAGGCTGTAGATCACAGACCATCACTCGGGGTTTTCCACTTGCTATCTGATCTAACCGAGACTATATATTCATCTTGTACATGAAATGTAGTCATAAGCTAGTTCATCAGGTATAGTAGTCCGTGTACTATTAATTATTCCCTTCCAGTGCCATAATATCGCAGTTGGCTTGGCGCTACAGCTGGGATTAGATGAACAAGAGGGAAACAACACCCAGCCAGCCATAGGCATCCTACTATCTTGACCCCTTGTAAAGATGGGAGGAAAAGCTGCAAAAAGATAGTAGACTTCATTGGTAACTTTGATAGTGGTACATGGTAGTAGAGTACATATAATTTCTTTACCAATTAATCCCCGGAGAAGAATATAGATCATTAGATCCTATCCACAACACAACAGCATAGGTATACTACAATCACTGTTAAGATCTTGAATGGCTGGTGCCTCTTCTTGTAGATTCTACCTGCGGCCTAGAATATCTCCAGTGACTCCTCTGCAATAATTGCAATCACTGCATCCCCACGCAGATAATGTGTATTATTGGATCGCACTAGATATAGCAGTCTGTATCACGAGTCCTCAGTGCCCAATGTGGGCCATAAATCTCATTGAAGGGTACGCTGTCCCGGATAACACAAATTCTTTGAAGATGATTAGTGATTGTGACGACTTAGATTTGTGATCTTTTCAATAGGCCGAGGTTGGACTGGTGATAGAGTGAACGATCCTATCTTAATCGAGATGCTAGTTTACCCAATAGAGAGAGTACTATGCCCAAGCCTCGAGCCTTGCCAAATCCAAATTTGTAACAACTTTATCGGGGAAATAAGATCGAAGCTTCTGTCGCCGTGAGCTTACCCCGTTCGGCCATGGCGCGGTTTGCGTATCATTCTTATCATATACCGGTCTGAGGTTTAGTTCGTGAGATTCCTTTGGTGGTTAATTAGATCGAGCGTTTAAGCTGTAAATCTACATGTATGTAGCTAGGTGTTTTAACTCACTTGTCCTCGTTACAGCTCTGTGAGAGCTGATGGTACGATAGTGACGTAAAGGAGAGCCCCAGAGACGTGTGTACAAACAAAATGAGGTCCTGAGAGCGATTTCTCCAACTCAGCCACATAATTCTAGAGAGCCATTGACGGAGCTTCTTCCGCTTATGAGTACGCGCAACCTCTCGATGGAATCGAATCTGTTGTTGCAGATAAAGCTGACAAACTCAGGAACAAGATAATCATCATACGATATTCCCGTAGATCATTTAAGCTTGTTGGGAATACTAATCCTTGTCGGCAAGCCGAGGAGAATCCCGATGTGCTTGTGCGACAGAGGCTTTTGTTTCCCCTGAACTTGACCTCTTTGAGTAACAGAAAGCGTTGAGCTCATCACACACTTCAACAAACCATCGAACGTTGAAGAGAAGCAAGAAGGTGAAATGTTTATGTTTACTCAACAGGTGCAACCAATGCGCTCGGACCCTGCCCAGCCAGCCATCAGGGCGAATAGGGTTAGTTATGCTGCACCCTGCAGCTGGTCGACAACACAACCCCGCCGAGGAGCTTCCCTACATAAACTCCCCGCCACCAGCGACGGGATTCATTTCGTTTCGTTACTCTAACCCATCAACCTCCTTTCTTTGCATCAGCTTTTGTCTAATCGAACTCAATTCCATCATCTTTTTTTTTTTTTTTTTAATAATCTCTAAAAATGTCTGACGCTGTTTACATCGTTGCCGCCGCCAGAACTCCTCTGGGAGGTTTCCAGGGGTGAGTAGTAGCTTGAAAAAAAATCGTGCCGTTAGCCAGACAACTGACAATTCATCGCAAAATATCACAGTTCTTTGGCTTCTTTGACTGCCACTCAATTGGGAGCTCATGCCATTAAATCAGCTCTTGCTAAGGTCCCCCAGATCGAGCCCTCAGCGGTCGAGGAGGTCTTTATGGGAAATGTTCTCTCCGCAAAGTAAGACCGTTCTCTTTGAAATTGCATCCAATTGGGAACCAGAAACTCCCCTATAAGCTCTACAAACACTGACACAACTTTAAACAACAGCTTGGGACAGAACCCAGCTCGCCAGTGCGCCATTGGTGCTGGGCTTAAGGACACAACCGTCTGCACCACAGTGAACAAAGTCTGTGCCTCCAGTTTGAAGGCCATCATCCTTGGTGCCCAGACAATTCTTACTGGCTGCGCCGACATTGTCGTAGCTGGAGGAACTGAGTCTATGTCAAATACCCCATACTACATCCCCACCGCACGTTCCGGAGCCCGCTACGGAAACCAGCAGATAGTTGATGGTGTTGTTCGTGATGGTCTTTCAGACGCATACGACAACCAGGCAATGGGTTTCGCAGCTGAGAAGTGCGCCAATGACTACACATTCTCCAGGGAAGATCAGGATACCTATGCGATCAACTCATACGAGAAGGCCCAGGCCGCTGCAGCAAACGGTCTCTTCAAGAATGAGATTGCCCCAATTGAGGTTTCTGGAGGTAGAGGAAAGCCAAACAAGGTCATTGACTGCGATGACGAGCCCAAGAACGTAATTCTCCCGAATATCCATGACATTCTGCTCTACTGCGATATCTAACATATTCCCAGCTCAACGCCGAGAAACTCAAAACCGTCCGCCCTGTCTTCATTGCCACAGGTACCGTGACAGCTCCCAACGCCTCCCCCATCTCCGACGGAGCCTCTGCCGTTGTCCTTGTCTCTGCGGCAACTCTTGAGTCCCTTAACCTCACCCCTCTTGCCAAGATTCTCGGCTGGGGTGAGGCCGCCAAGCAGCCCTCAGAGTTCACTACCGCTCCCTCTCTCGCCATCCCCAAGGCTTTGAAGCACGCCAAGGTCTCCCAGGAGCAAATCGACTACTACGAGATCAACGAGGCTTTCTCAGTAGTTGCTCTTGCAAACTTGAAGATTCTCGGAATCGATGCCGAGAAGGTCAACGTTAATGGTGGTGCTGTCGCTCTTGGACATCCTCTTGGATGCTCTGGCGCAAGAATCGTCACCACATTGATAAATGTGCTCAAGCAGAAGGGCGGGAAGATCGGTGCCGCCGGTATCTGCAACGGTGGAGGTGGAGCTTCTGCGATCGTCATTGAGGCCTGTTAAAGAACTAAATATTTTTTTAAAGTTTATAATGTATTGGGGAATTTCGGAAATAAAAAAATATACAGGGCTTTGTCTTTTTCATGCATGATCTTTTAGCTTATAACTAACGGTTTAACTTTTATGTATTCATGAAATATCACACGGTGTAGTTTCTCTTCATTCGGGCTTTTGGCTAGAGTCACATACCCAGAACCAAATCGTTGTTATTCACTCCCGGCCGCTTTGAAAAAAATTCTATATCTACATAAAAGTCTTACCCCCGGGGTATATCAGGAAGAAAAAAATAAATTTGGTGTCTATTTTGCCTCTGCCTTCTCAGATTTCTCTGCCTTGGCCTTCGGCTTGGGGGCGCCCTTGCGCAATGAGGTGCTGCCGGCTGAGAGCTCCTTGGAGAAAGGAATAAATTCTGGGGCACCAGGAATGTATTTACGGAGAGGCTCGGGGATGTTCATACCCTATTCGACTCAGTACTCAATTCTTCTTCACTCGCTCAGGGGGACAATTGCTTACCTCCTCAGTCTGGTAGTTCTCCATCAAGCAGCACAGCGCCCTCTCGGTCGCACACAGCGTCGAGTTCAAGCAGTGGACATACTTCTTGTTCGCCTCGGTCTGGGTCTTTGTGCCGTACCTGATCTCGAGGTTCCTGGACTGGTAGTCAGTGCAGTTTGAGCAGGAGACAAGCTCCTTGTACTCGCCCTGGAAGGGGAACCAGGCCTCGAGATCGTACTTCTTGGCGGCGGCGTTGTTGAGCGCGCCGGAGACGATGGCGACGACGCGGTAGGGGATGCCGAGCGACTGGTAGAACTCCTCGCTGTAGGCGATCATCTTGTCGAATTCCTCCCATGACTTTTCGGGCTCGGTGATGACGAATTGCTCGACCTATTTGTTTATTGTCCGCTTTTAGCATCGGGGTAATGATAGTAGTAGTAGGTAGAGTAGAAGAAAGGAGAAGAAAGTAGGAACCTTTTCAAACTGGTGAACACGGAAAATACCCCATGCATCCTTCCCGTGCGACCCCGCCTCACGCCTATAGCACGACGAGAATCCCGCATAATGGATGGGCAGCTCCTTGCTCATCAGCCACTCGTCCGCATGCAGCGCCGAGATGGGCTGCTCGGAGGTGGCAATGAGGTACTTGTCGTTCTGCTCGTCGCCATCGACGACCTTGTAGAGCTCCTCGTCGAACTGCTCGAGCTGCGCCGTCTTGGCCATCATGTCCTTGAGCATGAACTGCGGGGCCTGCAGGGGGGTGTAGCCCTTCTCGGAGAGGAACTCGAGCCCGTAGTTGATGAGCGCCTGGTTGAGGAAGACGCCCCAGCGCTTGAGGAAGTAGCCGCGGTGGCCGACGACCTTGACGCCGCGCTCGGCCTCGTACCCGTCTAGCCGGGTCAGCACGTCGTGGTGCGAGAGGCAGTCGCGCTTCTCGACTTTAACGCCTTCGGGCGCCCAGGTGCGGATCAGTTTGTTGTCGTCCTGGTGGGGGGCCGTATTAGACTATCATGCATGCACTTGTACAGTTGCAGAGAAGGGAAGGGAAGAGAAGGTATTCACCTCATTGTTGCTCATGGGTACAGTGTCATGGACTAAGTTCCCGATCGTGCCCAACTTTGCGTTAAGGGTCTTCTCCTTCTCGACTGCGAGCGCCTCGAGATCCTTCTTCTCGGCTTCGAGCTTGACCTTCTTCTCGAGGAGCTCAGTCGCATCCTCCTTGGCCTGTTGTTATACCCGCGAGTTAGTGTGCAACCGTAAGGTGATATCTCATGAACCAGCGAGGTAGGTAGGTTACCTTCTTCTTGGCCCCGATCTCCTTTTGGTTGATGTTGATCTCGCTCCCCTTCTGGTTGACGTTGTATCTTGCTGCAGGTCGTCAGTAAGACCACTCAAAAAGGAAGACTCCTCCCCGCGCCCGCCCCGCACGCCTCCCCCAACGAAAAAGCTTACCGACTCTCGCGGCCTCAAACATCGCGATCACCTCGTCCACAGCTTCCACCGGGGCGTGTCTGCGGCGCTGACTCTCGCGGATCGCCTCTGGGTTTCCCCCCCTCGCCTCGATAAAGCTGAGAACGTCGAGCATGATTTCTTTCTTGCTTTGGGTTTAGAGCTGTTTGGACTAACGGGAAGAAAGAAAGAAAAGGGGCGGGTTGAACTGGGCGGGTTAATTGTGGTTGGTCGGTGGAAACAGAAAGGGCGGGGGAGGGGTATCAAACATTTTGATCTAGACTGGGCTGGAGAGATAACAGATCTGGGTTAGGGTTTTTGTGTCATGGTGAGTCACTCGAGGACGTTGATGCAGGGGCATGGCTTGGCGGGTTTGTTTGGGCGTTCCTGTTGTGCGCGCTATTTGTACTATTTTCAGGTGCAGTTGTTGTTGTTGGTCCGCTGGAGAGTATCCGCTCCTTTACCTACATGTACATATGTAATTATGCGTCACCCCTGCAATATATAAATAGGAAACGGATCGATACTCTGACAGACTACTCTACATCATCTTATACGTGATCTACGGAATTCGAAATTAAGAGCAATTAAGTCGAAATAAACCCGAACCCGAATCGTTTTCAAAATCCACAGAGGCCCTATTTATGAGAGATACACATGAAGAAGTTTGCTGCCCAGAGCTAGAACGATCGCGAACCTATTGTGAGTCCAAGTTTAACATCCTATGTACGGCGCAAAACCTCCAGTGGCATACTGTTTCTAGAACTTTCACGAACTGTTTGCTCCAGTAGGACCTGATCACAAGACTGACTTTGAGCGTCCCGCAGAATCGTATAGAGTTCACAAACACTCCAAGCTGTTCCTTATGACGCGTGCGTACCTCCCAGATATTTCCACGGCCGCGGCCTAGAGGAAACTAAAGTTTGATGAGATCACGATTACAGCTTTTGCACCTTGATAGAAAGCGCAATCAACCCGTCCGGGCAGCTATAAAAACACCTTTTTCTCGCCCTTGTTCACTCTTTTCTTTCTTTCCTCCTCATCATGTTCCTGCACCTTCTTGTACCCGCACTGACCGGTGGATGGTCTTTGGCCTTCATCGTGTCTGCGATCAGCCTACACATGGCATCTCTCCCTCCCTTCCTTTCCTTCTCTTCCTTCCCTCTAGCTCTTTGGCTCTATAGCCTATTAATTCAGTCGAACCTCTTGGATTCCACCAAGAGGATTCAGAAAAAGAAAGAGAAAAAGAAGAAAAAATCAAAGACTCAAAGGATCAAAGAAAGAATCATAGGAAAAAAAACCGAGAAAAAAAGAAAAAAAAAGAATCACAGAATTCGAAAAGAATCATAAAGAAAAATAAAGATCAAAGAAAAAGAATCAAAGAAAAGAATCAAAGAAAAGAATCAAAGAAAAGAATCAAAGAAAAAGAGTCGAAAAATATAAAAAGATCTAGAAAAAAAAAAAGAAGAAAAAAAGAAAAAGAAAACATATATAATAAAAAGAAAAAGGAAAAACATGGTTCTAATATGATTCAAAAAACTAAAAAAAAAAAAAAAATCAGAAAATCGACAAAAAAAACCAGAAAAAGACTAGAGAAATAAAAGTCAGAAAAAGTCGATAAAAGCCAGCCTAGTTAGCCTAGTATATATATTCATGTATTCAGCCTCCTCCCATGGCATCTTTCCTCCCCCCGGCTCTCATAGCCCTCCTAGCCTCTGCCCCACTTAGTATGCAGCCTGTTGGGTGCTACTGAATGGGTTCGAGATCAAGGAATCAAACCAAATGTATGTTTATATAGATGTCAATTGAAAATGACCTGCTTAGCAATGGTCTAAACCTCCAATCGATGGTGAAAATTATTTAGGTCCCTTACTAAGGCTCTTTGGTCTGGATACCTGAAGTGAATCTGTATATATATTGTGTGGTTCTTGAGCGTCGAAATAAATATTGGGCTGTGCTGACGGTTTTACCAGATTGGCACTCGTATACTCTTATATCGGAAACATGTACCTATCAGAAAACACGTACCGTGAGCCATACGCATTTAAGAAGTACTTCGAAAACGGCCCCCTGTGATACAAACGTCACAAAAGATCTAAAATGCAACATGCAGTCCACTAAGGTCCATCTCATGCCGATACAGCCAAGGACGTGAGAGGGAAAAGAAAGGTCTAAGACAGGAAGATTCTTTCTCCTGAGCTAGCTCGGGATGCTTATAGATCACCCAGATATGAACAGCTTGTAGCTAATAGCTTAATTGATCAGTTCTAGACGTCGACCGCATGCATCGTTGATCGAATTCTACTATTGAGCTTGAGCTGAATAATTGACATTAATGACAAAGTGGGCCGTTACCTGATGGAATTTGGAGAGCCATTAATTGCATTCACTTATAACTGAGAGTTCGTGGGAGTTGAATAGTGTGAATTATTGCACTAGCTGTTCATGGAATTAAAACCCTCATACTCACCACATCTATATAAACACCTCCACCGCGGCCGTACGTAACAACACATAGCCGTGAATTCGGGCTCGCCACATCACTTGTCTATCGAAAAGCGCCGTCCACTTTAAGGTACTTCAATTGTGCCAAGAGAGTATTTTATATCCCCTTTATCCCCTTATCTGCAATCAACTGGCCCGGCCTTACGATTAATGATGGGTACGAGACTCACATGTACAGTCCCGAGACTTTCTCGAGACCCTCGAGTGATGTTTCAATGATCCAAAGCGAGGGTGCTTTCTAATAGTTAGGTTTCCTCATACTGAGACTTCCTCATGCGCAGGCTCCTGAAAAATAAGGCGTGTATTTTGGCCCCAAATTATATCCACCATTCTTGCCAAGAACTTCTGGAAGTGAAGATTAACGGATTGAGGTATAAATTTCTACCTCAAATTTAGATTTAGTTTAGCTTATATTAGTTTCGCGCGAGACTTCCGAGACCATGATGGGACGAGACAAGACAAGACAAGACTTGGTGTAAAATGGTCTCCTATTGTCTCGTGCCCATCGTTACTTACGATCTGCCCCAGCGCCCACTGTATCAACAGTAGTTTCGGTAGCATAGAGATGGGGTTCGATTCCTCCCGAGGGTTGCTGTATTTCTGCTTAGAAATCACTTTTTGCTGCAGGAATGTAGATGAAGCAAGAGATACATAACCGTAAAGTCATCATAGATTTATATACAGAGAAGAAGGGGATATAGAATTAATTAGGTCAGGTACTCGTCCTTCTCATCCTTAATGCTTGAGGATCAGAAAAGAGCGGTGCACTCCCCCTATCAGCTAGTACATGTAGCTGTCTCGACACATTGCATTCACAGGAGGTTCACGGGGACCATGGACCCAAATCAAGTATATGATGGCGGAGTTATACTCTGTTTTACGCCTTTACACCGAGCTCTGTGGGTGCGCAGGATTCATCCTCTGGTGCCCGCTTTGGCGGCGTTTGTTTCGACCCTCGGGAGAGTGCTTTCCTTGGAAACCTGTACGTATGTGGTCCAGACAACCAGCCGAGTGTCTTTTTATGAGATTTCCCTATTAATTTTGTGTTAGTGGAATCAGTATTATCCTGCGGGATTAATTCTTATTATACCAGGTCCATTATTCTTCTGTTCGGTCCCAGATTTAACCAGAAGCGCTCTTTTTTCTTGGAGACCTGTAGGGTTTAGCTAGGAAGCTGTGTATCCCCCCGAGAAGCTCTTCTACTTACTTACTTATGTTAGTGGATGATCGACCGATCCAGAATTATTGTTCTGGGTTATATATCCATGTGCATATATGTATGAAATTTAAATTCCTACCAAGACATCGATGATACTCTTCTTCTTTGGTCCTCTAGTAGTTCCTAATAACCTCAGTCTGAACCACTTGGCTGTCCTGGCTCGCATTATTCACTGCCCTTGTCTCTTCCGACGCCATACTCCTAGCCATACCGCGCACACAATTAGTATCGCCCAAAACTCTAGAAGCTAACACCAATCTACCCACAGCTAATCTGTAATCAAGACCACCATAATCGTACTCTTCATTCTCTGCACCCCCGCCACAGACTCCTGCAACTTCATCTCCCTCTGGTCCCATTCAAGCAACACGCCAAACCAACCCCTATCTTTCGGGTTGTTGAGCCTCACCAGCTCACGCATGTACTCGTCCAGAACTCTGTCAAGCCACCACATGGCTGATGAGCCGGGATTGGAGTTGGAATGGTCTTGTACGGACTTGAGGAGCCTTTCGAGGTCTGTGAGCTCAGCAAAGAGATTTTCGGAAGCTTTGAGGATACGCTCGGAGATGAAGCCGCGATTGCGGCCAAATTCAACGAGATTACAAATAAATTCCCCAACTGAGAAAACGTTGGCGATTAGGCCGAAGATTTCGGCCATTGGGAGTACTAGTATGGTGCCCTCAGTTATAGATTGCTGCCCGGGATGCCTATGTTGCGCGCGTTGAGGAATAATGAGAATCAAGTATATATTCGGCTGCTTATCAGACAGGATAGAGAGATAGATGATAATATTGCTGCTTAGTTCAGTCAATAGGCGGGTATATATGGATATATATATACAAAATGGCTGTGTTTATATTATCGATCTCTATGTGCTCCCGTGATCGAGTTCTTCTCCCAGGTGGAGTAGCATGACCTGGGGATACAGCATATATAGACGGCTACGTAAATGATTATATCTTTGGTATGGCGATCTATAGCTATACACAATATACATATCTACAGGCCTAAGGCTGGCCCGCGTGATGATATGCCCTTCACAGCCCATAACAAGGCGGATAAATGTTATCGACCACCACCTACCCATGGTAGTTATGTATATATATCTCCTGGAGTACCAGTAAACAAAGCCCCCTGAATAGTCGGAACTGAACCCCCGGAATAGTACTCGGAGCAGGAAACGCCCCCCCCCCCCCCCTCCCGAAGGAGCCAACGGCAGCACCTACAGCTATCGGTAGAAATGTGGCGTTGGAGAATTAATTGCCCTGTTCTCGACGTGATCGTTGGTCCCTGTTCCAACAACTCTACCGATATATATATGGCTGTACGTTATGCATACCCGAGAATGTTTGCACTTCTGGCTACACAACTCCAACCAACATGAGCCGCCTCGCGCGGCCACAGCCTGACGTCAAAACGAAAAAAAACACAATGCACTTTTTAGCGCGCAAACCAATTGCAAGGGATCCTAGCTACGCGCATACTACACTTGTGTGAAAAAACTCAGGCAACCGTACGTACCCGCAAAAAGCACAACTAATACCATCCCAAAAGGGAGATTTCACACGCATGAGGCATATCACTCACCCTGGAGGTGAGGTGAGTTTACTCTTGAGGGCCAACGTCGGTTTTTACACTTTGTGTTGCTTGTTTATTGGTCTCCGGGGGGGGGGGGGGTGTTTTGATACCTCGTGTGTACGTGTCTTCAAACGTAAAATCCACTATAGACGTCATCATGCCGCAAGAATATAGGGATTATATGTAGTTACAGAGCAATTAATTTAATAGTTGATGTTTCTCAGACATGGAATATCACTCGCCTCTCTGAAAGCGTCGAGTGATCATACATGATGCACAGGCACCGCTGATTCTTCTTGGCAAAAAGGAGAGAGAGAGAGAGAGAGAGAGGGAAAGGCTCGTTGAAATGTAGACTTTTAGCCACTGTTGTGTCTCTTATATAAAGCAACCAACTTCCTGGATATGCAAGCTACATGTATATAGTCGGATGGAAGCTGGATCATGGAGGTGCAAGACAAGACTCAATGATATATTACGCCTAGCAAGATCTGAGATAATATAATACATATACACATATTCAATCCTAATTCCTAAGGGCCCGTTTAATTAGGAGTGGCCCGAAACAGAGTTATTGGGGGGGCGCTTGAAACTCCGTTCTGGTGAAAACTCCGTTCTGAGAAAAACTGGTTGTGTTTGGCGGGCCAAGCTGCATGTAGAAGAGCTAATGTAATATATGCAGAATTGATGGTCTTTGTCTTGGCAACTATGCAATGAGTTGTTTGTCCATATATGCATTTCTCAGAATGTGGCTGGCCGGCTGCTGGTGATGGCCAGAACTGAACTACATATCTGATCTAATGGTTGCCACTGGCCATGGTATCATTGCGCCTTTTTGCCAATAAAAGGGGGCTTTATCATAAGGGCCGTTATGCAGAAAAGGGCTACTATTACTTGGGGTGTTTTAATAGCACGCAGAGCATTACTATCCCCACGTTGTTGTTGTAGAGTATCCATACCTCTAAGTAAGTAGCTCTACCCAATTAATTGCAATCATTGCACGTACGTGCGCACGCATAGGCATGGGGCGGGCATGGGGCGGGGGGTTTCAAAAGATGCTGCAGAATTAGCAATCTACAAGATAAAATCCATGACGTCCTATAGTCCCTTTCCCATAAGTATTTCTTCCCTCCTCCCCCCCCCCCCCCCCCCCCGGGTCATTACATTACTACCATAACCATAGAACCGTTTTTTTTTTCCTTTCCTTTTTTTTTTCTCTCTCTCTTTCCCCTAGCACTACTTCATCCTCTCACCTCCAATCTCCCTCTTTTCACTATCCTGGTGGTCGCCCTCATCCCGCGGCGGCAACCCCATGCCCATCCGCGCCAGCAAGTTCCCGCCAGGCCCCGCCAGCCCGCCTTGGCCCTTGAAGCTCTCCAACATGTTGGCGGCCAAGGCGTAGTCGATATCGAGCTCTGCGTTGTCCTCCTCCTCCTCCGCATCCTCGTTGTCAACCTCTTTAACCCGCAGCTTCGGCAGCGACGTCTCCAGCGCGCCAGCCTCCCGCAGCTCCGCCTCAACCTGCCGCATCACCTTCCTGATCTCTGCCTCCTCGCCGTCGTCCTCGGCTTCCGCCGCCCGCTCCCGTTCCAGCGTAGACACGGGCATCCCCATCATCTCGCGCATCATCCTTTCAAACTCGCGCTCGTCGAAGGAGACCTCTCTATCCTCCTCCCCTTCCTCATCATCCTCCTCCTCATCATCATCCCCCGAATTCAACTCATCATCCACATCCATCTCATCATCCCCCTCCACCTCCGCACCCTCAACCCCGCTTTATCATCGTTCAAAAACGCCTCAAAGCGCTCCACCATCCTCCTCAGGTTCTCCTCCGCGCCCTTGTCCCCCCACCCGCTCTCGTTCTGCGTGCCCCTATGCCCGGGCCTCCCCTGCAGCGTCTGCTCAAACTGCGCGTAGTCCACGTCGAGCCACTCCTCGCTGTCGGCGGTGGTGGGCCATGTGGCGGCGATCTCGGCGTCGGTTGGTGGCGGGGTGGGTGGGGAGGCGAGGAAGGTGCGGATGGTGGATATGGTGCGCTGCCGGGAGGGGGAGAGGAGTTGGGGCGCGGTGGCGTCGGAGAGGAGCATTTCGAAGCCGCTGGTGAGCTTTGTGCCAATGTCGAGGGCGTTGTTGGTGGTGGTGGTGCTGGGGGGGAAGCAGGCGCTGGGGGGGGGCGTGAAGGATTGGGCTTTGAGCTGGGCGTAGAGGGTTTTTGTGAATTTTGTGGAGACGGTGACGGGGTCGGTGGGGGGGAAGTGCGTCATTGGGGTGAGGGACTTGAGGCTGATGGGGTCGCGGAGGTAGAAGGCTTCGACTGCGGCAGCGATGGTGGCGGGGTGCATGTGGAGGAGGTGGGCGAGGGGGCGGGGGAGGGTGGTGAGGGCGTGGTGGGTGTTGTGGGCGGCGGCGGAGGGGTAGCGCGTGGTGCGGTAGAAGGACTCTTCTTCGACGAGGCGGATGTGTGTTAGTGTGGGGAGCGGCGGGATGGTGGTGGTGTAGGTGTGCAGGGTAGAGAGGGCTTCGGTGAGGGTGAGGGGGCGGGAGATGGGGGCTGTGCGGGTGGTGGTGGTGGTGGTGGGGGAAGGAACGGCGGAGAGCGGTACTATCAGAAGGCGGGTGGAGTTGATCCAGACGCGGTGGTCGGCAATCTCGGGGTTGAGCCATTTTGGCAGCGCGTTGGCCGCCTCGATGAGTAGGAATTCGCCGTCGGTGTCGTAGACTCTGCATGTGTGTAGATGTGTATATTAGAACCTCAGCTAGATAGCCACAAACTCTCTCCATCGCCCCTGTGAACACTGGTGTAGAAGTGCAATTACCGTATCCACAGATCCGCAAAGCGCGCACTCAGCTCCCTCAGCATCCACACCACAAACCACTCGTCGTCCACCGCATCCCATACTCTGTGCGTCCCTGCAGACACCACGTGCCCTCCTTCTCCGCCAGCTCCAGGCCGAACCCCTCGCGCTGCCAGATGTAGCCCTCGGACCATTTGGCTGCGAGCTCTTTTGCGAGCGGCTGTATCGTCTCGAGGCGCGCCTTTGCGGAGAGTGGAGAGGTGAGCAGGGAGGGGAGGAAGAGGGTGTACTCCATGCAGTCGTCGGGGAGCGTGCGGTTGGGGATGCCCTGGAAGGTGGAGGCGCTGAAGGTGGGGGTGAAGGGGTCGGGGGAGTCCATTTTGTGGAGGGGGGGTGGATGTGGAGGGAGGTAGAGCTAGAGGGGAGGGAGGTGGAGGGGAGGGAGGTAGAGCTAGAGGGGAGGGAGGTAGAGGGGAGGGAGGTAGAGCTAGAGGGGAGGGAGGTAGAGGGGAGGGAGGTAGAGGGGAGGGAGGTGGAGGGGAGGGGGGGAGCGGGAATGGAGGTTGGAGGCTCAACTGTTGTGTGAGGATCAATTCTCTTCGCTATGACGGGTGGATAAACGTTTACCCGGCTTTGCTTGTCTTGCGCGGAGTCATGAGTTGTCACTCGGTGGTGGGGAAGGGCTTGGCGGCGTTGCGTCTTCGAAAAATCTGAACTGAGAAAACACCTCGACTTTCCCCGCAATCTACACACTCAACTCTCCTCCACCAACACCAGTTCCTGTCACCAATTGGAGAAACAGAGAAAGCGTTCCCCCCAATTCCAATTAGACAATTAGACAGACACAGAGAGACAGAGAGACAGACACAGAGAGACAGACACAGAGAGACAGACAATGACCACCCTCGACAGCCTCCCCGCGCGCCTCGCCCGCTGGGAAGAGCGCCTGCGCTCCCTCACCACGCCGTCGCTGCCAACAGACTACGTGCGCCCGGACCCGCCGCGCATCGTCGAGGCCGTGCACTCTGTGGCGGTGCCCGAGGGCGTGCGGCTGGCGCTGCTGCAGCTGGGCATCCTCGACGGCAGCAACCCCGTGCCGCCGTTCACGGTGCTGCTGGCGGCGTTTGCGGCGCTCGCGGCGCGGCTGACGGGCGATGAGGATATTGCGCTCGGCACCAGCGCGGAGGGCGGGGAGCCGTTTGTGCTCAGGGTTGTGGTGGCGGCGGGGACGACGTTTGTGGGGTTGTTGGGGGAGGTGAAGAAGGTTTGTGGCTGTTCTGTTCTGTTTGCTCTGCATCTTGGAGTGGTTTATAGATGGCAGTTTGCTGATTGTGGTTATGATTGACCTTTGTGTGGTGACAGCTCGAGACCCAAGGCGCCGCCGACTCAGTCCCCTTCTCCGCCCTCACCGCGCACATCCAACAGGCCACAAAGTCCGCCGCCCCGCCGTGCCTCTTCCACCTCTCGCTCTACCACGCGCCCGACGCGCCCAGCCAGCAGTTCCTGTCCACCCACGCCAGCACCACGGACCTGTCCATCTTCGTCGAGCTTTCCTCCGCCCCCGCCTCCTCGCTCCGCCGCGCCCCGCAGGTGCCAGAAATCACCCTCAGCGCCCACTACAACCAGCTCATGTTCTCCACCAAGCGCGTCTCGTTCCTGCTCGAGCAGCTGCTGCAGATTGTGCAAGTCGGCGCCCGCAACCCGGACATCCCCGTGTCTAGCATCCCCCTGCAGACGCCGGAGCAGGAGGCCATCCTCCCGGACCCGCGCAAGGACCTGAATTGGGGCACCTTCCGCGGCGCCATCCACGACATCTTCAGCGCGAATGCAAAGAAGCACCCGGAGCGCGAGTGCGTCGTCGAGACGGGCGACGCCAGCGACGGCAGCAACACGAGGGTCTTCACGTACAGACACATTGACGAGGCGTCAAACATCCTGGCGCACCACTTTGTGGCCAAGGGCGTCAAGCGCGGGGACGTGGTCATGGTGTATGCGCACCGCGGCGTCGACCTCGTCGTTGCCGTCATGGGCGTGTTGAAGGCAGGAGCGACGTTCTCCGTCATCGACCCTGCGTATCCGCCGGCGCGGCAGAACATCTATCTGCAGGTTGCGCAGCCGCGCGCGCTGGTGGTGATCAAGAAGGCCGGGGCGCTGAGTGAGTTGGTGCGCGAGTATCTATCGAATGAGCTGCACATCCTCACTGAGGTGCCAGCGCTGGCGATCCAAGCCGACGGCACGCTTGTGGGCGGTGAGGTGGGCGGCAAGGACGTCCTGTCGGCGCAGGTACCGCTGAGGGAGAATGGGACCGGCGTTATCGTGGGCCCGGACTCGACGCCGACTCTCTCATTCACCTCTGGCTCCGAGGGGATCCCGAAGGGTGTCCGAGGCCGGCACTTCTCGCTCACATACTACTTCCCGTGGATGGCCGAGACGTTCGGGCTCTCCGCCACCGACCGCTTCACCATGCTCTCGGGCATCGCCCACGACCCCATCCAGCGCGACATCTTCACGCCGCTCTTCCTCGGCGCGCGCCTCCTCGTCCCCACCGCCGACGACATCGGCACTCCGGGGCGCCTCGCCGAATGGATGGCCGACCACGGCGCCACCATCACGCATCTGACACCAGCAATGGGACAGCTGCTCTCCGCACAGGCGACCCGCGCCATCCCGTCGCTGCACCACGCCTTCTTCGTCGGCGACGTGCTGACGAAGCGCGACTGCCTGCGCCTGCAGTCGCTCGCAAGAAACGTCGCGGTGGTGAATATGTATGGCACGACGGAGACGCAGCGCGCGGTGAGCTACTTTGAGGTGCCGTCGCTCACGGCGGACCCGACGTTCTCGCATAGTCTAAAGGACGTGGTGCCGGCGGGGCGCGGCATGCTCGATGTGCAGCTGCTTGTTGTGAACCGGCATGACCGCACGCAGATCTGTGGCGTCGGCGAGATTGGTGAGATCTATGTGCGTGCGGGGGGGCTGGCGGAGGGGTATCTGAAGCTGCCGGACATGACGGCGACAAAGTTTATCAAGAACTGGTATCTGGAGGACGACCACTGGGCTGCGCAGGCTGCGCAGGCTGCGGGGAGTGACAGCGGAGAGGAGACGTGGAGAGAGTTCTACCAGGGCCCCAGAGACAGAATGTACAGAACCGGCGACCTGGGCCGCTACCTCCCCGACGGCAACGTCGAGTGCTCCGGCCGCGCAGACGACCAAGTCAAGATCCGCGGCTTCCGCATCGAGCTCGGCGAGATCGACACCCACCTCTCCCAACACCCGCTCGTGCGCGAGAACGTGACCCTCGTGCGCCGCGACAAGGACGAAGAGCCCACCCTCGTCTCGTACATCGTCCCGCTGCAGTCACAGTCGCTCGAGTCCCTCCTCTCCGCCGACAACAACGACGACGCCGACGGAGACGACGACGAGATTGTCCGCGGCCTGCGCAAATACAGAAGCCTCATCCGCGACATCAAGACCCACCTCAAGGGCCGCCTACCAGCCTACGCCGTCCCCACCGTCGTCGTCCCCCTCTCCCGCCTGCCGCTCAACCCCAACGGCAAGATCGACAAGCCAGCCCTGCCCTTCCCAGACACTGCGCAGCTCGCTGCCGCCGCCGCGCGGCGGGGGGGCGCGGCGGAGGCGGCAGAGACGGCGCTGACGGAGACGCAGCGGGAGCTGCGCGTCATCTGGCAGGGGCTGCTGCCGCACGCGGCGGAGGCGATTGCGCCGGCGTCGAACTTTTTCGATGTGGGTGGCCACTCGATCCTGGCGACAAAGATGATCTTTGAGGTGCGCAAGAGGTTTGTGTGTGAGGTGGGCTTGGGGGCGGTGTTTAGCTTTCCGACGTTGGGGGCGCTGGCGGGTGAGATTGAGCGGTTGAAGGGGCATGGGGAGTTGGCGATCCAGTCGCTTGCGACGGGCGGCGGTGAGGATGAGAAGGCGGGGGAGAAAGAGGAGGAGGGGGAGAAGGGCGGGGAGACGGAGTATGTGCGTGATGCCCGCGAGTTGGCGGGGGCGCTGCCGGAGAGGTTTGAGACGCTGGGACACCCGGAGAGGGCGGCGACGGTGCTGTTGACGGGTGCGACGGGGTTTCTGGGGGTGTATCTGTTGCGGGACTTGCTGAGTCGGCGCAATCCGGAGGTCAAGAAGGTCTTTTTGCATGTGCGTGCGGCGGATAAGAGCAAGGCGCTGGAGAGGGTCAGGGCGAGCGCACAGGCGTATGGCGTGTGGGATGAGGCGTGGGTGCCGCGTGTGGAGTGTGTTGTGGGCGAGCTGGGGAGCCCGAAGTTGGGTGTGTCGGAGGAGGAGTGGGGCGTGTTGGTGGAGGAGGTGGATGTGGTTGTGCATAACGGTGCTCAGGTACGTGCCCCCCCCCAAACCCCAACCCCCCGGGTCTTGATGTTTTGTAGTAGATAGAGTGAGTGAGTGAGTGAGTGCTAACAGCAGCGACACAACAGGTCCACTGGGTCTACCCCTACTCCAAGCTGCGCCCGGCGAACGTCACGGGCACAGTCGACGCGCTGTTGCTGTGCGCGTCGGGCAAGGCGAAGAGCTTTTTGTTTGTGTCGTCGACGTCGGTGCTGGACTGTGACCACTACGTGCTGCTGTCGGACGCCATCATGGAGAAGGGTGGGGCGGGAGTGCCAGAGAGCGATGATCTTGAAGGGTCCGCCGGCGATCTGGGAACGGGGTATGGGCAGAGTAAGTGGGCGGGTGAGTATCTGGTCCGCGAGGCGGGGAGGAGGGGACTCAGTGGGTGTGTGGTGAGGCCCGGGTATGTTGTGGGGGATTCAAAGACGGGAGGTTAGTGTTTCCCTTTCTTTCTTTCCTTCTTTTCTCCCTTTAAGCTGTTGCTGGTCATGGACTATCACTCGTCTGCCAATGATCGATCCGCTGATTCCTATTTACCTGACTAACACCACCGCCACAGTAACAAACACCGACGACTTCCTCATCCGCATGCTCAAAGGCTGCGCGCAACTCGGGCAAATGCCCAACATCCACAACACCGTCAACATGGTCCCCGTCGACCACGTCGCACGCGTCGTCATCGCCTGCGCCTTCCACCCGCCCTCCTCCTCCACCCCGCTCCCCGTCGCGCACGTGACCTCCCACCCACGCCTGCGCTTCAACGAGTTCCTCGGCACCCTCGCCACCTACGGGTACGCCGTCGCGACGGCGGACTATGTCCCCTGGCGCGTGGCGCTCGAGGCGTGGGTCGTGGGCGGGAGCGCGGATAATGCGCTGTTCCCGCTGCTGCACTTTGTGCTGGATAATCTGCCGAATACGACGAAGGCGCCGGAGCTGGATGATGCGAATGCGGTGAGCGCGCTGCGGGAGGATGCGGCGTGGACGGGCGAGGATCGGAGTGGCGGGATGGGGGTCAGTGTGGAGTTGATGGGCGTGTATTTGGCGTATCTTGTTGCGTTGGGATTCTTGCCGGCGCCGGGTGGGAGGGGGCAGAGGGCGCTGCCGGAGGTGGTGTTGAGTGAGGTCCAGAAGAAGAGTCTGGGGACCGTCGGTGGACGGGGTGCTATGGTCTAGGTTTCTTTTTTTGTGTGTGTATATCCGAAAATGGCGAGGTTTGGGTACTTGGCTAGAGAGAATTAAAAAAAAAATTAGGATTGGGGTCGGTTTTGTGCTTTGGGCTGTGATATGGTGTGCTCGCCCATGGTCAATGATAAGAAGGGATCGGGTATCAAAGAAATTATCGTTCCACTCAATTCACCACGTGCTAATATAATAATATCCAGTGACTATGGGGTTAATTGGAAGAATGTAGTTGAAAAAACACTACCTCTTGGGGTAAAGTAAAACTTCTAGGCTACAGGCAAGACAGATAACCCGGATGGAGTGGGATAGACTACATATAGATTTTATAAACAAGGGCATTATACAGATGTAGGACACAGGCTGCAGCAGATACTCATAATGGGGATAATGACATTTACAAACAGGTTGTAGTTATTTGTCTTCTATTATATGTCCATTTACAATCTATTTCACTATGTTCGTAAGGTTTCGGTATAAATGTACGTTGGTAATGCTTTTCCTGGTCCGCAACCTCAACCTCGAAGATGTTGCAAAACATCTCACGAGGAATACCCGAAACCTAATTACCTCAGATCAGGTGGCTCCGGAGTCTCTATACCGAAATTCCCGCCGGCATCGCTAGTACTATACAAAGTACCCAATAGACCATTTAACTACTACAATAACAAGACCCTATAGTACCTCTACTGGTAGGTTGATTGTTCATGCTAGCCTTTAACTTTAGGTAGGATCCACTATCATTTGCAATTCCGCAACAAGAGATCCGGGATACCGAGAAACAACAGCGAAGTGCAACGGCACAGTGGTACCTTTTTTTGCCCTGTAAGGTAGACTAAACATTCGCTCCAAGTTTTTGGCATCTAAAATCTCCTCAGAGCTCGCAGCTAATTGAATAATCTTATTGGTGGAAGAATCACACTAAATGCTTTTCCCAACTCCAATTCCTACTCAACCTTTTATTGATCAGCCCTGTTCTAGACCTACGACACGAGGGCGGATGATCTTAACCCCTTCTATCAAGGGGTTAAGACCGCCTCGTTGGTATCTTACTAACCAGTGAACGTAATTCCAGTTACTGACAGCTTTCTTTACCCCTAGATTCTAGATCGACGGCATAATATGTATGACCCTGCAGCCGACCCCAATCTCGATAACGCCCGCTGTACCCCCCTGATTGAGATGACCGCTAACTATTCAGGCCTCGGGATAAGCTCATCATGATCGATATGCGTTTGAAACCCGCTATCAAGACTCAAGCCCACGATCGAATGCCCCCAAGACGAAAATAAACGATCCTCGACTATCTCGTCAGGTCGTATAATGAGAATAGAAAGGGTATGCATCTGAAACTCCGGTCAGACCCGGTGATGGGTTTCATGTTACCATGAAAGAGCGCCCTGAAGATCCGCCCTAATTTAAAACCCATCACTATGGTTTCTCTCATAAATATGTTGATCCACTAACTCGAGTTGGCTGAAAACTCGGGGAATCATGATAGGCGCAATCCGATCATTGACACCGCACCGCACCCAGACCGCAGAACAAAAGCACTATGCGACATAAACCCGCTCGACCAGCAATTCTTCTTCATGGTTTGACCAAGTTGTCTTTATCTTTCGGCCCTCGCCGGGCCACAAAACGGACCCAACAAGCGCAACACACGCCAGAACTCTCCCAGTCTTGACTCAAAACACCACACAAACTGGCCTCAACCTAAACAGTTTCGTCAGAGAGAGCGTTCTCTCTGCAAAATGAAGACGGCGGAGCTACCTCACCGCCTGAAACTCCCCAAACCGCAATCCAATCATTGACGCCGCACCACCGTACCACCGTACCACCAAACCCCCAACACCACGTGCGACGCAAATCCGCCCTACCGGTAACTCTTCAAAGTTCACTGTGGTCCGAATACAGGTTCTGGACCCTCCCGCTCACGTCGGGTCACGAAATGAGGTCGTCATGGCGGATATGCGTCTGGAGACCCGGCCGGGAGTAGTTATGATATAAACGTTGGGATATATTAATAGGGCGGTGATACTTAAGATACTATACTCAGGGTAGGTTGCTATTAAAAGACGATAAGAAAGACCTGGATAAAGTGCGGGAGGGCGCGGGAGGGTGCCTGCGTTGTGGAACCCCCCCCCCCCCCCCCGCGCCCCCGCCCCCTCCGACCCCGCGCTCCCGCATCATGGTAGAGTAACTCGAATCACCAATGTGCGGCGAGTGAGGAATAAGACCTCTTATAGCTTAGATCTATTCATGACTTATTCAAGATCAAAGGTAGAATTAGTCAACAACTTTCGCCAACGACCCAAACCCCATATCTATATCACCCGGCCGGGCGCGCCCCCGGGAGGCAAACCAGTCCCGCTGACCCCGCCGTACGACCCGACTAGAATCAGATTGTCAAGAGCCCATCTGTAGAGTATAAAGAAAAATTGTCGGCAGCGCGAGTATCGGTCGCATGCGTTTTCAAATTTGACGCCTAGCTAGCCACGGTAGGGAGGGCCAATTAATGAATTAAACAAGAAAGAAAGAAAGAAAGAAAGAAAAAAGCAGCAGGGAGGGCCCGTGTGCGCGGATTACCGCAAATCCAATCTAATATCAAGAGGGAAATTACTGGCAGTGAGCTCAATACCCCTAGATATCAACGAAGTCAAGGCCGCCTGGGGAATATAGAGGTGGTTGTGTGTGTGTGTGTGTGTGTGATCATAAATGATCACTCGTTGCCTTCAGAACCGATTTTAGATAATGATATCCGGGCCAGTTTGTAGGGTGATTTTTGTTTTGTTTTGTTTTGTTTTGTTTAATTCATTATATTAATTGAATGCAACCCTACGGTTATGGCATTTGTAGGGTGATAGTACTATTTGGTCCCATGCTTAAGTTACAGTGTCTCTTGATACGTACTATTGTTATTCGTGCTCCTTCCATTGTGACTCGTGTATCATGTGTCCCTGTGTACAACTATTGCGCGGCCCAAATATCATTTGTATTTGCCTTTTGTTGGTGTTGTCGATCTATCGGAACCATTATCCCAAAACCTAGTGGCCATAGGTAGCACGTCTGTTTACACCAACAGTCAAACCAATAATTTACGTCCTCGTGAGCGACACCTTTACTGTGATCGGTGAGGCGAGATAATCACAAGGACTGTAAAAACAAAAGACCTAGATTGACGTGATGTGACGCATATACGGGACATACATCTCGCCCTAGTGAAGTCACAATGTCATCTCTTGGACCTTAAGTAGAAACACTGCATGGTCTCGTTTTTACAGCCATATGGCCCATAATATTCGCTAGCTCAAGTCCCACCTCAAAACATATTTCTAGGGCAGTGCAAGGCACACGCTCTCACAATGTCACGTCAATGTATGTACTACCACGATACACTGCGCGCTCCTCGCCCCACACTGACTCAATATTTCTTTAAGTCCGACTCCTTCTGGAATGGATGAAGTGTCCCCCACAAACTCTTTGATAGGAAGGCTAGCTTTACGGTGAGTGAGACTTTATTCGAATGTATTAGATCGAGTAAATATATATATGAGTATTCCAATGCTGCATCTATCCACGGTGGCCTAGAGTCAATCTAGGTGTTTATATAAGGGGGGGGGGGGGGGGGGATCGTTTGCTTTTCTCATATACTCATGACCATGATCCCCACTCCCATCCCATAGTCAGATCTCGTCCAACTTGCCCCACCAGAGGAAAGCAGAATCCAATTAGATGTTGACACCCGGAATGTCATGCTCATTTTACAAGGCCTCTTGCTATCATTAGAACGTCACAACCGTATCCCAGGCTTTAAGGAACACCGAAAGAAAAAATCTCGAGGCATCCAACTCTAGGCAACGGTGAGGCGAGGCAGCAATAACAACCCGATATATATGCCCCATCCTAAGGCACCACATGGAACACATCACAGCTTCCAACTGTTTCAGATCTCGTATGGCTAGTTCCCATTGATTATAATTCAACAGCGAGCATTAAGATACAAAATCTCGACTTTTTCAACTCGGAATATATTGAACTTTTTGCGTCACATAGCTTATGTACACAAGGCTGTGATCGAGGCAACGAGATGAACGTAACCAGGTAGCCCGCTACAGGAACTTTCTAATCATCATATTATTATCAATACTAAGTACTGATACGGCTGAGAAGACTGTATCCTAGGCAATACCAGCTCCGTTACAAAACACTTCCCATTAATTCTCACAATGTGATGTAAAAGAGTAGAGGCATTTCTATTTTTGCGCTCTTTAGCTTCCCGATCCGTATACCGTCCTTTCTTCTGGCGTCCAATTAACTAGCCTTTTTACCCCGCCCTGGACCCTGATACCAGACTAGCGTACGCGTGTCTACTAGAGAATATATATTTATAGTTGCATGATGTCTCCACGACCTTGATTCCGCGGATAGGTTCCATATCCGCGAGCCCCCAAAGCCCTCCGGACGAACAGCTAGTAGTGCTAGTTTTTCAAATGAGGAGTAAATTTTCGACCGGCGCCTTTTTGCCTTTGCCTACTAGCGAATAAAATTACACCAATCTCCCAGTATCACTGTCGCGTCATAAAACCTCAAAGCCCCACAAATTAACCATACCCAGGAAAAGATGAGTTTCCGCTACGTTATATAGCAGTTGTGCGGCAATTCTGAAAACTTTGATAGATAACCAGCGCTTTGCGCCTAGCCAAACCTAACCCCGCCGCAATGACTCTCGAGAACGCAAAAACCTTTAGAAATAGCATAGTTATCATCCAAAGCTAGGCACACTTGTCTCCCATTAACCCCGCGCGGTCTCGGGCTCATCTTTCATTACTTTCAGCAGCTGTCCTGTCCAACCCCACAACTTGATGCAATATCTCACAACACGGTCATTGACCAGCCGCAGCTGCGCCCCGGGTACCAAAGCCAAAACCGCATGCGGCCGCTCTCCGTCCCACCGGCGATACCCCATTGTCGCCCAGGCATCAATCACCGGC